ATGGATGAATAATTGGAGAATTTTACATGAAAAGGGTTTTTTTTGTTTTCTTTAAAGGCTTATAATCCTGCAGAAGACTGAAACTAAAATACCCCCCTACTATAGCCCTTCTTCAGAACCCGCCAATGCAATGCCTGTTTCAATAATCTACTTTTTTTTTTTTCCTTAAGCCCTCGTCTTTTCCCCCATTCTTTTACAAATGTAGAATGATGTGAATCACACACATCTTTACATCACTGGAACAACCATGACAATAACTGGGGGGACATCTTTAAACACAAAAGACATTTGAAGTTTGTTGGTTTTGTTTTGTTTGAGGTTTTTTTGTGGTTTTTTTGTTTGTTTTGTTTGTTTTTGTTTTTGTGGGGTTTTTTGTTTGTTGTTTTTCAATAAGCTCTAACATGACATCTGTGCCCAAACTGAGCAAGATAGATATGTGTTCCTAAGGGCAAAATCACTTTGTAGGGTCTTGGAGTTATCTCATGAACAGCAACAGAAACTCAGGAAACTCATATTTTGGCTTATGGAAGAGAAATCCAAAAATACCAAGTATAGAATATTCTGCCTCTCACATCCCAAACTCAGTCCAGCTATTCACGCACAGCTTTTGTGCTTCTTACAAAGAGTTGCTACGGGTAAAGGTCCAGAAGAACTCTACTGACTTATTTCTGCTCAGATATATTTGTAGGACTACATTACATTCACCTGACTTTGTATATGGAGGCCCATGGCAAGGAATCACCAAAGGAAAATTGAGCTCATATATGATCTGAATTGCCCTCTGCAGTTACCTCTCTCTGTCACATCCTGAGTTAAATATAATAGAGCCCATGACTTTGATGTCTGTCCTCTTAAATGTTGTGAATGCCTGGGAACAGAACCAAGAACTGGTGAATAAAGTTTCAGTGGGAAAGAAATAAGAGAAGCAGTAATCGATACAGCTTGATTATGAAGAGTTTTCTGTATAATATTTCTTTGGTTTAATAATTTTTGTTTAAAGAACATATTTCAGAAGAGGCCTATTAAAACAATCAGTGTTTGGTTTAGGTGGAAAGATGAGTAGCATTTTAAAATACATCCTTAAACTCTTTTGCCTGAGCTCTCAATACAGAGCACTTTTATCTTTATAAGTACTTTCTTTGTTCCAACATGCATCCACTGCCACTGTGGGTGATCTGCATTAGCTGCTGAACCTCAGCACTCAACAGGTGTCCCACAGGAATGGGAGTGGAGAGAGCAATGAATGCGAGTGGCTGCATCATCCCAAAAACAGAGCAACCAAAGTTGCCTGCAGCCTTTCCTGAGCTGTCTGCTGCTCTCCAGTCCTTGCTCTTCCAAGGAGCCACTGAATACTTTCCATTTGAAACAAGATGTTTGCCACCCACCACCAGCCATATCAATTCTTTGGTCTTGCCTTTCCCTGTTTATGAGTGCTCCTTCCTCTGCTTTCCTTTCATTTGCCTTTTCTCCATCTCAAACAATTTCTGGTTTCCTGTTACTGTTTCCTCCACCTTATGTTCCATAATTCCAAAAAGAAGTAGAAATTATAAGTATCATGGAAATTATAAGAATTGCCTATTGTGACTGTGCTTATACTTTTAAGCACACCCACTGGGGATGGCGAAGAGAACATATGTTCCATGATTTCCTTTTTTTCCTCTTTCTTTCCAAAGAAGTACTGAATGGGTTGGATTGCTGGTTTCACAGTCAATAACAAACAAACAAACAAACAAAAACAAACAAACAAACAAAAACAAACCCAAAACAAAATAGGTGAAGGTATCAAGGTTATGACTGGTTTGCTGTTAGTAAACTGAGAAAGGGATGGCAAGCATTTACCTGTTCTAGCGTCAAGTAGACTGGACAAAACCCACCTAGTACTTCTTAGTTACAAATAATTTTGGCAAGGAAACCTGTTGTGGCTTTTATTTATATTATACACCTAAAACTATTTTTTTTCCCTAAAATGAGATATGCAGAGTTCAAATCTGAAGTCAAAGTTAATTAAAGAGCGAAGTTGAGGATAGTGAAAGAAATGGGCTTGGTCTAACCACACCACAGTGATTGGTATAAAGAATGACAGCAGGCTTTGGCAAGCACATGGATCTATCCACATGAGCAAAAATCAAATGGTGCTAAAAATTTAGGACAACAGAGCAGATTGCAAGGAAGCATAAAAAACCAGTGAGAACAAAAACCCATACAAATGCAATACGAGGGGATATTTACATCACTGATGTGGCAATTTACTTTGTGACTTGCAATCTTACTTCCCTTTCTGTAGAGTCTACAGGATGCTCCACTGTGTCCAAAACACTGACAAGACAACATCTGTCTATAGCTTATGCTAACAGAATTTAAAACAGAAAAATCTTAAAGGATTAAGGCTTGTCACATGACAATGAGATAGGGAACATGTCACCTTGCACTCCATTTAAAGCACTGCATTTGAATCCGAGATCCTTTGCTTGTCACACCACTGCACCAGGCACAGCAAGTCCAACATGGGACTCCAGTGCCCGGCTTTGGAGTCACCCCCATGTGCATGTGGAGACTCGAGCACTGTTGGTGCAACCCAGAGAGCAGGTGAGATGCTGCACAGGCAGGAGCTCAGGGCTTATTGAAGGGCACTGTGTGTCTTGGCAAACAGTGGGGTTGGAGTGGTTTAGGCAGCAGCTGAAAGTGGGTCATGGTTTTAAACTAAGCCACTCCTGAATGCTCTCAAAGTCCTGCTCTTGGTATTGAAGTCCTTTATTTCAGTCTAGTTTCTAGACTGAGGAGACAACCCATCTGCAATGTGCCTGCTTCCTGATGGTAGGTCAGCACTAACCTGGACTTGCATGAAGTTCAGTTATGCTGCAATGAATCTTGCTAACACTGAAACACTGATATAGAGCAAAGTCAGACGTTCCTCTGAATATGTGCTTTCCTTCAGCTGTCAACAAGTGATAAAATAGGCTTAATTTTCTGAAATCCTTTCCTTATTTTAGTTTTACACCATCTCTTGCTTTCCCTAGCAAAATCAGAAAGTCATATATGACAACTGCCTCCTTGAGAATAAAAAAAAATAAATTAGGATTTCAAGTCTAAATGATTTGACATATTTGGCTAATTTGCTCTCTCTGACCTAATTTTCAACTACATTCCTCAGTTCCTGCACTATGGCAACTTTCAGTTCTAAACGTGTTTAATTTTGCTTGCTCGTAGGAGCTGGATTTTCCTCTTTCTCTTTTTTTTTAAGCACACTTACAGCTTTCAAGGGCACATTTATTTTTTTAAGTGAAACGCCATTTTATTTTTATTGAATCAGTTTTCTAGTTAATTTCTTTTATTACTAACAATATTGATGACTAAAGATCCCAAAGATGTATGTTTGCCACTAACCAAAAAAACAAGCTACAGGACAAAATTATCCACTATGAGTGATTAAATTATAAAAGAACTTTCACCTCCCCTTGCCTGATGTTGTATAACCACAGAAGAGGTTTTCTTCAGCTTCAGGCAGAGCCCTCCTGCCCACAGTTCTCTCTGATGCTTCCAAATTAAAGTTTGTCACTACTCCCTCCACATTCCAGCTTCTTCCCTAACCTATCCTTCAGGGTTCTGTCATCCTCTGCCTTTTATGTGGAGCAGTCAGCCTTGAGCTCCCACTGCCTGTTGGAACAGACAGTCTGTTCCCACATACACACGCTTCAAGCATAGGTGGCAACAACGAGCAAGTTACTACAGTAGCATTTAATGTAAACAGCAAATGAGGCACAGTAGCAAAGCACCATCACAGACAAGAAGACCAAAAAAAACCCCACAAAGCTGCCAACTTTGATCATGCTTACAGCCAGCTCTTCTCTTCAGCACCTACAGAATATGCTCCAAATTGTCCTCAGGAAGAAAACTGCAACTGAGGCTCTGCTCACTCCTCTCCTCACTATTTGTGATCGTTCCCAGCTGGCTGATCCCATTTTACCTGGCAAACCACTGAGCGGTTTTGCCAGGGAAAATACTAGCTACCAATATGGGCTGCAATAGGAGGAACAATGCTGGTAGTTTAGTTTTTTAAGAGCTCCTCAGCTTCCAGCTCCCATCCCAGCCCTTTACAGTAGCAATGAGGTTTGGAAGAGAGTGGAGAAGCACAAGATCTGGAGGCTCAGCCCATCAGCCTTGCAGCTCCCGGGGCAGCCCTGCTGCAATTCGCCCGCCCAGTTCTTGCTTGTCTTTCACCTCTGGTGCGGCCTTGGGGATTCTTCAGGGCAAAAGCACCAATGGACAAATTGTCAGTGGAGAGGCACGGCATTAATGAAGTGGGTAGGGGGAGGGAGGAGAAGAGGACCAGTGACAGGGATCTGAGAAACAAACCTTCTTGATCCACATACCTCCTTTTTTGGGTGAAGGCCTGTGGAAGAGCTCATTAAGTGTAGGATTTTGAGGGGAAAACTCAGAGACAGAAAAATACGGACTTCGATCTGGCAGTCTGAGTAGGACAGACTATGAGGGAGCTCTTAACAGTCATCCATCATGATCCAAGGCAACTTTAAAATAGAGGCAGGATAAATCTTACTTCAAGTCAAGAACTCCTGCAGAGACAGGTTTAATAAGGGATAGAATCACAGCCATAGAATAGCACACTGCAACCTATTTCTCTGGTATAGATAAGATTTAAATGCCAGAGACTAATTTTCATATAAAACAGGCAGGTAGGAAACAAGGTTATGAGATAGATTAGGTCTAATCTCAATTCTCATATGTAATTCCCCTAAAGTAAAAAATGTTACCAGCAAGATCTCCCTGTACACTCATGACCAAATCCACACAGTGTTTGCTCCTGTAGAATAGCAGCTGCATGACTGGCAAGACTTTGCTAAGAACCATCATGCTGAGAAACCTGATAACTGTTTAGTTCATAAACTTCTTTAAAATAAATATTTGTTATAGTTTGATATATAAAATATATTACCTAAGACAGTTGGGTAACTAACTTTGTATAGAACATAACAAGTCTTTTTGAACGTAGGAGAGCACAGAGGTTTGGCTCAGTAACTTTTCTCCTTTTCTACCTGCAAGCCCTCCCATTCCCTCTGTAACCACCATGCACACAAGATACTCAGAAGAAGAGATGAGGTTTGTTTCTTTTTTACTTGTATCTGGCACAAAAAAATGCAAGAGATGAATAATACCAAAGCCTACTGACAGACCTAAACAAGTGCCACTGCCAAAGCAATGCTGGCTTACACAGAGAAAGAGAGCTTTATGTTCACAGCAGAATGCCATGATGAGAGCAGTGCTGATAATTAGTGACTTTGTTCCCTGCTATGTTGCATGAAAATTAACTGTCTGTAATGCATCTTTGTGACATGATTTAGACAAACAGCTGATGAAATCTTCCTCACTTGTACCCAAAACATAGCTTTGTTCAGGTTTTTTTTTATCACTGAAATGTTTTTCCAACTCAGAGTCTCAGTTATGTTACAGGATAGAATAAATGCTAGAGATGACAGCAGGTCCATTTAAAGAAGCATATGATTGGACATTTTTTACAATCAAAAGAGAAATCTGAGTAGAGACCTCTCCCAGATAGTCCTAACTCTGTTAAAAAGATCAAATGTACAAAATATAATGCTTGGAAAGTTTATATTCTCTCTGAATCTCCCTTATGATGCTGAGAAAATAAAATGAATTCATATTGCTATGAAATTCTATTTTTGCCACTGGTGACATCCAAAGCTTTATTGATTAAGAAGACTACAAAATCCTCACCCTAGTCCTCATTTCCAGCATGGAGGCTAACAGCCCAGTCAAGTAATACAGCAATAATCTCTCTTCCACTGAGAATACTTTTATTCACAAGGCAAAAATTGGAGTTAGACTTTTGGGTAGTGGGAAAGGCACTCGCAAAGTGAGCAAATCTATTTTTGCTCACAGAACTAATTTAATGTTTAAGTGCAACAAAAACACTAAATTAGCCATGAAGATCATGCATATCCAACGGCTTTCACCAGACATGACTGTGACCCAGGCCTCTAAATACAGAAATATTTCAGTCCTAAGGAATCAGCTCTGTTATTTTCTGCTTCACCAGATGATGTTTCCTTTTGACCAGCCATAGAAATATAATTTCCATTATAATAATTAAACATTTATTAAAATACTATTCATTTGAGAGTTAATATACTGTCTCTTTCAGTAATGAAATACGGAATACTCTTTTTATCTATGCTATTTAGACCTCAAAACTTAAAGGAAAAACATTCATGCTGAAAATAGATCAATGTACAGCACTAGGTCAGAAATAGCATCGCTTGATTAAAACCCCAGGAACTTGCTGTGATACTGTACATTGATTAACAATTCACTTCTTCCGTTTATCCACATATTCCATTTTCAACATCTGGCAGTGAGTGGAATACCAACCCAGATTATCTGATACTGAAGCAAATCTAGCAGCCTCAGCATATCTGTGACAGTCCATCCTTCTGGCAGACTCTAGGTACCTGTCTTTCAGAGACAGAGTGCTCTGTGTCTTGGGGCAGCACCATTTCTTACACATGCAGGGCACAGTAGAACGTCACATCGCAATCCTGGGTATTTCATGCCTGGTACTTCATGCAGTGTCCTCTTGCAGGTCTCCATGTCTCTCTCAATGAGGCATATGCACACATTTCCAAACAAATAAGCTGTGTTTTCAAGTAGATATTAAATATGAAATACAGCAGACTACAATGTTGTTAAAAGAAACAGCTAACACAGCCAAAAGAAAAATTTCAGTTAAAAGTATGATGCTCTGAATACAGATGTTAATGTTTTAACTTATTAAATCTTAACTGTTCTCATTAACATTTGGGTTATTTATATATCCTTCTCTTCATGCACCAACAGGAAAGCAAGCACATGGATAAAAAGTTGAAGGCTGAACTCGAACTTTACATTGTTATGGACTGTCCATCTCTACTGCTGTGTACTTTTGGACAGTAATGGAAAGGATACATACCTGCAGTCGTCCCCTCCGGCACTGACCACGTATCTATCTCCGCTTGTAAATCGAATATTAGTTAAGTGGGCAGAGTGACCTAAAAATCGTTTGTGTTTTGCCTGAAAAAAACCCCAAACAACAACAGAATGAGACAGTCTAAATATTCTGTGCCCTCTTGAATCAAACAAGGCATGCATGTTTTAAATCTACCTCTCTATTGAATCACATATTTATATCATTCAGAAGTTATATAGGTTATCGAATGTGAAAGATCTCCTGAAGGAGAACTACCACTGAGCTGCAGTGCAGAGTGAGATGTCACCAAATGAGAGAGCGCTTGCAAACTGGGAACAATGATCAAGTTGACACAATACCATGAAATATATCTTGTCACATGATTAACTTGTACATTTTGTGTAAAATTCCTAACACTGAAAAAAAAAATTAATTGTAATTGTGTGAGCAGTTTACACTGTGCAGTCTCAAACCCTGAAAATTAACAGTGAAAGCAAATTAAAAGAACACTAAAAATTAAAATTATAAAAACAGTGAAACAAACTGACAGTGTTAGTAAAAAATACGTAAACCCTTCATCCATGGAGATACACAGATGGGACTAAAATCACCAGCTGTCTTCCTCACCTGTGAAAAGGATCAAAGATGAGGAAACTACTAAAGGCTTTGAGATTTTCAGTATGAAGGCACTATGCTAATGCAGGCTAGCAGACAATATCAGCATATACAAGAGGTTATAGCAAGAGCTCTTGCTCAAAATGGTAGGAAAACTCTGAGGTGAAACATGCTTACAAGACTATGGAGCTAAAGTTATATTAAAAAGCTACAAATTTAGAGAAGAAAATATTTCAATCATATGTCTTCTACAGAAACAAGACAAGACCATAATATCAACAGTACTTATTGCTGTAAACGTGCAAAAAAAAAAATTCTTACAAATTTTTCGGGACATGGAAAGTCAAACAGTTTGACCATGCCAAAATCATCGCCTGTTACAAGATTGATTCCCGAGTGAGAGACACAAGCACAGTTTACATCAGCTTTTTCAGCATGCCTGGACCAGATTCCAATTACTTCATCCCCTAGAACACTGAAATAGAACAGCAAAGAGATTCTCTTGAAAATCACAGCAAAAACAATAGAGTAACAAAATAGAAAGCTGCTCGCATATTGTAACCAGTTCCATAAAAATGAAATTTTGACATTTTATTCTCACACATACATGACTTCTATAAGTTTTATTCTGTAATTAATTTTTGTATCATTCTATAATTGCTTCTGAAACTGATTCAGTGATATAATTCCCAAAACGTTGTAGCCCATGGCAACACTAAGAAGCAGAAGTGAAATCAATAGTACTAATATTGTCCAGTGAGGCATTTAAAAAAAAAAAAAAAAAAAAAGAAAAAAAGAATAAAGAAAGGACAATAGAAATAGGACGTCCTAGCAAAAGCATTAGATGAATAAGTTTCAGCTTTTGGAAAATAAAAAATTGTATATTCTCATTATAACTATGCTCTGTTGATTCTGTAACTCTTTTATATCAATTGAAATTTTCTCTGAGTCCACCGAAGATTTAATTATTTTAAGATTCCAGAAAATTGCCTTTGCAAAGCCTTATAAAAAGGCTTTTATTCAGCTCTGCCTACCATGTATATGCATACTTCCAAGAATGCACAGAAACAAGCATTTGCTAATAGCTGAATGATCTGGGAATTTTTCTGTGATTCTTTCCCCTCAATTCAGAGCACAGTACACTACATTCAAAAAGGCATGATTTACATCAGACACACTGAATTGGGTCAGAAAATACCAGTTTCTTGTTTTCGTATCAAAGAGGTGACAAAAACTTATTACCCAAAGAAAAAACAGAAATCTAGAAAATTAGTCTTTCAGAGCCCTTTAAATGCTTACAGTTTTAGTTATGTCTTGCAGCAAAGTCAGGATTATTATTGTTTAAAGCGGTTCATATGTGGAAAACTTTCAGGTATTTATTCTCAATTTTTGTCTGAGGGTGATAATTAGAGGATAATTACTGAAAGCAGGCAAAGGAGACTGAAATGAGGCACAAAAAAATCAGATTTGCATAAATAGAAAACAAATTATTTAAATTTTAATTAAAAATAAAACATGGTATCATTCTTCATGTAATATCTTGAAAGAAATATAATACTTTTAATGCATTTAAAAGTACTTTTGCATGCCTTTTTATTTGCAAATGTTAATAGCAACTTTGTTATACTGTTCCAATTAGTCTCATACTATAAATAAACTTGAATTACCCCAGCTATGTATTGTCTCTGATTTTGATATGTACTGTCTCTGGTTTTGATATGTACTCTCATCACTATTTTGAAGCAAATAGTGCAGTATTCCAGATAATTTGCACAGTGCAATGAAAAAACTACTGAGGTTGCAAGAGTTGCACCAAAGGAGCTAGAGATAGCCAGAGAGTAGAAAGGGACTTTGTGAGAGATCAGTGTTTATCGGACGTCCTCACTGTCACACAGCTCATGTCTGATGAGGGAATCTGCTGTGCACTGCCTTTTGCTGTACTGCTGATCTGTTGCCAGAGCAGATGGGTGTGTTAAAAGAAAATATGTGACTGAATGAAGGGATGAAATACGCTTTTAAACAGCAGGTGTTTCTCCTGGGAGTTACAAGCGTTTTAACAGGTGTAAATATGTGAATCATTTACCTTGTCCAAGTAGCCCATGTTATTCTGTCAATCACAGCTTGGTCCACAAGCTGTTTTCCTGAAGGCACTTCATACACTTGCCTTTTGTAAGACCCCGTAGAGACCTTTGAGATGACCACAGAGAATTTAGAATAGATTAACTTGTTTCAAAAGATGAAAGTATAAATCTAAAGGACTTTGAAAAGCATTTTCTTGACAGTTATCTCTTACTCCATAAAGTAACTTAGCTATTAAGGAAACTTGGTCAATGAATTGAAAATTCTCAAAAATCCATACACGCATAAAGCAACAGCGAGAAAGCATAAGATATCTTAACATTTAAATCTCTAATTAATAAAAAACAATTGAAACATCTCACATTCTGCACATATTAATTCTCTCTATATATTGTGTGCTAGTGTGTGTGTACACTCAAATAAGGCAAAATAAATTCCTATCTTTAAAACTGATGCAAAAGCATTCCTCTCAGCCTGTAAATGTTGATTTGATGATGAGAGAAGCTTACTTTTCCTCTCAGATGTGAGTAAAATATAGAAAGCAAACTATACAGAATTTATTTTGATTTTAAGAACTTTCTTGAGCCCTCCTATGGTTGGGAGTTGCAACACCATGATTTTGGTGACGCTCCACAAAGGCTACCACTAAAATGATTTGTAATGCCATTGTTGGCATTACCCTGGGCAGAGTGTAATGGTCAGAGTCCAGGGCCCTGCTTGGGCCTGCATAATGACAGACTGTACTCTTTCCTCTTTTAAAATGGTCCATCAGCATCAGAGATAATAAAGCAGGGAGGCACAGTGATTTTGAATCCTGTTTCTCATTTCTATGCTTACTTCTTATATTTAATCTCCAGGAATACTGTTCAAAATTTAAGGCATCCACTTATCACTACAACAAAGTAACAGTCTAGTGACAGTAACATATTACCAACATTTAGTTACAAAATTTAGAAGTAGTCAAAGGAGAACACCTGCAGAACATCTGTTGTATGTTTTTAATTCAGTATCTTGAACAATTAATGATTGATACCTGGAGATAAGAGCTATCGGCAGAGAAGTCCATCTGGATCACAAAACTTGGGATATCTTTGCAATAGCTGATTCGATTTAGTGTGGGACCCAAAGTCAGATCATAAAAATCCACTGCATTCTCACTGGAACCGACTGCTAAGTATCGAGAATCTGGGCTAAACCTGAAGAGATAAACACAGGTTGGCACTTACAGCAGATTCTAACATTTGAGGAGCACACATTTGCATTTCAAGCATCTGCTATCCAGAACTAGAGAGAGGCAGAGTATTTAGTCTGCTGAGCACAATAACTTTTTAAATGAAATTTTCAGGGAACACATATCCAGTCAAAGGTGGCAATAATTTTGGTACAGATGACACATATAAGTGAACTGGGAATATCTCTTGAATACTTCTGTTCATTACCTGATGTCATGACCATCTCAATGGTCCAACAACTTGTGACATGCCCCTGATGACTTTGACTCTCAGATACTAAACTTACAAGGTTACAAGCTAGAAAAATTAAATGGTGTAAATGAAGAAAAAACAGAGCTTCTATATGAAATGTACTGAAAAGATGTGAAATCAGACCTTCTGTCTTCACACAGTGGGTTTTTTCCTCCGGTTTTCCTTTCTAGTCTTCAGTAGCTTCCTGAGCTGAAAAAATTCCTCACAGCCCCTTCTATGTTACTAGGGCAGTTTATTTCTGTTCTCTCTGAAACGTACCTTCGGACAGCTTTCTGATTCCAACCACCCCCTAACTCCTGCAAGGTCCCTGTTTGCTCATATTTCTCTCTCATCTCACTTAGCTCTCCAAAAGCTTTCCTTAGCTGATCGTGACCAGTTTATCTCAGAGAAGAAACTTCTTGTCCTCCACTCAAGAAATAGGCAAATTTGACTTCTAAATCCTTTCTAACAGACACAACAAAGAGCAAACTGACAGACAGGCATTTCCATTATCTCTCACAATCCAGTCTTCATCTCTAAATTTCTGATCTCATTTTACCTCCTGCACATCATCTCTTACCTCGAGCGTGCCAGCTCGGCGTCATTGGCAAAACTGCTGAGGGTGCACTCAACACTACTGTCCACACTGCCAACAGAGATGTAAAACAACAACAGCCCCAATGCCAGCCACCGAGGAACACCACCCATCACTGGTGCCCATTCCATCAGTCTTTTTGACCGATAGTTCTCTCTTATCTTCATGTACCTCCTCCTTCCTTTTTATTCCTGGTATCAGAGTAATCACAAAAACTCCACAATTCTCTCATTGATTCTAGCTCTCTGAAATATCATTGCAATGCTCCTCAGAACACAAAACAGTACTTTTAAAACTCAAAATATTAGAGATTTCTAGCATACTGCAACAGGCAAAGGGATTATATTTTCTGACCTGATATCTTGAATTGCTGATCTTCTGTCTCTTTTTTTCCCCCAAATTTTTAGAGAGGTCACAAGCAAGATAATAAATTCTCCATTCTTCATGCCGATAGCTACCATATCACCTTCTGGGCTGTAACAAACAGTACGAGCTGCATGCCCTAAGCTGACTTTGTTTAGCATCTTCTGTGAAGAAATAAAAATCCCAAAATAGTAACTGTTATGATTTGTCCATATTTTAAAAGCACCGTACACTAATAGTTTGTTAACATGATAACAGTATCAGATGGATTATTCTCAGAATACATTAAAAACCAAGTTTCAAGTCTGCAACACTACTAAACAACTACCTACCTTTTCAACAATATCCCAGAGTCTTACTGTGCCATCTTCTGCAGCAGAAAGGAAAAAATCTCTGGATGGATGTGTAGCTAGGCCCCAGATTGGTCCATCCATATGACCATTAATTAGAATGTTACATGCAGCATTTTTCTCTCCAACTTCAATTATTTCAGCATTTCTTGTCCCAACGAGAATTTTCCCCTTGAACAATAGTGAAGGAATTATCTCCGATGTAATATATTAACCACTCGTGATGAACAGTAATAAAGATATAATCTAGAGCTATAGTTCTGACAAGAAAGTTTGCTTAAATTGAGTTGTTAAATAATCAAAGTTATTTTATTTTTTAAACTCCTCTGATTTATTGAAGTACAAAGCTGTATAGAAATCATAATGCTAGTTGAGTTATTGCTTGTAATGATACTTGATATTTGACATCCGAAGTGTGAAAATAGAAAAGAAATAATTAATTAGTCTTTAAAAAAATATATATGAATATTATCCTAAGTAAGACTGAGATCTCATGAAGTAGATGTTCTTCTGCTGCAATATCCATTGTAGACACCTTCTAACTTAACCTTTAATTTCAAATATTAATTATAAAAGAAAGCAGAAGTCATTTATCTGATATTTACAGAACAACCTACAAATTATAAGCTTTATTTTACAGACAGGAGGTTTTCTTTACCTTGCCCCTACAAACAGAGCGAACACAGTCTGTCATTTGTCCTGTCTCTAGTCTGAAGGCACGACATCTTTTTAGCTCTTGATCCCATAGCTTAACTGCTCCGCCTTCCTTTGAACTGTGAAGACATCAGGAACAATCATAAGTATAATGGATGGCACAAAAAAACCAATTAATATATGAAAGAACTACGTTATTTAATGTAATATATTGCAAATGAGGCATTTTTAATTTGTTTTTTACTGAACTGCTGATGTTAATATGTTGAGCCTCCTAGCTAAGCAATACATACTGATTCCATGTTCTTACTGTACTACTTTGCAGAACAAGTTGAAAGATGGGTGCTGCTAAGCTTAGTCTGAATGAGCAGCCCTGAGGGAATTTGTGTAGTTATAAGAACAGTTAAGTGTGTGAACAAACTGCCATCCCAATAATAAGACAGGCAGACATTATCAATATATAATTGAGGAAAGCAGGAAAGATATGTATTTTACTTCCATGAAATAAATGACAAAACAGTTTTACTTTTGTGAAAATTTCACTATTTTCACTGCTGTGAAATAAAAGACAAAGATACAGCAGAAAAAACACACATTAATTGCACAAGACACCCAACTAATAAGTATTAATTATGAAAACACCAAGTATTTCCCACCCACTTGCAAAAAACCTGGTATTTCAGTAAAGAACACATTCAAATAAAAAAGTTTCTGAAAAGGAGATAATGTTTACTGAATCAGTTATAAATCTGGCATTTCCAGTTGAGCTGGAACATGTCTTATGTGTCTTCACAGAGAAAAAAATCTCCCCTAACAGACACAAAATACAATGTTCTACAATATTGGCTGCCTGTGTTACAACTTTGATTACTGAATGAACCTTGAAAAAGAATTTCAGAAAGTTTAATTAGAAATACTGAGTTTGTACTACTATTATTAAAAGAACTCTAATGAATTATAAATTCATATTCCTTACAATAGAATATTCTTTGCTTCTCACTAGCACTGTTCTGACATATGATTGGTCATCATACTCAGCAAAAGGATTTTACCAAAACAGGCGGGTAAACTGCAACTAAGAAAGCCTAGGCAGAAGTGAGTATGCAATCTTCCTAAATGAGAATCTTTTTGCATTCTGTCAATACTTCATTTTCCCACAAGAGATGAACTGTTGATTCTTACTGGTTTTCATTACTATTTCTTTCAGGTCAAATACTAAAAATTAGGAGTCTCTGAAGCTAAGTAGTAGAGAGATCATCCTCTAAATAAATTTACAGCAATATTTACAAATACTAGAAGAAAGTATTTAAAACAAAGGAATAATTAAGATTTCACCTGTGTCTGAAAAGAAAGTAAGTGGCCTGTATCCTGCAAAGTGGGGCACTATCATTTCAGCAGATGGACCATATTATAGCTGAAGCATTTTTTTCTTTTATCATTAGCAAGGCACTAAAAAGAATTAAAATGCTTGAGGAGATAATTTGTTTACAGTCCCAGAAAAAAAATGATCTTGTTGTACCTTAGATTTGAGAGAAGACAGTTTGCCTCTGCCATCATAACTAAGCATGTCTTTCCTTTGAAAGAAGTTGTTCATGCTATAAAATTTATCACTCATTTATTTAATCAGAATTGTGTAAATTATTGGAGTTAACAACCTCAGTACCTCTTCAGAAAAAAAAGTGACCTTCAAGGACTAGTTAACTTCTTAGTGCTTAAAATTAAATGGGGGTTGGAGTTAGAGAATATTTAAGGTCCCTTTCAATTCTAACCATTTGATGGTTCTAAATTTCAAACTAAATGTTTTGCCTTCTCTCATAAATAATCCTCTGATAAATACTGTTGAACCATTTAGTAATATAAGGTGATTTCAAGGCTGCTTTTGCTTATAATAGTTCAGTCTTTTTCAGCTTAAGGAAGTAGAACTGTATTATCTCTTTGATAATTGTGTATTTGTACTAGGAAAAACATCACCTGACTGATGCAATGCAGTATAATTGATAATGCAATATTACTAGTAATCCATTCACATAATTTATTTTACACTTGCCTATTATTTTTAAACAAAATAGTGTAAAGGCAGCATAAAGGCCTGAAGAAGCTTCACATATGCTTCAGAAAAATGACTGTTATCTAGCAGTTAAAATGATGAAGAACTTCTTGTACAGCATTTAGATTCTGATTCATGCCCCTTGGCTTTAGGTAATTAAGCATGGCACCCTTGTCAGGGGCTGGAGTTTTACAGGATCCTAGCAACCCTAAGCTTTCTCTTATAATCAGTGGGAAAAAATAGGTAGCTGGAGCTCATGTGGGGTTACCTGCACTTTGGACGTGGTGGCTACTCTTTTTCCTAATACCTGGTCAGGGATCCGAAAGAGACTACTCTTCTAGCTCTGATGTCTCAGCTGCCTACTGTTAGATGGGGTGAATCCAAACCATTTTCAAAGAGTACATGTGCATGCAGAAAAAAAAAGAGGAAGGAAGACTCACGGCCTTTCTTTGCCTCCTGTAACAATCAAACCATCTCTTAATGTGGTGTACATTGTGAAAACAGGTCCGTTGTGAGCTTTGGCCACAATTCGTATCAACACATGATCTTTCCAAACACAAACATCTCCACTGATAGTACCTGTAAATGTCAAGTTATTCTGAAAAGGGGAAAAATAAACTCATCATCTGATTCTGAGTAAGGCAGGAAGAAAAACATTCAGAAATAAAGATCATCACCATTTGCATTTAGGCTAAATTGCTTTTATTTGCTGCTGTAGAAGGAGCAATAAGAACCTCTAGAGACAAAACAGTGAGGTACTACATTCCTTCTTGAAGTCTGAAACATGCTTTCTTGTAGCTAACAGGTTCTGCACTGCAAGAAGAAATGCAATGACTTAGAGCTTCAGTTGTGTGGTTATCTGTACTTTCAGCCTATCAAGTGTGCAACGTATAGTAAAACAGTAGAAAATCACAGTAAGTATTGACATTTCACACAAACAGGTAATTTTCATCCCCTTGCTATGTACATTACACTTGCAGTAATTTTTGTGGTTAGGTGAACATACTCACTGGATTACAGTATCCATTAGTTTAAGAAGAGTTTAACTTGAAACTAAAATCTACCTGTTCTTTACTTCTGCTTCCTGTTCTTGAAAGGTAACAAAAATAATTTGAATTGCAATTTATTAGGATACACTTAAAACCAAGAGGAACCCGTTATTGAGCAAAACTGTTTTAGTAACTTCCATGAACAATCCTCAAATTCAGCATCATATGTAGTATTACAGAGTATCATTATGCATGTACAGATGTGGCATGAGCACTTTCCTTAACTGAAGTGGGTTGATGTTCTACATCCTTTTTTTAAAGGAGAGTGTGTGTGTGTGTATCTAATAAAGTAAAAGAGGATTGGAAATTAACTTGAGAGCAGATATTCTGTCCTCACAGCATATCTTTTAGGCCATTTCCAGCTTCTGTTTAGGGTCTCCTTCTGAGACCCAACCAAGAGCACTCCCAGAACTGCTCCCTACATGAAATACAGAGAACATACTGGGTTTGGCTTTATTCAGTTTGCACAGCATTTCACAAAACCCCTGCAAATTCTGCATCCTCAAACAACGTCATACCAAACCCCAGGCCATTTAGCATACAGCCTGATTCTCACCCTAAGAATCTGCCTCTCGATAAGAAAGTTTACAGAGGTTTTCCAAACCCTTTACAGTCTGAGCTGTGCATCAGTAACAGTTATTATTTGAAAAATATCTTGTTTCTTTGTAAGACTCTCTTTTAAATCAGATACCCCTCTGGAAAAGAGACAGCATTATGAAAAAATGAAACCATAGGCCAGTTACAGTTTCAAAAAGCTCAACTGATGGCGTAAATTCAGTCTGGACCAAACAGGCAGATCACCAAACAGGCAGATCACCAAACAGGACAGTAATGCACGCAAGGAATGTGAAGCACCACTTCCCAAAAGAAATCTGTGGCTTTCTACCCAGCTGAAGAGATGAGTGCTGCTCATACAGAGCAACTCCTGAAACAGCAGTGCCATGGAACTTAGCAACAAGGCCTGCACATGTCAAGAACAGCCCAAAGCAAAACAAAACCCTACTGTGGTTGTCTAACAGTGTCTAACAGTCACAGACGTTAACGAATGCCCCAGGGCAACGCAGCTCTCTGATCACCCATGAGCAGCAACACATACAGATTATAACAGAATCACCTCCGGGTGGGCATAAAATTAGCCTTATTTCTACTGTTTGGTTCCTGCAGTCTAGACTCAGTTTTGTTTCACCTGGATTAAATACCAAGCAGTGTATTACCAGCCCAAAGCACCTATATTTGTTTCTCTTGAAAAAATACAAATCCATAATCTTCTTTTCTTTTCTGTTCTAAAGAAAGCTGGTATTAGTCCTAATTAGCAGGCAAGTATTAGAAATGCTAAACTGAGTTTAATGAAACAACTGACATACTCATTAGCAGGTTAGAAAAGTCTCACTAAACTGAATAAAGGCAGAAGGATAAAAACATTTTTGTTTGTATGCATTTTCAAGTAGTTTGTTGAAGTACATACCGCTCCAAAAGCTACAGATAGCATCGTCTGCATGCGGGCATCTTCTATGGAGCTCAGCAGCCCTTTTTTACTGAGAAGAGCTCTTCCAGCCAGTGTCCAGAACCTCACATGTTTCACTCCCACAGAAACAAACTGGGTATCTGAATCTGGTCTGAATTCTGCTACAAATATACGCTGGTTATGTCCAGCTCGGCTGGCAATTTTGGCACCTGATAGAAAGAAAATGAACATTTTGAACTAGCTGAGAAAAATACACATTTCCAATTAAAAAATGTTTAAATCATTTTAACCCATATGAAGATTCCTCAATCAGGATCCTTAGCTGCCATTTTAATTCTGTATCAACTCTTAAGAATGAGCACAGGCATGTTCTGACTGAAAAGGCAGTGAATGCTTCATCTTACCTAAGATTGTATAAACATACACCTGACATTGTGTCCATCTCTAAAGTATCATTAGATGTCACTAGACAAGCTGTGAAAGATCATTTTCTATTAACTTGATAGTTGATCTTTAAACTTCTGAGAGTTACTAGTCGATCAACAGAAATCCTCCAAGAGAGAAGAAGTAAACCCCTAAGACCAGAGAATCAAATTCATAATCTGGGCATGGCTTTGTCAGACAGAAAGAAGATGAGAAAGCAGCTCACCAAATCGCTTTAGCCTGAATCCTGAACACAGATCAAAGCCGATCTGAAAACATGTAGTATAGCTTAAGACACCAACTACAGAGGAGTAGAGGAGATGCATAGAGGAGCTGCACTGGCACCACATTTCTGCAATTTGCAATTTTGGGGAATAATTTTATAACAACCTAGTCAGGAATCACACTTAGAGAAGAATAAGAACAGAGAAGAGTGAAATAATAATGATAATAAAAAAGAATGAAAACTACATTTTTCTTTAATTATTTGGGCTGGAAATCAGTGAACTATCTTGATCTTTACACAGTAATTTCAAAGGATATACATTTAGCAGTTACTAGAATAGGTAAATACATTTATTTAGCTCTTGTTGAACAGAGCATAGTGCATAGCATTTATATGTAATAATTTTTGATCTTCTGATATTTTAATGTTACAATTACTCTTGACTCAAGCCAACATACCTCTGACAAAATAAACATACTCTAAAAAAAATCGTTTTCCTACCTTCCTGCCACTTCCAAATGGTAATGGTATGTTCAGGATCCAGCCCTACGGACAGTAGCAGTTTGCCAGTGGCACTGAAACTGACTGAGCAAACGCCCTTTGAATGGTAGCACCGCAGCACTGACAGGGTCTGTTTGTTCATTGCATCCCACACATGGATAGAAGGAGCTGTGGCTACACAAATACAAATACATATCATTGGTATACATTTTGGAAATGTCTTATAACTTGCTTATAAGTTAAACAGTTAATATTTTTTAGTAAGACAAATACGATTGTTGTGATCAGGCAAGGAAAAAAAAGAAAGAAAAGAAAGGAGATTTTGGCCTCCTTTGGAAACCAATTTACGGTAAACAGGATCACTAGATAGAACAAACAAGTTGGCCTCATTATATTACCAGAGATGAAAACTTTGCTTAACCTGTTATGGGACTTGTGAAGCACAGAAGAAGCTCTGACAGCCAGTTGTCTTCTGTTTTTCTCCTAGTAAAACTTAGATCAGCATGCTAACTCAAAAAACTTCATAAATATCAAGCAACTTATCAAGAACGTAATTTCTATGTGGGTCTTTTGGACAACTGATAGCTACAGAGGAATTAGTGCAAGGCCAAAATCTTCTTTCTACAAAATGGCCATCTGTCTGAAATGCATGCCCTCAAAGGAGAGTGTCAGCTGAATCATCATCCTGCTTACTGATGTACAAGAATTAGGGTATTTAGTTTGCATTGTTTGGACTGCAAGCTCTTTGCAGTAAAAACTGTCTTTCCATGCTACTAATGTATGTGACTATTTCTACCATAATGACAGCTAGTTTTTTCCCAAATGTAATGCCTTCTCAAAAGACCTTGCAATCCACACATAATTTGCAAACTCTGAACAGTATGTAGGGCATTTCCAGGACAGTAAGATTATCAAAATTCTTTACTTCTGATCTCTAGTAAATTTGACTGCAGGGTCTGGAGGTCATAGGTTCCTGTCATAAACACAGATTCACATAAACTATGTTCTATTTCAGCTTCAACCTTTGTTTTTTTAATGAGCTAAATGTAGGCCCTGGAAGGCACGCACATGATGGGAAACAGTAAGCACAGGGACCTAGGCAAAATTGTAGCCCCATGAAACTCAGTTCTTGAACATAATCCCATGCCTCTTCCAAACCAGTCTTTAGAAAAATCTTCCTAATTTCTTTTCTTTCTCATTGGAATTTCCCCTCATGGCAGCAATATGATTTTACCTTTACCTCTTGAAAGGTACTACAGCATAGTATGGACATGCCATTAAAACAGAAATGGCAGGGGTTGACAACAACTGGTATGTCCCAAAATTTTCAACAAACTCCTTGCTGTCCTTATGGGAAGCTGAGGGAAGAGAAAGCTTTATTATGGTTCTGAACGGTTTTTTTCTTTTCAGCACTCCCCTTGGTAAAACTCTGTATTGTCCCTGACCTCTGCACATACCCTATAACCTTGGCCAAAATTTTCCTTTTGGGTGGCAGACAGAAAATTTCACCTAGATTTCCTGAATAAGAACTGACAAAATCTTTCAGAGCAAGATTTGCAGGAGAGAGGACATGGACTCTGGGGTCCTCCTACTTGATGGACTTCTTCTGAATGTCTCTGTCCTGACACTGCATCCTGCTTTGGAGTACTCAACACTCTCATAGGAGAGATTTTCTAAGATGTCAGCTACTTCTGGAAGCAGTTCGATAAAGTTACCATGGGCTGGAAGGACAAAAAATATCTTCAGTAAGGTGGAGCAAATCTACACCAAGTTATTAGGCTGGATTGGCAAATTGAGTTTCCTATTACAAACATTACTGCTTCAAGAACCCCTGCGTCACTATAGACAACTGAAAATTGGAACTAGAAAAGCAAAAGTTTTTGGTAAGAAAGTTGCCCAATAGCCATGGATAAATTTTAAGTGAAACTATTCAACTTTTAAATGAAGGCAGGCAGCAGCTTGGATTCCAGACTAATGGTTCCACAAAGAAGAAAAAAGTAAGAGTGCTTGTTTCAAGCAATGACAACAGAATTTAGTTATATATACAAGCTCAAACTGAAGTTGCAGTAGAAAGAAGGCAAGTGAAAGAGGGAAAGTGTCCAGGCACCATATGCAGAACTAAAGATGTTCTTTCATATAAATAGCCATATAATCACTGATTTTTTTTATACAGTTTAAAAGTGTGGGAAAAGGTACCTATATTCTTCCTCCCATCCTTAGAGCAAGCACAATTTGGCATATTTAAAAGAAGTCAACACACATTAAAGATGTCATTGTACATATGTTCTTCACAGAACAAGCTTTAGGTCCACATGAAGATTATTATAGTTTCTAGCACACGTGAACACACATTTATGCATCTCTGAAGATTCTTCACAAGATGATTATGGTTGCTCAACAATGAACTCATTCACACACGATGGTGATGAATTTTTAAGATTGCAGTTGAAAAAACAACATGTTAATAAAAAATAGCTCAGTCAAGACTGTCAAACTGTCAAAGACCCAAAATGATACAGGAAAAAATTAAGCTGGCATCATAACAACATTTTGGATCAGTGGTAGTAACTGCATGACAATTGTACACAAATGCGAAAGGTGATTGGTTTTTTCACTCAGTCACCTAGGCCTCCTCAATGGAATTTACTTTAAAAATGCATATTAAAATTATACTTAATTGAATGTCTAAAGCAAACATTAATTGTCAGCCCCAACATGTCTGCAAAATCTGCAAGCATACACAGGAATGCTACAGTAGCAGTATGTATCAGAACTCACTAATCACTAAGCAGCAAGAAGGGAATATGCAACTACAAAAGTAGTTTTTAAGTGTGTTCTAACATTTTTTATTGTTTCTAAATTTACAGTTTGCTGAGTTGTTGTGGTTAATATTCAGTGCTGACAGTAATATGACTGATACAGGTTTTAATAAACTAAAAATGAATTCACATCACTTATGATTCTATAAAGCTGCAGATGGGTACTACTAGATAGGCTAACTAGACCTGAAGATGTTAAAATTTTATTTCCCTTACCTGACATATCTGCTGAGTCTCCTGTAATGGAAAAGCAGCAGAAAGATAATTAGATCAGAAATAAGGTAAGTGCTAAAGAAAATATACACCACATTTCGTGTAATTTCTTAACACACACCTTGATGTTATCTCTTTGCATTGCAGCAGCACCAATACTGCTTTCAGTGTTAAAGATGAATAATCACTGATAAAAGGAAGCCACATCAGAAACAAATGATAGAATGAATATATTTTGATTTCCATTTTGAGTTACAACACAAAAATCTACTTTTGGTGTATGTTAGGTCTCTGTCAAAGTAAATGAAAAAGGTTTTTAACATGTTATCGATATTTTAACAAATTAAGTGGAAAAAAATGCTGATTGCTTTTCTGCTAAGAAGTAGAGTTTGGGTCTGACCTTGATAAATTGCAAATACACCCAATAATCTACAGAGCATTAAGAAATCAAGATTTTAAAGGTTCAGGTACTGCGAAGTATTACCAATACTCTGCCTAGCATTACAGTTTAAAAATACTTGAGATAATGTTTCAGTAAATCTTTTGAAGATTGCTATGTTTGTGCCAATCGTATCAGTAGGAAAAGTGGCAGCAGTTAAGCATGTTCTTTAAGGAGTATGTACTCCTTAATATTGTTAAGTGTTGTTTGAAGATATTTTGCTTCCTGCTCATTTTTCTGATTTAATTCCCTTCTTAAAACTATGTATTTTGTAGTCTAATTTTTAAGTGTCATCTCCCCCTGATTTGTATGTCTTAATCCATATTACAAAACAGTTAAAACTGTTCTACTGCTAGTTGATGTAGCAATGATTATGAAATCAAAAAAAGGCATTAAATCCTGTGTTTTTCTTGGGTAAGATGAACACTGAAGAAAAAGAAATTTCATATTCTTCCGGTATGGAATGGCAAGCAGAGCCAGATTAAGAAATATGCTGAAAAATCAAATTCCTAAGGACAATAAAAGGCCTGTAATTCCTGCAAATGTTCTTTGCAATCAAACCATAGGCAAAAATCTGCTGATAATTTTTTCCATTAAAATAATGTCTATTAACAATTTGTTTAAAATTATGTAAGGCAAGAAACTCACCAAGACATGATGCTATTTTAGCTAAGCAGTTACTATTATCAATGAGTCAATTTTAATGAAAAATCCAAAAGACACAGGAAAGCAGGTAATAAACTGTGAAAAACTGACTGTATTTAGATGAAACATCTAAAATACACCTACATAAAAAATAAGCTATTTTGATTAAGATGCAATAAGAGGGTTTTCTGTATTCTATGCACTGAAGAAAACAATGCGGATTTGAATCTGCTGACAAACAACTGCAACCAGATTGTAGGACTACAAAGCTCCCTATTCTGCAAAATTTAGAAATAGCAGTTTCTATCAGCTATGCAGATGTACAACGTGGTTTTTGCTTTTTCTTTTCTTTTTTTTTAACCTGGTCAGTTTTAATGGCACTATTAAACATATATACATTTTCCCTCTATGTTTAAATTTATCTGTAGGGAAACACCATTAGGGTTTTGGTTCTGCCAGGAATATTAAAAATATGTAGTATTAAACCACCAAATATGTATTATAAATCTGCTTGATGAGATAAAACCTACATAGTGTGATGTAATTGAAGAATTCTGGCTTTAATCCATGTAGAAATAAAGTTTAGCTTGATTCAGCTTCCTTGGACGGGCTATGACACCTTGGAAGGCCTAACACAAGTTGATCATTCAATAAAAACAGACTAATTTCATGGGGCTTAAGATTTTAGAAAAAATAGCTTTGATAATACTCCAGACAAAAGATAAATTTAATCTTCTTTCATGCCTCAATATTTTTTGTCAGCTTTATTAAATTACATTCAAAAAAAACATGTAAAGAGGACAGGTAACTGAGTAACACTCATACAAACGGAGATAGCATAATCAAATATTTTTGTGATTTATCATGAACTTACAAAGCCCTAATTGCATGCTCTTATGTTCATTCTTTTTACAAAAATACAAACATACCTACTTGGCCAGTTGCCACTATGTTGGTAAACTTGGGGTGCTGATTAACAGTGAGGCACAAAATATCATCATTGTGTTCCTGGTAAAAAGACTGAGAGCCTAAAAAGAAAAAAAAAAAGAGGTCAACTTTAATTAAAACACTTTCACACACATAGACACGGTCACTATTTGAAAATTTTATAATATTTCTTAGAAAAGAGGATTATGGTGATGTTGCATTCTGGAGCTTAAAACCAGAAAACAGAAACTCCTAATTTTTTATCTCTACTTTAACAGACAGCACTCAATAATTCCAAACTACTCCTTCAAGTTTTCTACATCAAGTTGCTCAAATATCACAGAAACAAATGGCATTTTGTTACTTAAAAAAGGACTGTTATCTAAACTAAATTGGTTATTGGGAATGAACGTATGTGATACAGCTGACTGAAAAGTAAAGCAAATAAAAATACTTATTTTAGACAAAAAAATTAAACTACAGGGACCCTGTTGTTAAGCTCTTTTAGTTTCTGTAGTCATTTTAACATGCAAATGTCAAAAAACGAACATCAAAATAATAAAATCTTTACTTCCTTCAAAGTTTAGTCACCAGGAACATTTCAATATATTTAATTTGCTTATGCAGATATTATGAATCATCTCTACAGACTGAATTTTTCAGCAACAAATAATAATTCTTCCACATAGTTATTTAAAGCATATTAGTTACTTCATAAATTGTAACTTCATGTATGTGAAGAAATATTTTCCCTCAGAATTTTCTCCTACCTGTTGCCACATTGTACAAGATGCCAATAGATGCAGTATGATATATTACATCAGCACCATCATTCAAATAGTGCACATTGTTTCTGCAGTCCTTGCCTCGATACCCAAACACCAGCTCCAAAATTAGGTCCTAAAAAAGATATCCATATCTATTAGATACTCAAAACCTTAAAGCAATTATGAACTTTACGATCTTTTGTAAGATTTAATTTTTAATTATGTCCTTATGTAGTAAATGAAAAGGAGTTTAACGATGTCTCAAACCAACAGAAATTGAGATTGTGCCTTCCCTGTCCGTTTACATTGCTGCTCATTCCTGCCATACACAGTCATCTCACCCTTTCATATCTGTCTGGTGGATGCTGCAGACTATTTATGTGTGTATATGCACACATATGTATATATACACAGAAAGAGATACTCATACACATGCACATAAATAAACAAATAGCAGTGAAGAGCATAACTCTTTTAATGTGGAAGACACTAAGAAACAAGGAACGACAAACACTGGTCCACAATGTAATTCCAGCTGGCAATTGAGAAAGTTGAATTACAGCCTAAAACTTCTAGAACACTGATGTCAAAAGGCTGCTTATTATGCTACACCAAACATTTTATAACATTGACAATATTTGAGTTGGTATAAAGAACTGCATTTTCCAAGGTATAAAGAACTGCATTTTCCAAGGTTAGATGAAATTTCCACTTCAGAGTAATCAAAAGTGAGTATATTTATTTGCAATTGCCATGTAATGAAAAAACAGGTTCCCAAGCTAAAGGTATCATTAATAGAATTTTTAGAATTATTTTTAAAACTTTTATCAATGATGAATTTTAAATGAAGTTTTAGAGTAAATTTTAAAAAGTTTGGATTAAAAAATGTTTAGTTTTATTAGTGATAATACACCTTTTAACAATCCAGTCATCTACACAGGACATATTGATTTCTACAGACATTTCAAAGATTTTATGATTACTAAGAATTAAGTTGCACTCCATTTAATTTGCAAGAAAAAGAAATACAAGCTCTCTCACTTTTTCTGCTATTTACCCACTAGTTACTATTCCCATCTTTGATGTATTTAACATAAAACAATCATTTAATGTATCCACAGACAGATGTTCTGGCAAACAAAATCCTAAAAGGAGAGAAAGAGGAGATCAATGTTTTTCTTACCTCTATAGGTCTCTTTTTTTTCCCCACGTTATTTGTCTGAAGTTTCTCCGGCTGTGGCAATGCCCTACTAACTGGTGGTCTGAAATAAAGAACTGTGAATAAGAGAAGGCTGTCCGTCACCCATTCCATACTAACACAGTACCTTCCAACCTGCTAATGCATAGGGAAAACTTATACCCTATCCTACTTAACTCATATTTGTATTCATCTTTAAAAGGAATATCTCTTTCAAAGAAGAAAAACAAAACCCAAAATCCTTTAACATGCCAGGTTCTCTAACAATTCTTCAACAGTCCATGGGGTTAATGCAAAGGCTTGTTTTAAAATGATTGAACACTTATAAAATATTCTTAGCTTTTTCAAGCTATGTTCTTAAGGTACTTCCATCTTCTCTGCAGTAATTTTTACTGAATAAAGTAAAAATGATTAATTACCCGATTAATCTAAATACTTGGGATACTCATTCCTGTTCCCACATGTCTTCAGTAGACCCTAACTTTTCCTATTTTTGTAATAATTTGCAAAAAACTCCAGGTGCACCTGCCCATTCACTCTTATATCAGCAGACATGAGATATCGATCAATGCTTACTTGGCAGTAAACCATGACCATGCAAATGCAGGAGTAAGAGCCATAATTTATGTTCCACTGTTCTGAATAGTCCAGATTTAATAAGGAAATCTCAGCTGGTTATATTTAACAAGTATCTGCAACATATCTTTCACATTATGTTCAACTGTTCATATACAAAGAAACATACAAACAAATGAGCTTTATTTATTAATTATGCAACTATTCCTAGTAATTTGCAGGAGTATTGGTTATTGATTCTGTAGATACAGCATTTGTGGCAGTGATAAGAAACCTGTAAGCTTGATTGTTAAGAGGAACAATTAATTTAAAAATAAATTCTATGTATAGATTCAATGACATCCAGATTATTTAATCCAGTAGGCAGTGTAACAAACTAACATCATACATAAAGCAACAGGTTAGCTTGTTTTTCATATTCCTTCTTAGTACAAAGCACTTTTAATTTCACCTCTGCTCCTGCTCTTGAGTGATGAATTTGATTCAAAATAATGACTGTGTTTTCTAAGAACAATAAAATATGATTTGTTTTTACACTGTATATTTTGAACTAGTTATTCAAATAAAATAACATTTTCTTAGCTTTATTTCTTCATCCTGTCTAATTTCAGTATATTTATAGATTGATGTCACATCACGTAACAAAATATTTGTACACATTATAATGCAAATTATACTGCAACTACAAACTGTGTTCTGAGATGTTCCAGTTACTCCCTTTACTCTTAGAAACCTGTAAAGTACTTATGGGAAAAAAAATGACAAAAGAAAAACAGATGATGAAAAATTTCTCTCTGGTAAAGCAGTCTGTCATATGCCTGGATCACTCAAATTCAGCATCATACGTCTAGATTTTATGAAATGTGAAACCTTTACAATAGAAAATCAAGTCCAGATATACCAAGAAATATTGCTACTTTACACTGCATAGTTAGTTAACACTGAGTCTTTTCACAGGGAGGGAATGTGGGCTGCATTAAATTCTTATCAGAGTAAAGTATGAAATAATAATTTAAAGGTAAAAAGAAAATTCAAGGCGTGAAAGAAGAAGAAAGATCATATTTCCTATTTCTTCATAAATAAGTGCAAGTTAGAACAGAGATCACTAACTTAAGTATGGAGAAGGACTTCTACAACTTCACGAAGAATGGTAGTCTAACACTTGGTTTTTGCTACTCCCAAAATTCTTTTTATTAAAAACAGGCTTCTAATAAACTGGCAGTAAAGGCAAAATCTGGGGACCTTCACCATATATAGCAAGACAGGTCAGAAAAGGAGTCCAATATGGACATGCACTAAAGGTCTACTTGTTCAGAGACAAGTTAAAAGAAAGCAGCATTTAAATACAGTCTTTCAGTCCTGCTTGAAATTTGTGTGGTGGGAATGTACCCTCAGACTTCATTCTCAAAGGTCTTCAGTTCTTTTTTTCCTCTCCAAGGTTTCCAAATAGAAGGGATTCACATTTACCTTGCGACAGAAAAGTAAGACATTTGAATTTCTTTTTCAATTATAGTCTGGACCTAGCTCACAGACTTTCAGTATGTGAAGGTGAAAAAGTAATCTCCTAACTTTTGGAAAAGAGGAGGAAAAGCAAACCAGTCACAGTCTTGGGTGTCTTCATTGTCTATACAAGCACATTGACCAGCATAGAAACCATGGAATCTATCTCATTTCTGTCACCAATCTCAACATCTGATTTCATGACCACTCTTGAATCACAACTGTCTCTCAGCTTTTATACTTGATGTGAAATTCCTAGCCTGCCAAGCTATTTTCCATGTCTTCTCTTCTGTCCTATCCCATCATTGACTCCTAGGATCCTCTCATCTAGTTTGTCATACTACAAGAATAGCTCTGCTAGGTAAAATTCTCAATTTTTCATTTTAAAACATAAAGAAAATACACTTTTATTTAGAATTTTCTAAATTTCTAAAAAACTCCCCAGCGTTTACCATATTAAATATATATGGAGAGAGGTTATCTAAAAGAGGAAAACATGTTTGGCTGTGTTTGTTCCCCACTTTCACAGCAGATGAGAAATTTCAGTTACAAATACACTCATTGGGAGGCAACAGGTATCTCCCAGTGCTGTAGAAGTCTTGTCATCACTGTGTGCTGCCCAAACTGAATCAAATCCAATCAAGTAAAACTACTGAAATGCATGAATAGAAATTGAAAGGCACAGATTGAGTACATGGAATGGGCTTTCTGAAAGCATTTCGGTGACACAGAGAATAAAAACCTGCCCATATTCATTCAATTAAATGAAGAGACAAAGAGAAACACACAGTGCAGTTCCTCTTAAAATTTGCTGGGGTGGGGCAAGGAGAGGGAGGAATAAATCAGACAGTTTCATTAAACACCTGAGGTAAATTTGCATTAAGATTCCCTCTTCTCTCCTAAAAAGAATTTTTTTCCCCAATATTTTTTTTAAATGGTCACACTGATATCCCAAAATATTACAAATAAAGTTTTGTTTGGATTTTTAAGTGGTTTGGGGTTTTTTTGCATATGAATATAAATACTGCTTAAAAGGGAACTTTTAAGTTTTTTAGTACTTACAATCTGTGAAGTTAAATGACAAAACAATAACCAGTTCTCTGCCTATGAAATCAAAAGTCTCTGAAGAATGAGCAGGATTAACAAGTTAAATGAATTGCAAATACCCATGACTCTACATAACCTGTTATTTTATGGCTAAGAATTATAGTTATTGAAATATATCTAATACCTGATTTGTGTAAAAAGTTAATGATATTAACAGATGCTAACCAAATTTTTTTCCTACCTACAAGTTTACTTCGAATTCTAATTTAAATTTCTGAATTCCTTTGGCACCTCTGTAATTGCTGCTCGTTTATTAGGTAACTAGGATCCCACTTAAAAATGCAAGTTCACTAAAAAGCACTTATACAAAAATGTTTTCTTAAAAACCACTTACATAATGTTGACTTTGAAACCTTTTTTTTTTTTTTAAATTAAGTAAACGCAACATGTAGCTTTCTCTTTTTAACATGGGAACTGGGAACAATACTGAAGTGCCAAAAATTGGAAGATTGTATACCAGTGATTCTGTTGTTCTAACCATTAGTTTTCCCAAGAATCAGCTTTCCACTGTCAGATTACCTCTTCTCTCATCCCATGTAGCAGCAATAAAATCAAACAGCAGGTATAGTACGGGGTACTGCAGAAATGTCAGACTGTCCATGCTGTTTGTTGTGCATGCTGCTTCTATTGGCATGTTGCAGAACCCAAAAAGACTTCTGGAGGAAAAGAAATCCAGTTATCAAAGACATATTAAGGAGTAAAAAGAAAATCACAGTGCCACCTTACTCAGCTGTGAAGTATCAACATGTTACTGGAACTCATCATTTCTCTGCTGCTTCGTTCTAGAATATGGCATTTTTATAACACTTGCTGTCTGCTAATCCCTCATGATAGAATGGGAGAAGAGGTAAAACAGTCTCAAATTAAACAGCTGCTTGAGAAGACTGTCTATACTCAAAGGCTGCACAGATACAAATATAGGTTGATATCAACCCTAGCCAATCATTAGAGTACATTAAACATCTGTACATTACCACACAACAGAATAAAGGGAATGTACACTGGTCAATAAAACTTGGCAACTTTTACTCAGCTTTATTATCTAACAGGTCACCTAAACAATTTATTGAAGTACCTATCCATGCAAGGCTAACTCTATACTGATCCAGAGCAGTGGAACCAGAATGCAAATTACAAGCACGTAAGTTTTTTCCCAGTTAAGTTTCTAGGTGACAACTTGTGCATTTAAAAGCAAGAATGTTGAAGGACAGAAGAATACATTTTCCAAGTGCATTTTTGAAGGTGTGAAAGCTGAAGATATTTTTCACTTGCTATTTAATGTGCAGGAAAGTGACTGATGGCATATACAACACACAGTGGTCATATGCCTGTATGCATAACTGGTTGCATGCTCAAAAACTGTGTGCAAAAGATGGGAAGGAGAGCATGAATAAGATTTTGGGGTAAATGCACATATAGATGGGTTCAGTTTGAGCATGTGGAAGGAGAGTTCCAGCCATCTATCATAAGGGAAATAAATATCTTAATATTAGTGCTTTATTTTCAAAATGAAAATAGCGTTGGTATATATATTTTAATATTTCTTGTTATGAAACCATAACAATTGCATACAATCATTTCTAAGTAGTGTGTGAAACAAAGAAATCCCTTTTTCACACTTTTAGACATACCTGCAGCATTACTGATACTGCTACCCATGTTGTCTTGTATGATGTTGTATTTCACTCCCTATTTTCATTATTGGTACTGAGTTTCTAAAGTTATTAACAGAATAAGTATGAAGTATAGAATGAATTTTAAAAGTAAGGATGACTTCTTTCAATTTACTCTTGGCAAGATCTTCAAAGTCACTTGTAAAAATTTATAGAGGTCTGATTTCCATTAGAAGATAATGAAATGTGGTAGTTTATAAATACTGCTTCTTGGTAATAATTACTCATAAATATTTTCAAGTGCCCTGTGAGTAGTAAGTGCCAGTTTGTATCTATTAATGCAGATATAGGTAATCTAATACTTATATAATTTAATAATATATACACCTTGACATGTCAGGTGAGTCTGTCCCATCAAGTGCAGAACAGCTGTGCATTAGGGAACTGGAAAGGGAAGGAGTGCTAATCTCTATATTTTAATAAATATTATTGAAAAACACTACTTGTAAAACATAGGGCAGTTTAATAGTTTATGGAATTAATTTTATATTGGTAGATTTAAAAAAGTCTGGCCTATTTTATGAAACAACTACAATGAATACATGTAATTTATAATTTGTAATACAGTAACATTCTAAAGTGATAGGTGCATGGTATAGCACCCAACATGACAGATGGCTATTTAAGGAAAATGGGAGATGATAGTATATGATGGACTAGATAGCAAAATAAAAGCATTACCTGGAACCTCTTTTCAGCAGCAGATGGGAAAGAGAAAAGAATTACTTATACAAGTTTGGCTAAAAGTTAGGTGTCAGTGAATTATTCATATAAATAATTACTATTGACTTCCTGGTTTGTTTACTTTTTTTACAACAAGGGGATTACTCACTTCATAGACTGTGTAAATCTATTAATTGTATAGAAAACTCCCATTCACTTCAATGGGAATTATGAACATGTGTTCATATGAGAATAAAATTCTTAGGAATAATTCCTACTGTAAACACAGAAAGAAATCAGAAGCAGACCCAAAAACCTCTGAGGTATATCAAGTGTTTAAAGAGTTGGCAAACACAACACTTGAATTTAATGCACAAAATTAGCTGATAGAACAGTCAACTCACTATTAGAGACAGACATTCAAGTTCACTCATAAAAATACATTCAGTTATACTAAACTACAACTACCTCAGCTAGTCAAAATGTGTGGGCTATTGAGCTCTGCCGATATATACTGTTTTTTCATGACTATTTGATCCAGCTTATGTTAACTGAAGATACTTTGCACTGGATGGGTTTCCTCAGTCAGGTATGATGTACACTCCTATACCTCAGCTAGCTGAAAATCATTATTAACGACCAGAATATATGGGCATGTATAGATTATTTCCTAATGTCTGTAGTATGCACGGGCACTTTCCATTTGTTTGATTAGTGGGTACTTCCACTGATGTGGTTAGAACAAACATGTAACTCCATTGCGGCAAGGAGGACACGAGTTAGTTTTTTTCACTTATAAGTGAAGCAAAAATAATTTAGGGAATAATTTAGGAAAAACTTACCTGAAAATTAAGAACACAATGTTAACAACTCGCCAATTTACAAATGGATTTCTTCACCCATTGAAATTAATGTGTTTTACTCAATCTCTTCTAATTAGTTCTAACTTTATCCTGCAATGCAAGACTGATGCACTGTTTCCTCATATAGGAAACAGCTAAGCCTTTTCTCACAATAAAATCCAAATGTAGCTTAAACATGTTTTACAGTCAATAACATGCAATTCTTCAATGACTACAGAATTCAAATACCTTCAGATAATTTTCACAGTAAGCTCTATGCAGGGGAAATGAGAAATTCTCCAAGAACGGAGCTCAGTTTTCTTTTAGAATTTTCCTGAGTCCACTGAAACAAATTTTCATATAGTCAGAGGAAACTTTTTAGCTTTGATTTGGCAGTTTCAATTCTTTAATATCCAATTCTACCATACGGACCACATATGACACGTCAAATTACTAGCTAGCAAATGTTTACGTATATGGAGATATGGCTGGATACCTAACTGGTACAAGGCAGATTTCATAAAAGGCTTTTTGTTCAGTCTTCATCACTGAAATACAGAAGATTTCCATGAAGCTGTATTCAACCTATCTAGCAATATGCCTGTGTTCCAGTTACCCCCTTTCTTCAATAAACGCATTCTGTTTAGATACCTTCTTAGGTTCTGTTGATAAAACTAGTCTACACAGATCATAAATCAAATACAAATCTTCCAACCTCCATCAGTGGGCCATGCAATCATTCCTCTAGACATTTCCTTTTTAGTTGCAAAATTAATAGTTTTTTCTCTTTGCATTCAAAAAAGGAGATTATTTGGTAAAACTTGATACTTTGCTAATTGGCTTTTCCATTTCCTCAAAGACATGAGTTTTAGCTCATCTTTAGGAGAAAGAAATAATTACCTCAAACTGGTAAAGGAAGACTATTCCTTTCCATGATGATGTTTCAGTCTACAGCTTTTTATACAAGAAACTAACAATAATTACATTTGTGCTTGGAAAGAATGAAATCTGAAATTTCAGGGGTTTCAGTCTCAAGGGTAATGCCCTGTACTAACACACATTTCAATGGGCATAAAGGTTGGCTTCAAAAAGGCCCGTTTTCTAAACTGTTGTTTTTTAAAGAAGTTAACTTTAAATTTAAACTTTCCTGTAATCTAATTTATTCTGCAAACGGGGAAGAGAGAGAGAAAGAAGAAGCTGCTATCACAAAATCTCTTGCTATAATTTTTCATTTTGATTCCTCTCCCAGATCACACAAGGAGAAGATGATTTTTTAAAAAGAGCTCTGGAATTCATGCTATTTACATTGATATCACAAGTCACTAGATTAGCAAACAGAAAAACGTAATTGCATTCTGTTCATTTATCTAAAACATATGGAAAATGTTTGTTTAAAATCTCTGAATTTCTCCTCCAGTGGCAATTACAAGGTGATAATTATGAGGTTCAGATAAAGGAAATCTCATTTCAGGAGCTTCCTCCCTCTCTCACTCCTTTGGAAAAACAATTTAGTTTTATTTGCTGTCTGTATTGGGTAAAAATTCTTCACTTCTGAATCTGTAAAGGACTAGTTTGTAAATAATTTTTTGTTTCCTTCCCATTTTTACATCTGTCCATAAGTCCTTATAAACACTCAAAAAAAATCTTCAAGACAAAAAATAAGGAAATATATAAATAAAATCAGTTTTGCCACAATGCCTGGTTTGGAATTTACCTGGGAGTGGATGCAAAACATCCAAAGAATTTTTGAAAGATATAAGCCACTGGGATCTTTTCATGCAAGAGATCTCAGCACATGGACTGAGTAATGGTTTTAGCTGCCTGCAAATCTTTAAAATTTATGGTGAAAAATTACTGGAATCCTGGTTGTTTAGTTTTGAGATCTCTTGGTACAGCCATTCTTATGTAAGTGACATTATTAACAGCATTTCCCCTTTGACAGTGACAAATAGCAAACTTCAGGGAACATAAGAACAGAATAAGAATGGAGTGATATTCTCCAGAGTCATCTCCCAACCTCCAGTGATTTGCAGTTCAGGAAGTAGCTGAGCCAAAAGTGTTTTGTGTTTTCAAAATCAATCATGGATTTTTTTCTGAGTAATTTATCTAGCAAAAAAAATAGTAGAAAAAGATCCTTACTAAAGGATCAAAATGGTTTTCAAATGTATTTTGCCTTGCTGAGTATGTGTAGTGCTATTACACAAACAAGCTAGAGACACAGTAGACATCTTTTCACAAAAGAAAATATTACCTATAAACATAATTATTCAGAAATTATAAATAATTCAAATTACAGACCTAAGTGCTGCCTCACAGCCAGTGGCATGTTGTGTTTTCAACTGAAGTTGAAATAAGTATTCCCATTTGAGTGACATAGTATGGTAATTTCACTACTAGAGAATGGTATATATTAGTAGAGGTGGCCTTTGACAACACTGCAAGTGAACCTTAAACCAGTTGAATCTGAATGAAATCTTGAATTCAAATCCATAAGGTCTTTTTTAAAAGTTGCCTGAAATTTAAAGCTTTAACGTATTTCTATTCAGCATATCAACTTTTACAGCACTAGCATCTCTAGGTTTAAAAAAAATAACTCCCTCCCTTATTTTCTTTTGACTATTGAATTGCTTAAACAAGAAAAAGAAAATTCCCAGAAAAACTCGGGAAAATCACGTTTGTCCTGACAGAAAATAAAGGCAGTGCGACATGGAAGTAGAAGCTGATGCAACTCACATCTCCAGTTAATGTGTTAGCCATAAAAATGATGAAGACACAGAAATGTCCACTGCCTTTAGTAAAACTGTGTTGTTGTGAAGGTAAAAAGAATTTTTTTTTAACTTCTGCTATTTCAAAGATAAAAGTAATTTATGAGCAAAACCATAAAGCTGAGAACAGGAAACTTTATTTGTTGAAGATCAAAAGTAATCCTTAGTTCAGATTCATGTTCAGGGAACTGCATTCAGATTTTGAATTAAGGGTCACTGGAAGAAAATAATTATGCTGCAGTAAAAGCAGAATCGCATGTTCTTTCACAGAGAAGTTACCTACCCACCAGACTACAGCATTTTGCAGCCTCTTCAGCCTGCTGTCCCTTTCTGACTCTAGGGATTCCTTCATTGGTTTCTGCAGCACTTTAGCAAAAAACCGCTGTTTTGACACACGTGTTGATATGTATTTGAATTTTTGATAGACTAAATGGCATAAAAGTGTAATTTCCTATGTCATCCTACTGCTTAAAAAAACCCAAGGTCAACTCAACCTTTCTCATAAATATTATGATCAAAATAATTTTAATTAATCAATTTTTGAGCAATACCTGACTCTAAATACAGGCCACAGGGTCAGACTACAGCTCCTGGCCTTGCAGATGTGCTTTTGTGAGTCAGAACTAGGAAGCATATGAGATTTCAGGTAAGGTACTTCTTCTTCTAGTGTTCTATTTTTATCTCATTTAATACTCTGCATACTAAAAGTCATACTCCTTTTATATAGAGGAAACTTCACTATTAAGCTAGGGTTTATGAATTACATATCAGCTGTCAGGCACAATCTTAAGTAGTAACCACATTTTTGGTTTGGTGTTTAAAGTCTTTATACATAGCTTTGGAGCTCAATTATCTTGTAGTATTTAACTCCATCTTCTCCCATAGAGAATTAAACACTTCCTACACTCTAGTAAAAGAGGTTCAGATAGTTTCTGAACAGAAATCTCCTCCATACACAAAGTCTAAATTAGTTGAAAGACATTCTCAGAAGCACATTGTTCACTAGTGTGCACCTGTGATCCTGAGATTACAAGGATTCCAATAAAGTGTTACTACAAGAATCATATCTCTTCTGATGTTTGACAGTCAACATTAACAATCTTACACATAACATGGAATGCCATGGATGTACAGTGTACACTCTGAACAGCTGTACTGTGTTTGCACAGCAGGGTTTGGGTAGCAGGAGGGGCTGCTGGGGTGACATTATGAGAAGCTGCTAGCAACAGCAACTGGAGAAGAGCAGTGGGAATATGAGAGAGAAACAATGCTGCAAACACCAGGTTCAGTGAAGAAAGAGGGGGGAGCAGGTGTTCCAGGCCCCTGAAGCTCACTGTGAAGACCACAGTGAGGCAGGTGGTCCCCCTGCAGTCCATGGAGATCCACAGTGGACGGACAGCCATGGAGGACAACACATTGGAGCAGGGGGATGCCCGAAGGAGGTTGTGACCCCATAGGAAGACTGTGCTGGAGGAGGCTCCTGGCAGGACCTGTGTCCCCATGGAGAGAGGAGCCCACACACTGGAGCTGGTTTGCTGGCAGGACTTGTGACCCTGTGGGGGTCATGCTATTGCAGTCAGTTCCTGAAGGACTGCATCCCATGCAAGGGACTCATGCTGGATCCACTGCAGCCCATGAGAAGGATGCACATTGGAGAAGTTCATGGAGGACTATCTTCCATGGGAGGGACCTCACACTGGAGCAGGGGAAGAGTGTGAGGAGTCCTTCCCCTGAGGAGGAAGGAGTAGCAGTGACAATGGGTGAACTGACTGCAACCCCCATTCCCTGTCCCCCTGTGCTGCTGTGGGAGGAGGAGGTAGAGAACTCAGAAGTAAAGTTAAGCCCTGGAAGATGGGAGGAGTGGGGGTAAGGTGTTTTAAGGTTTAGGTTTTTTACTGATTAGACTGGTAACAAATTCAAATAATTTCCCCAAGTTGAATCTGTTTTGCCTGTGACAGTAATCGGTGAGTGATCTGTCCTTGTCCTTTTTTCTACCCACAAGCCTTTGGTTATATTTTCTCTCACCAGTCCAACTGAGGAAGCAAGTGATAGAGCAGCTTTTGTGGGCACCTGGCATTCAGTCAAGGTCAAAGCAAAACTCTGTATAAGTTAACATGTTCTGAAAACTTATACAGAAACAAAGACTTTACAGATGCACTTTTTTTTTCAAAAGCCTAAAACCAGAATTAATTTGATAGAGGTTGCTAGTGGTATGTTCTAAAATTTAGATGAAGGCAGCAGCTTTCCTGATTATGTCAAGTTGTCTTTAAGAAGGATACACAGAATTTAACACAATTGTATCATCTGGCACCACAGGTATGTGACTTCATTGAAACAGAGTCCAGGTAGGTATGAGAGGGCTTCTCCTTTCTTAGTCAGTGTAGGTCCAAGTGGCCTGACACTTCAGTCTACAAACCTGAAGCGTGGCCTACAGCCTAAGGATTTGTGCTACAAATGTAAGAACATGTTTTTGAGTTTGCATATATTCTAAATAGAGTATGTGCAAAAGCTCATAACCTAATGCAGGCACCTAAGCTAGAGACTCCCATATGAACACTATGAACACCCAGCAGCTCTGATCCTCAAGTAGTATAGTGCATTGGTAAAATGCTGCAGCCAAGGCAATAATCTTCCTCTCGTTCCTGAAGCATTATTAACTCCAACACAACACTGCAGCCATGGTGATACTGCTCAAACAGTCACTTCAGGCATCTCTGCAACATGCTCACTGCACTCTCTATTCCATGCTGGACCTCTACAACAACACTGTAATACAGTCTTACAAAAGTCCACAAGCAGTTAGGCAAGCTCTGATTCCGGCTACTGAAGTCAAGCTGTTCCTTAGTCACTCCAAAGTACTGAGGAAAGGAGGATGAGGTTTGAACACCTCCTCCCAAACACTCTATATAGTGTTCACTCATGTCAGCTCCGACTGAGAACTGGATGGATTTTTTTATCCTTATCTCTTTTCTACCCATTAATGAGATACTATTTAATAGTAAAGAGATAAATCCTTCACTTCTATTTCAAAGTGCAATTACTTTCCTAAGTAGTTTGTTATTAAAATGCATTTAATCCTGGACTTTGTGTAAGTAAACTTACCTTACTACCCCCTGCCTTCATAGGAAGCAAAAGGAAAGAGTAATAAAAATAAAATAAAAATTAATATCTATGACAGTAGACTAAAACATTTACCAGTCTTATACAATATTACTTTAGCAGAACAGAAATTAAATACAGTAACCATAACCTGGTTTTACTCTTTACAAAAAACTTTTCTCTGAAGTTTTAGGGTCCCAGACTTTTAATAATGCAATCAATGGAATTCTTTCATTAACTTTTATGCATTCTGAATCAGAACTTAATTACCTTACTACAGAATTAATTCTCTTTTAATATTTTATTTGAAACTGAAAACCACAACTCACTCAGCTTCCAGAAACAATTCTTGAAAGAAACACAAGAGGTTTACAATTTCATTTTAAAAAAAAAGTCTTTAATCATAGCTTTCATACCATGCACATTATTTCTTTTTGATTTCCACATCAAATAATCTAATTAAAAAAGAGAAAGACCATTTCTCATTATAAATGCAAGACAGGGAACCATGGCATTATACACAGGCATCCCACTCCCTCCTTCAGCAACACAACTTAAAAACAAAATAAACACAAAAAACTCCCACAACCTCAAATTGCATTTCTCAACAAGTGTATCATGGATGTGTCCAGCTTCACTGTGGAAAGAGGCATGAGCATCATAACAGAACTCCTCACATTCCTGCAGGAAATTTCCAATCTGCTATTTCACTATATCATTACATCTAATTATACTGTGTTGTTTTCCTTACTTCCCTCTCTTTAATATTAGCATTCCTCAATTGCCATGTTAGGAATCCCTCTTTCCTTCTCCCTCACAAATACTGTCCACATCTATTTTACTGACAACAAACAACAACTTTCAGAGTCCTGTGCTCGGTTGCAGATTCTACAACAGCTAATGTTCTAGTGGTTATAAATTGTTTTTCTATTTCACATCTATTTTACCTTCTGGTCTTATTCTACTCTGCTCCTCACCCATTCACTTCTAAAGCATATAATAGTGAACCAAGCAATACAACTGACACTGCAAAGCAAGCAACTTCATTTTCCAAGACTCATTAACAGAAAATGCAGAACCACTGTAGACAGAAGGTACAAGTTATGTGAAGATAGAGGCAGTGCAACAAGCAATTAGAGCTGAATTTGTCAGAGTATTTTGTTGGCCGAACCAAGAAAGAGAGCTGTGTTTCATGAAAAAGATTGTACAAGCTAATGCCTATGATGCCATCACTAGATACCACTTAGTATTTAAGTTTCAAAAAGAACATATTCTTAAACACCAGCAAATAAATCAATTATCTCAAGAAACTCCCCAAACATAAAAATATACATACACCATTTGTAGTCTTTTGTGTTCTCTGAAAAATATATACAGCCTAGTCCTTCAGTAAGAATTTTCTTTTTCTTTCCTCCAAAGAAATGTTCAGACTCTTTTTATACATATCCTTTTAAGTTAAGAATTATATACTTCACTATAATTTTGTTTTACTATTATTATCTTTTCAGATTGATTTCTTGGCTAGAATTGTAATTTAGTAATTACCTTTCATCTAAGGTTGGCTCCTTTTGTTGCAGATGAGGCTTAATTCCAAACATTGGTCTAATGTTTGTTGATAAGGCTTTGATGGTGTAATTAATTTCATTTTCCCTTGTTACATCACTGTCATAACCTAACAAAACCAGAGTGAACAGTATCAAACCAAACTAAGGTACCAGAAAAAAAAAATTAAATCATAATTTGTGCAGATTTCAACAATGTACTGGATTACAAAAACAATTATAGCATCTATTATTAGTAACATAAATACACAACAGAAAGAAAGCAGCTGGGAATCACGAACATTGTTAATAAAAGGCATTCTAAGAAAAAAATTCCCTACAATATCTTCGTCGAAAAAATAATTAAAGAGTTCAAAGCTATCCCATTTCTGCTTGGTTGGCCTTAACTAGGATCACTAACAAAGGACCTCACTACCTGACACCTGCTCTTAAGATCTGTAAGATTTGGCACCTGGTTGTTCTCAGTTCCAGGATCTATCCATTACGATGGAATCTATAGGTCTGCACAGGGTTCCTACACAATGCTTAGGGATAGTCAGGCATATCAAGGTGATGTTTACTATGGTAAACATGGCAAAAAAGCTAAATAGTGACAGGGTTGTTACTCACCCACCATTATTTATTTAAGATAGAGACTTCTAGTGCCAACACTGTGAATAGTTCTTAACTCTAACTGAAATTATTAGGACATGACCAAGAGAAACTTTTGTGGATAAAGATGTCAGTGTCTTTTCTTGTAAAGCTTCACAGACCTCTCTCATCTAGAGTACTTTCGAACACTTAGCTTAAGAGGGTTCTGTGTAAAGTACCAGAGCCTAAGGAAGGTTATAGGGCTAAGATGTGCTAACAGGTCACAGACAGAAGCTGAACAAAACCTCTGAAAATTGCAATTTTTGACTTAGAAAGTTAAAGCTGACAAGTCCTCCTGTAGGCAATTAAATTACTTTGTGGACGTATTCTTCAATAATTTTAAGAAGAAAGACAGTGAATAAAAACTCTTCTCCAATTAATGTTTACTATGTCTCTGATATTTAAAGTGTTTCTTTGGTCATTTAGCAGATTTTAATGAAAACTGAAGATAATTTATTACATAGAACTATTTAAAGAGTAGCAGTGATAGTTTAAAAGTGCTTGAAGACTGAGGAATTGACACAGAGGAAAAACTGCGCTTGGGAGAAGAGAAAACAAGTTTGGAGGCTCATGAACCCTTGGAAGTATAACATGAAAGGTAGAACACTAAGTATGGCAAAACCAGCAGAAATTGATACTACAAAATGTAATTAATATTTTATAACTATTGATTTTATGATCTCGCAATAGATTGTTCCATTTATCAACATGAGTCCACCTCAGTCTACTACGCTTCCATGTTATGGAAAAAGATGCTATAACATCAAGATAACTATGATCTTACATTACACAGATTCCAATATAATTCCTTTAGAATTGGTGCCTTAAGTCTAAACTGTGATGATTCTATTTTTATAGACATTGACACAAATTTTTTCTTTTAAAGAGTCTATTTATATACTCTAACTCAAAGTAGCAGTAAGTCAAACATTTCACGATCATTTTCTTGTCAGCAGTTTAACAGTCCTTTCCCCAAAAAGAAATTTTATTTAACATTTTTGAAGACTCTTCACTACTTACAATCAAAACAATCTATAAAATGATTATTTCCAAATTAGCAGTTTTCCATTAATAAAATAAAGTCTTCTTGAAATAGCATAATCCAGCTAGTTCTATAAATTATTACCCACCTCCATCTTCTTCAGAATCTAGATCAGACTCTTCACTGTCACACTGCCTGCTATCCCGATGTCCTTCCATCTCATAAGTCCACAGCATTAAAGAGGTGTCTGCTCCTCCAACAGTGACCAACAAACTGTCGTCGTAGGTCCAACGGACATTTGTTACGTGGGTACTGTGAGCAACATACCTCTTAAATTTTCCAAACTTTCCCTTAGAAGGGAAAAAGAAAGGCAAGGATCAAATTTAACCAGTTTGCTCGACAAAACTGAAATGAGTTGCCAGTGCACAATGACATGTCTTAACTTCTTTACAGTTCATGCTTCAGCTGTTTCTCATTTCATATGATTGTATCACATGATTTGCCAAGTCCCTCTCCTATAGCAACTTCATGAAATTGTTAACCATATCTCCATAGCAAGCATGCAAGAATTAGTTTATAAACAGATTCCAGCAATTAATACTGGATCACTTTTCCTAAGAGAGACAATAATCTAACTGATTCAGAACAAAATTCACATCGAATATTTTGAGTCAGTATTTGTGCATTGTTACCATCCTTATCATGGCAACATTTCAAAATTGAAGACATATTTACTAATAAATAAACAGGAAAACTAGAAAGGTTCTGGAAGAGTAGTAAAAATATAATGTGCTTCCGTAACGGTTTTTCTATGATGCATGGTTAAATAATATTAAAGCTCTTCATCTTAGAAAAAAATTACTGAGGTTGAACAGAATGAAGGTCCTTAAATTCATGAGTGAAATGTGAGCAAGAGATGTTCATTGTTTTCCAAAGCATTCCCATTACTACACTTCTCCTGTGCATTTGCCACTGTCAGCAGCAAGACACTGCATGAGATGGCTCTATAGTCTCACCTGGAATGGTTATTCTTACCACCTGCAAGTTTAATGCACTGCAAACTGCGATGTAATACTGAATGCCTTTCTTTGATCATAGGGAGAAGAATATAAAAGCACTATTTTGTTCTGAGTGATTTCACTGTTTTGAAAGGGTAGATTTATTAATTAATGTTCACCATAAACAGCTGAAAATTACTTACTTTAGCAGGGTATCGGAACAGTTTCACAAACCCAAAATCATCTCCTGTGGCTAATACTTTACTATCACTAGTGAGGCATGAAGCAGTTACATCTGTGACTTCACCAATTATTGGCCAAATTCCTTCACAGCAAGAGCCCAAAACGCTTGTCCATGATGCCCAGCCAATCTTTTCTACCTGCAAAAACAACCCATTTCAGATAGAGTATGCATCTTCCCAGGCATTTTTCTTCCATATCTGATTTCAAGTAAAAGTCCTTGCACTGAAAGATACATCATGTCTGAAAGATATGATGTTTTAACATATTAATCACTTATTTTCTTATTATTCAGCATTTTATTTGAGATCTGTAATTTTACCTCTATTAACTTTAAGTTCCAAAACCTAAAGAAATATTTTAAAAATTTTTACCTTACCTCCCCTTCCAGGCTAAAGAAAAAAAATTATATATTCTAATACTGTCTTTCAATCTCATGGAAAATATTATTTGAAAATTATCCATTTTTGCTCTCTGCCCTATGACAAGGCTCTATCTCTGAGAAAACAAAACATTACAGCTACAATATACTACCCTTGCCTATATGTAGTATGTGTACTATATTGCATTGTTATGTAAAGAGAGACATGATGTTTTCCACAGCAAGATTAGGGCAAACTAATCTGCAATTTTCAAAGGTGTTTAGGTACCAGAAAAGGCACACAGAAGTCTAGTGAGATTTTCGTGACTAAGTCAGCCAAATGTCTGTTACTTAACAGAAGAGACAAATGTGATATCCCCTATGTATTTCATTGGTCTGGTTACATTATCTAATTGAACAGGCTAAAACAATGAATAAAGGTGAGCAAATGCTGAAACAGAAGCTTTTTCAACAGATCAGTTAAAAATTATATTTTGATACATCATTCCCTCTTATGTATGTTTCATACCCTCTTATGGCTGTTTCATAACTCTAATTTACAAACAAGTTAGAAAGGCAGTACAGTTCCTTACCTCCAAAGTAGGAATTGTCTGTTTTTTCCCACGAGGGGCTTCAAAAAACAACTGTTCTTTAGCACCAGTGTTGACCTGCAAGAGTTTCCCTATAAAACATATTACATATTGTATGTTAACATTAAATAGAAGATTCCATTTTACAGAAGAATAAAAAAAAATGGTTATTTTGAGATCTTTGCTGCTAACAGCACTACATAAATTATTTTAGAAAAAGTTGCATACATAAATAATGGATCTGGAAGTATGGTCTTCTGAAGAGATCTAGGTCTTTTGATCTCTTAAATTCACAACCCTTTTTCCTCTCTTTGAAAAATGTAATCATGCATCACTTTTCTCTCCTTTTTATGGTTGTCCCATCAGATGGTAGACAAAATGTCTATGATAAAGCTTGTCTATGATAACTGGTTGATGATGCATGTGCCCTTGGGATGGCAAAGCACATATGCTGCCTGGCCAATGGCTGCTTCCAAGCAGGTGATTCCTGCTTGCCTTAATACTACTTCATTTCTGAGGGAAATTTTCACCAATGTCCTCTTCCTCCTTTCAAAATTCTCTGAGAAAGTTAATTCTTAACACTCTTACAAATTTAATCAGACTGTTTCAAAAGTCACTATATAGAGAAATAAGAACAGGAACTAATAGATTCACAATTGCGCAGCCTTGGTTTTGAATGCAACAGGACTAAATCTAGCATTTAAATTAATCATCTATTAATACCCAGGAAGACTGGAAAACCAGTCTTTCTGCTATATTTAATAAAAAGGATATATATTCCTGACCTACAGACACAACCATATTATGCAGTATATTATTAAAGAAGTAAAACCATAGAATCATAGAATGTTTTGGGTTGGAAGGGACCCTAGAGATCATCTAGTTCCATCCCCCCCACCACTACACCAGGTTGCTCAGAGCCCAATCCAGCCTGGCCTTGACCACCTGCAGAGATGGGGCATCTGCAAGGTCTCTGGGCAGACAATTCCAGTGTCTCACCACTTACAGTAAGGAATTTCTTCCTGATATCTATTCTAAACCTATCCTCCTTCAGCTTAAGGCCATTCCTCCTTGTTCTATTACTAGATGCCCTTGTGAAGTCAAACAGTAAACAGGAAAGATTTAAAAAGAAATCCAAACAAACTAAACTATAGAAACAAACTAATTTACTTCAAATTGTGCAACTCCTAAATATATAAGTAGTAGTAAAAATCACGGTTTTAATATTTACTCAGGTGCTGTGAACATATTCATAAACTGAAGAAACAAATCTGTCAATGATATCACAAATTCATATTGTAGATGTACTGTATGTAGTCTATAATGTAATCAGTCTCACAGTACATTTTTACAATGAATGCTACTTACCTCTTATGTCCCAGTCCATGTGCGTGATATAGCTGGAGGCTCCCTTGCAGATTCCTACTCGTTTACTACTCATTACATTGTAAATATCTACAAAGTTGTCACAGGATGCCACAGCTAAGTACTTTCCAGCCCCTAATACAACATCAGTACAAACACAAAACATTTTCAAAAATTGTATTGCTCTGTAAATTAAAGACAAGTACATTCTAAAATTTAGCTATATGCAACCCAGAATTCTTTGAAATTGGCTTGCTAATTTATACATATTTCTCAACAAACTGATGTTCATATCACGTAATCAAAATTAGGATGAAATATACAACTATTATATCATTACATTTTCAAATAATAAAAACCATTTGATTTTAAACATTTATTGCATTCAGAGAGTGGCAAGGCTTAGGGAACCAGAACATAGTGGTACATGAGAATTGGTATCAGTAATTTGGATCAAAATTCTCCTAGAGATAAGTATTTTAACTGAAGTAAGCCATGCATTTGAATTCTTAAATAAGAGCTATTCTGTTGGAAAAAAACCCTCACTCAATGGGAGTGCTAAGCACGGTAGGGAATAAAATAAGAAAACAGAAGTCGCTGAAACTTTCTGATACGTCAGTTGCCAACATTCTCATTAGCTAACAGGAACTGATGCAGCTCATAAAGTGGAACCCTTGGGACCTAGGGAGGCTGCTGGATGGTCATAATTTAAAACTGACTGTCGCATTCAGGAGGTTACTATGAGCAAACTTATTCCAACAATCTCATCCTTAAATGAGCAACAGAGGACTTCACCACCAGTGTTTTTCAAAATGATAGTATTAGTTTTGCTGACCTATTTATTACATGTTAAAAGGTACTACAAATCCCTACTACTTTTAAAGGTGATAAAGCTCACTTGAACAACCTCAATATAAAAATCTTCATTTTAAAAAAATCGCACTTACCAGGAGAAAATCGGATCTCTGAAATAACATCTTTTCTGTGCTGGAAAGAGACTAGATCCTCCAGGGTATCCGCATTAACTATCAAAAAACTTCCATCATTGAGACCAACGGCTAATGCTTTTCCATCAGGAGAAAAGCAGCAACATCTGCCTCCTACAAGGAATACAGAAATGGCATTCAGGTTCAATTTACAATGCATTATCCTTCTTTTAGATCTATTTTTCCATTAGGAAAACTATTCTTATAGTACAAAACTTCCAAGGATGTTTTCCTGATGCTGCCAAGACAATTTCCAAACTGCACTAGCACACAGAAGCTATTGGCAAAAAAACAGATACACAGTCCAGAAAACTAAATTACATTTATTTGCATATTAATTGACATATGTTCTACATTAGTAATACAGATTAAACACTACTGTCTGCATATTTTTAGTTTGCTCCTTTTCTTAGTATCTGGCACTGGTTGGTTGTTACCATTTGCTTTGGTAAGGAGAGCACAGCCAGAAAAGGTCTTCTGGACTCCCAGAATCCACTCATTTGCTATCGCAAATGCTAAGTCACTAAGTCATAAAATCCTTCCAATAAACATGTCAAGTGTCATTTGAAAAGCAGTTTAATTTCCAGTCTAAATTTATATATAGTCAGCTTACGTAGACTTGTTTTCATGCCAGAATTTTCCATTACCATAAATATTTTCCCTTACTATTTGTTTCTCTGATTAACTTGTAGATAGCAGTACTTCATTTAGATGGCTCCACCACAAAGCTCCTCATTCATTATCCTGTAGCTCTTCTCCATCCTCAACTTTTAGTTTAATTTCATTCAGCTGAACACAGATGAGAAACGTATACCAAAAATATCCTGAGTTGTGTCTTGTAAATTACATGAATATTCCAATATGTCTTGGGACGTGTAATTGTCATCCTGCAATTAGTTACAACATCCTGAGCTTTCTGCTCCTTAGTTATTCCTGAGCTATGCAGAAATTTTTCTTGAATTGATCTTACATTTTTTAATTATCAAATATTATTTCAATTCTGCAGCCAATTCAATTTTATTTCATTACTGTAGTCTGCAGAAGTATCCATCTCTTTCTATATGGTACACAGGAACTTTTTAATATTGACAAAGCATCTCAAAATGTGTCTTCTCAGCAAATAAAGTCATCACAGACTTATTCTTTTTTTGCCAAAAGTACTCTTAAAAATATTAAGAAATATGAGCTTTAAGACTTATGCAGTTTGCCTACTAGAAACTTTCTTGTTTAATCTCTGCTTGTGCTAGCTCATGTCTCTTCTTACATTTACTTTATCATCTAAATAATCTTCAACTAAGCTTCCTACTATGTTAGAATCAAACTGCATAGCTGAATGCCAAACAGATAAAACCTATTGTATTCCTTTGTCTAGCAAACCATATATCATTACAAGATTGTTAAAGCCAGTCTGGTCTAATCCTAAAAAAAGTCACCTTATATGATGTCACTAACAACAGACTTTCCATCTGTCAAAATAGAATTTAGTTATATAGTAAACAATGAGTAAAAATTTTATGATTGTTCTCTTCCTTGACATTCATGGTTCTTCTAACATTCACAAAGAAGAGAATTTCAACATTACATCTAAGATTTATTCCAAAAATTTCTAGATTTGAAGTCCTTCACTTTGCAATACTATAAGCAATGTAGCATTTATATAATTGGCTCGACTTAAATATGTTACAATTGCAAATAATCTCCAGAACAGTACTACACAGAATTTTTCCTGTACAGATTCATTAGCTTTACATAACTCCTGAAGATAGCATTAATAAAATACTTTGAGCAAAGAAAGGAATTTATTCAGTCCTGCTTTTGAAAGATTCATAAAGTTTGTAAATGTCAACTGAATCAGTTAAATATTTTTTTATACTAAGCATCTTACCCTTTTTCAATTTGCGAACAGCTAACATACAATGGCTAGGAGATAAATCCCATATTCTTAAGGTTTTGTCATCACTTACAGTGGCACAAATAGGTAAATGAGGATGAGTAGCTAGACCCCAAACTTCCCCCTCCATGTGACCCTGAAAAAACACAATCAGATTACTTTTTATTTTAAATTGAAATATGAAATAATACATTTAAGGAAGTTTTTAAAAAAGAGAGAGAGAGAACATGCATATCTTTAGAAGATAATTAATATCTTAATAGAAATACACAACACCTGAGAAAATTATAGTAATTAGTACTGCAGAAAACTGTTCCTGAGAAATAATCCTCACACACACCTATATCAATGACATGGACAGTAGAACTGAGTGCATCCTCAGCTAGTTGATGTGTGATGTGAAGTGATCAACATGCTGGAGAAGAGATGCAATCCAGAAGGACCTTGACAGGTGTAACAGGTAGACCCATGCAATGAAGCTCAACAAGGCCAAGGCAAGGTCCTGCACATGGCTCAGGACAATCCCAAGCACAAATACAGGCTGGGCAGAGAATGGACTGAGGAGAAGGACTTGGGTATTTGGTGGACAAGAAGTTGGACAAGAGCCAGCAATGTGCACTTGCAGCCCAGAAAGGCTGTGATCTGGGCTGCAACAAAATAAATGTGACCAGCAGGTCAGGGGAGGTGATTCTGCCTCTCTACTCCGCTCTGGTGAGATTCCAGTACTGCGTCTGGCTCTGGAGTCTTCAGCATGAGAAAGACAGGGACCTGCTGGTCTGCATCCAGAGGAGGGCCACAGAAATGGTCAGAGGCCTCAAGCACCTCTCCTATGAAGAAAGGCTGAGAGAGTAGGGGCTCTTAGGAAATCTTATCGAACCCTCTCAGTACTTAAAGGGGGCTTATGAAAAGATGAGGTCACTTTTTGTAGGGCCTGTAGCAACAGGTCAAGAGGTAATGGTTTAAAACTAAGAGGATATATTCTGACTAGATATAAGGAAGAAATTTTTTATGATGACGGTGGTGAAAGACTGCGAGAGGTTGCCTAGAGAGGTGACAGATGCCCCACGCCTGGAAGCATCCAAGGTCAGATTGGATGGGGCTCTTAACAATCTGATCTATTTGAAGATGTCCTTGATTACTGCAGGGGGTTTGGACAAGATGACCTTTAAAGGTCCCTTCCAACAAATTATTCTATGAATTAGATTTTTTTCTTTACCTTAGACTAATATTTTCTTTAAACAAAACTAGTTCTTTATCTATTGCACTGGCCACTCAGAATGGAGATAATGCAGAGTTTCTTCAACTTGGAAAGAAAATCATAGATTGATACAATGTAAAAACCTGCTTTGTAGACAGGCTTAAGAAATGCAGCTGTTTGGTACAGCAAAGAAGACTGAAACATTTTTTACATAATTACAAATAAATCTAATAACAACCTCAAGGAGACAACCTTTAAAAATAACAGCAGTAATTAGGACTCAGAAAAAGTTAATAAAGAATTCAGTGGAAGATCCACTGTTTCACACACTTCTTTTTTTTTTTAAACAGAAATTTGATCTCTATCTGTTTGAAAGGATGAACTCATTGAACAAAATAGTAAATGAAATCCTATCTCTATTTTGCTCATTGAAAAGTCATAATGGTCTAGCCTAACTAGAAGTGATGGTAACTCATTAACTTCATTAGTAATTAAAGTCTTTGTTATTTCATAGGTTTTTACTTGAAAAATAAAATTATGTTTGTGGTATGAAATATTTGACTGATATTTAATATATACCTGAACCAGCAGAGTTATTGGTCCACTTTTATCCACCTCCAATATTTCACCATTCTTTGTGCCCACTAAAATATGACCATGTCCTAATGATATGGCACGTATAGAAGGATTATCTTCTAAGAGGAGACCTAGAACATAAAAATGTTGGAAGACCAGAGACTCTCATGTATGCCTTTAAGAGGGTTCCTCACACATACGCACATTACATTCTCACTGTAGAAAAAGATACTCAGTAGTAAACAATAAAAACACATTCCTGCATGGAACAGCTTACATGTTTGGACTCCTTTGGGAGTATTGAGCAATACATCAAGAAATTTAATCAGCCTGACTGGCAATCTTAGTGAAAAAATGGGCATGTGTCAACTACACTACTAAATTGCTAGCATTTATGGTAACCTTAAATCTAGCTTTTTGTAAAATGGCTATGAGAATAAGATACCCTGGAGTACAATGTTTTCATTAATAAGTATTTATATTCATGATGTTTGAAAATCAAGTCATATACATTAGAACTCAGCAAACATAATTTTTAGTCAGGGGGATGGAAGAGAAATGGCTATCCGAAATGACAAATAGGGGAAACAGTAAATTAGCACTAAGATAAGAATGAATCATAGAAATAGGAAAAATAGAAATGAAAATGTTCATTAATTATTTCAAAAGACATTTGCATTTACAGAAAATTAAGTACCAATACCTCAAAAAAACACAATTCTAAATTCCTTCCCTTCTCCGAAACAAAAAAGATTGGATAAGAGATTTCATACTCAGAATCATAAGAAATACAATAGGCTTTTTTGGTTGCAACTTTAATTAAAAAAAAAAATCCCCTGGGTAATAAGAAACTCAAAGCTTAATTAATTTAGGTTGATAATAAGGCAAATATTATGATCTGCACCCATCAAATGTGCAAACAGACGCTACAACATACAATTCCATCCCAAGAGAAAAACAACATATTTACAATCAGTAACGCTCAAAAAAACCATTTTAGTATTCACTGTGTCAAATGTGAATTTCTTTCTACTGAGGAAAGCAATTCCACAAAGTTTTCTAAAGGAAGTATTTTAAATAGAATAAAAGTCTGTTACCTTTAGACCCAGGGGCCAAAGCAGCCCTTTTGATGGCATAGGTTTTGAGACAACGTTCAAAAGTATCATCCCAGAGAGCTACTACCCCATCCTTTCCTCCAGTGACAAATCCCTGGGGAGGGGAGAAAAAAAAAGAAATAAATAATCAAAAATTATAATCCATTACTATCTTTCCTTAACTTTTCAGTGATTTCTGCAAATACTGAAAATGGACTATATACAACACTGTAATACCCAGGGCAGATGAAAAGCACAGGAGCAACAAAATGATTGATTTCTCCTCCTGATGAAAGCAGCACAGTTCTGTACAGTCAATGTACAGAGGCTGTATGCTTCTACCATTCTAGAAAATAAATTTAATCAACATACTATAAAGTGTTATTCCTGATATTTAGCCTGCATGACCCTTTGGTATTTCACCTCATTATTCCAAACCAAACTTAGTACCACTCACAGAAATTTGATTAGTGCTTAAATGTTTCAAATATATGCATATGTGTCTTTAAAAATTATTTACAAGTATTTAATGAAGCAACAGGTATACATAATATTGAAATCATTAGTACTTTCCTTTAGAGCATTTAGTTCTGAGTATGAATAACATGCATTGTTCAACACTACTATACTGACATTCAAATATTAGGAGGTGGAGTGCCTTGGTCTAACCTAACAAAACACAAACATATACATAAGTTCAAACATACAAGTAATCTAACTGGAACACTCATTCACATTTAAGCACATGCTTAAAGGTTTTGCTGAGTTAAAAAGAAGCTGAGAATCAGGAGAAGTACTTAATGATTTACAGATTGAATGCTTCTATGAGTAGACAGTAATTACAGCACAAAATGGTAGAAGTATGATCTTCCTTTCTCACGAGCTCACATATTCCATTAAACTTACAGATCTTAAATCAGTTACTGTTATTTTTTTAGTAAGGGGTTATGAAAATTACTGAATAAGATGTCACTGGACCACAAGGATTTGAGAAACAACTTTTACATAACAGAAGTAAGAGACATGCATAAAACACTATTTTGAATCTGAACCTCACAAGGCTTTTCTGTAATGGAAATAAGGACATGGATAAGTTTGGGAGAGGTCTAGCTTTATCATAGACTTCTTTGTCCAGACATAAAAAAACAACGAGCAGTTTATTTACTTTTTCCAATGCGTGCATGCTGAACACAGGACCATCATGTGCTTTGACAGTTTTTATGAGAAACACATCTCTCCAAATACACACATCCCCCGTGGAAGTTCCAGAGAATGCCATCTCTTCAGTCCAGCCATACACTGCACACATCATTGTATCAGTTCTTCCCAAAGCACCTATGCAGCCCTTTCTCCCAATTAGTCCTCCGCCTGGTTAAGACCAAAAACAAGTCATCAGATATTTGCTTAGAATTGTTTTCCAGAAACTATACAACCTTGCCCAGAGCAACAGGTCCTTTTCTTCTGGTCCACACATGCTGCCCAAAAAATTGAGCCTGAGAAGAGTTCTCACAAAATAAAATTTTTATATTATTTGGCAACTTTCATAAAAAAAACCCCTTACTTTTAACTTACTACTTGAATCTGAATTTGAATGTATTACACACATATACCCACATAGATATATGGAGACACAGTGCATTTGTAAACTTGCATCTGAACAAAAACCCTAACATCTCCCACACACCGTTCATAGAAATTTGGAATGAATTAACCAGAAAGAAAAAAAAAAAATAAACCTTTACATCCCACCCTTTTCATTATATGTTTTCAGTGAGAGGATTTCTCATTTTATTTTAGAGGTTTACTTATATTGTCCTCTGGATAATAGAAATGTTACAGATATATAAATTTTATATTTTTTTCATATCTAAAATAATTTGACAAGTACAACACATAGGAACTTCTGGCTAGAAAGTCAGATTTATATCATTACAATCCTCAGAGAAATTTCTTGTGGTGTAACACAGAAGTCCCTCAGGATCTGACACTTCATGTTGAGAGGCAAACTCTCAGAACCTCTCTGCCTTAGCACTGATGACGACTTATTCCAAAGCACATATTTCAGTACCACTTCTCACATCAAGTGCACCTGCTCTACTGCAGATTCCAGAAACCTGGCATTTGTTAAGGTACACCAATACTCTGCTCCTCACACTGACACTGCTAAGTGCATTTCACGGTGACTGCCTTGCCAGTGTTCCACTGGAGTTTTGCACAGATGGGCTGCTGCATCAGGGGAATTTGATTTCTGCTGACTGAGCAATGCCAGAGACAAAACTACCATTTTCAACAATTTCCTTTCTTTATTCAAAATCACCATCTCCAAGCTTTTAGCATAGTTATGATTTCTTTCTAAAGAATTTATAATAACTCATTCAGGAAATATTCTGAGACACTTTGTTCTTTCTATAGATAGCAAGCTCAATTGTCAAAATCAATAATTTATATAGACATCAACAGCTTGCTCTCAGGCAATCTTGATTAATTTTTGTTGGAGCCAGAATTGGGAAAACCAGTGTAATTTTTTTTGTCAGAGGCTTTTCTCTCCATGATTAATCTTTGTCAGGACTTCTGTGAGTTGATGTGCATAAATTCTGCATGAATAATTAGAACATGCTTAGTAGAAAAGCTAGTCTTCTGTAGCACATGTGTCTTTAGATACAATTTGAGATTTGAAACAATAAAGTTCGAACAATATCAGGGAATGGATTTTTCACTGTTGAAAATTTCTCAAGCAGAAATAGCCAGCTGCTTTACCTTGGGTTTTAATTGTCAAGTTCAACAGAAGTGTCTAGACAAACAGCTCTCAACTGGCAGATGTATCATCTTCAAGTACTTTGTCTGAATTTTGTATGTGAATTTTTTATAACCTTAAATTTATTTATACTTGTGCCTCTTCATAGAGGATGTGCTGTAAAGGTCCTTCTACCAAAAACTGTTCTATGATTCTAGAGTAGCTCTGTAACCTTTTCAGATATGCTATATTATTACTAGATATAAAATCAGACAGTCGAAAATCCAGGGTCTTTTCTACTTATGTACCTCTAGCTCCACTGCAAATTGATCTTAAAACAAATTCCCACTACTGCCATAATGCCAATTAACATTATTACTGCTAGGGCAAAGCAAACTGACATAGACAGAGAAAAGAGTTGCCTTTAATACATGAAACATGCAGTAAGGAGATGCAATAGTTATACTTTAAGTGACAGAAAATGCTGTAATTCTGAAAAGTGTCCTTACCTGCTCTACGCCAGAATTTCATGTGTTTAATTCCGACTGTAATCAATTTATCAGACATGTAAGGATTAATCTTAACAACAAAAATCTTATCTTTGCTTCCCCTGAAATGCAAAGTAAAATAATTTAAATAAAAATATAACTATTAATATTTTTAAAAAGGCTTTGGTTTGTGGGTTTTTGTCTTAATGTATGCCTGTTCTATATTGCTAACATTTACTTTCAAATCATTAATAATCGTTTACTATGAGAAGGAAGAAAGCCAAAGAACCAACATACTGAGTTCCATTCTATTTTCATTACCTTTCAGTCTCCAAAGCAGGTGAGCAATTATGTTACTTCAGAGATGCACTAGGATGCATTTTCTTTGCAAAAGAAAATATATTTGCATTAAGTTTAGGTATATGGCATTTTGATCTGACAGCTGATAATGAAACTTAAAGGAGTAAAGTTGTAAACATTGTTTCAATGTCTCTTTTTTTTGAAAACATCTTTTAATAGATTTTTTTATGTTTATGTTTTATGTTTTTGTTAGAATAAAACATATGGTGCTATTACATTTCTTAAATGGAAATTTCAGCTGTTTCTAAAAACATTAAAACCTCTTGTTTTAGATTTCTTACTAAGCTTCTATAAAATGAATGTCTTGCTTCAGTCCTATAGTTTGAAAAACAGCTTTCAACTATGTTTGTTATTTATGGAAAGAAATGCTTGCTAGTGGTTTTTTCTTTCTTTAAAATGCAGAAGAACCTCCAATCCTTAACTTTTGCTCCTCATTCAAAAGTGGCAAAAATATTTTATTTTCTGTTGTTTCAAACCATGGAATGAACTAGTGCAGAAAGCAAGAAACAGTTTCTTTCCAAACTCAGTCATCTTCAAAGTACAGATGCTGCTCTCAAAAATTCCAATCAATTCCTTTGTGTGGGTAGGAGAAATTTAAAAAAATAAAACAAAACCACCCAAACCTGAAAGTGAAAATATCAGGTGAAAGGCTGACAAATGAGTCTCCAGATAAGCCAAGCTAACTGGGCTTCTGAAAAATAATTGGGAAGGGAGTACTCTTCTTTATCTACATCATGTATTCAGGATTTTCATTCCTCAGTGGGTAAGAAATTCAACGCATGTTTAAAAATAAAATGATAGTAAACGTCATTGAAGAGCAATAATGACCTTAATGGATAAAAAGGAAGTTGACACTTTTTAAATTGTATCTGCAGAGAGTAATAAATCTCTTTTAAATCTACATAGAACAACGTTTAGAGTACACAAACTGAATCCAGACAGAATGTGGGAAAACTCTCACATTACTGCTCTATTTAAAGCAATAGATCCTTAAAAAAAACAAAGTTGGAGGTTTCAAAAACACTACTCAAAATCAGAAATAAGATTCTATCTTGTAGATTAAAACTCTATTTAATAAACAGGTATTAAATCATCTTCGCAGACACAAAGAAACTTCCAAAATGTTTAACCTTTGGAAGTTATTTAGTCTATTTTCCTGCTCCAAGCAGACTTGACTTCAAAGTTAGATCAGGCTGCTCAGAAAGGAAAAGGAAAGAACCCCGAAGAAAAAAGAACTGCAAAACAACTTCAGATTACTATCCCAAGATGTGACCTCTGATGAAAAAGATCTGAACAGAACGTTCATCACCATTTTTGAGAAGGCAAACAGAAGTACATAGAGTGAGTTTTAAAGAAATTATTTCAAAACACGTCAAATTAAAGAAACGCAAATAAACTTCATCTTCTATATCTTCTTTCTTCACCAGTGGAGCTGTCACCGCAATAATTCTTGTTGGCTATCAGAGCTTCATTTATTTCTTCCAAAGAAGGTTTTAAGGCTTTGATAAATGTTATTGTCTGTATCACTCAAGTGATAGAGACTGCTAATTTATTGGAGGACTTTTATTCTTTAATCAATATATTTTGCTTACTGTCATTTGAAAATAAATCTAGGTACAAATTTTAAAACATAGCTAAATTCATACCTTACTGCAGAAAGCTTTTCTCCTTTCTTCCAATCCCAGAGTACAATAGTGTGATTGTCATCTATTCCAACAGAAGCCAATCGTTTCCCATCCGCTAGAATAATAAATTTATTATTAAGAGAGTAGATAGATAACTATGTTGCAATCATAGGAAACCATATTAAAAATATTATAGCTTCACAAATATTATAAGACCATACAAACAGGTAAATAATCACATGATGTGTTTAAAGGCATGTCTTGTCATCTGTTTACTAAACAGGAAAGCACTCAAGCAATACCATGAAATTTATGAAATGCCCTTAAATTTAGTACTCCTGCAAACTCTTGGAGAAGCTCTGACATATTCCACATTTACCTCCAATAAACAAGCTATTTGTGTTCACTCGTGATCAATGACTTTCTGACATATATCCATCTTCAAAATTGCTATGCATCCATGCCAAAATTTGGGAAACGAGATTCACATCTTGAAAAACGGAGAATCGAAAGTAAGAAGCATCAAAGACCACAAAGTATACATCTTTGTGATCACACATCTTCACTGTGAGTCTAGAGATCCTATCCAGTAAATCCAAATTATTAAAGAATAAATAGAAGCCAGTGGACCAGAGGAAATCAAATTTTGGTACAGGAATTCAATGTATGGGGTGTAAAAATCTCAAAGGGTTTAAATAATAGTCTCTTATGTTAGGATAAGGTGGAGAGAGAGACTGGGTTTCTGACCAGAAGAATCCAAAACTGGACTTTCTGAATGTATAAGTGTGCTACCCAAATGGCTTTCAGGATTTCATTAAAAAAGAAAAAGAATTGCACACCTGATCAATGTGCTCAAAAATTTGGTTACATGGTTGTAAAGCAGATACAACACTCAAGGCCTTTGCACCTGCATCATACAGCCAAATAAAATTCCAAAGTGCTCAGCTCAGTTGTTAAACAGCACAGAATCTGTTCTTGTATTTCTTATGTGCAAGACTCCAAAGGAGTTTTTTTAAATGAATAATCATTTTAAGACAGGTTCTCTCATTTGACATTTAACACCACACAATATTTTTAATACATAGTCTTCAGCATAAAGGAATCCCAAATTTCTTAGTAGAACTGATTAGCTTGTATTTTCACACAGAAAAGGAAAAGTGTAAATATATAAATAAATAAATAAATAAATAAATAAATAAATAAATACATAAATACATAAATAAATAAATAAATAAATAAATACTTATTACCTGAAAAATCAACAGCACAAACACCGTACTGGTGATAGCCCTTTAATACTGAGAGTGGTTTTATTGTTTCTGTATCCCAAATGTGTATTGAGGAATCTCGACCAACCTGAAAGTATACATATTCATAAACTTTTTTTTTCATTTCTCAGTTACTTCACACAATTGTTTAAAAAGCGCAATAATGAAAAATACTCCAAAAAGTATTTGAAAAATATTAGTGATAAACTTTTCCTAGTATTCCTGCTGTCTGGCTAGCAGTACATTGTTCCTTTTGGTGCTTCACAAATACCACTTCCCAGCTGGCTTAGGAACATTAATCACAACTAACTAAAGCCTTCTTGGGAAAAAAAAAACCAACCAAACAAAAAACAACCCCTTCATTGATTGCACTGTGGCATATTTATTCCATCAATTCTTCATCAATCATTACCTGTCTAAAAATAAAAGGTTATTTTTATTGCTACTCTATGTTTGAGAAATCAAGGTGACTTCTGTTGCTTACTGGTGTCATTACAAGTATCTACAGGTCAGATTCTAATGGTGCCACTAAAACGGCACTAATGTAGGTAATTAGAACTTAGTAAGAAATTGAATTCAGCTTATTCTTTTCAACTATGTACAAAAGCATCATTACTCAGTATTTACAAGAATAATTACTATTCAAAAGGTTTTGCACCTCAGTGCACCAAGAAAAGGGTTGTAAAATCAGAGCAACAGTCTCTTGTGTTTAAGACCAGGGGCAGAGCTCAACAAAACTAGGATCTATTTCTGGTTTTGTCACAAACTTAGTATGTGATATTTGCAAAGCTTTTCAGAATATCCACTATCAGGAAAATCTGAACCAGTGTGGCATGGGAAATTTGATTACTGCATTAGCTAATATCTTCAGGTAACATAGTACACAACAGTATATAATATCTCTATGTAAAACAGTATATAATGGAGCGTATCGTTCTGTTCATAGCATAAAGTATTCTAAAATATTGTAAATCCAAGGACATTTTTATTCATAGCCTTTACTACTCCAAAATTAGGTAAAATCAATTCTTATATTTAAGGCTTTAATTTCTTAACTGACCTACAGTTATGTTAATCTCAAACATTTTTACAGAAATCAAGGGCATTATAAGCAAAAGTTTATTTCTCCTAAAAAACTCAGTTCATATTTCCCAATTTACTTAATAATTCCAACAACAATGATAAAAATCATAACCATAAATAACCCCCCCTGCAACATCAGATCAAACCTTCAAATTCCCAGTGTATAAATATTTATGGGAAGACTTGTCAGAAAACATGAGTGAAAAGAATTTACCTAAAATTACTGTCAGGCAAAAGATAAAATGAACTACAATTAGTATTATAAAATGAACTATTATTAGTATTATAAAATGAATTTTAGCAACATACATACCTGTGTTGTATGCACAAACAATAAATAGTTTGTCTATAGGTGATAACAAAACATATAACATGAAAATGAAATGCCAGACTGTAGTAACATCTGCTAACCTCATATTAGGTAATAATACATGAATGTAATAATAAAAAACAAGATACTAAAAAAATATTTCTTAATTGCACATTTCCTCCACCTTATCATGAAATGGCAACATAATGCTGAATAAAAAAATATTAATCTATTCTGAATTTAAAAGAAGTTTAAAAACCGATGAAGTAAAACTCTTATCAGATCATAAGGAACTGTAAAAAACACTTATTGTGTCAGTTTTTTACCACGATTCCATCTGCAACAGAGAAGCAGCCCTTCACCTGAATAAGTATAGACTGGACATTCTTCTTCCAAGACAGGCCTTTCTAAACTCAGTAGTAAAAACTTCACATTGTTATGGAAGATAAATATGCATCCTACCTGGCCCGTTGCCACATAGTCCTTTAAGGGATGAATAGCAAGGCAAAGAATGTCATCATCGTGACCCAGATAAAAGCGCTGTGTGTTCTGCTGGCGGTTGTACACCACTCCCACCGCCGCCACATGGTACACGATTTCACCCGTCTGAGTGTAAAACAAATTGCTTCGACAGTCGTAACCTCTGTAACTAATTAGAGAAAAAAGTTTGTTCACCAAGGTCATAAACATATATAAAGAACCTGAGATAAAATTATTCAAAATGAATTTTGCACATGTAAAACTCAGATTACTTACCAATTACTGTTTTGGTAAGATTATAACATATTTTCCAAAAGGAATACCAATTTAACAATTTAATTTCCTATTCAGACAACAGTACTACTAGCATTAGTTTAAAAGTGGCGTTTAATAGTTACTCTCCACAGCTAGTTTGGAAGTGAAAGTAATAGCTAGTAATTTTTTCAGACCACATGGAGAAGTTGGGCATGCAACATATAATTAAATGAAATAGAAAATGTCCAAAGTATTAGTTTTGGCTATCTCTTACTGCTCAAAACTCAGGCAGAAAAAGATTCCACAAGAATGCAGACAACTGAGAGTTTCTGGACACTTGATAACAGAAAACAAATGCATAAATTTTCTTCTAGAACAATTTCTTTCTTTGAAGGAAAACCTGTCTTCTTCTTGCAACTGGCAACTACAATACAGCAACTGGCATGAATAGGCCAATTCCCAACCGAGGTCTGTAGGCACTATATCTCAGTACACATATTTCTTCCTAGGTGTGATTAAGATTCAAGATCCCATAAAAAACAAAAGTTACATTTTTCAAAAAGGCTAGGATCTTCATTTAGGGATCAAAAGCTCTACCTAAGTATTTTTGCATCCAACTTCTAACTGAACCAGTTGAAAAAAAAGCTTTGAAGATGATCAGCAAGTCATTCTTGGCAAACAAAATGGCTACACATTCATCCTCAGCAACTGCATATTAACAGAATTCTCTAATGTCCATGTTATACTTCTCAACAAAAGCAGGCCCCTTTTGCAACAGTGCATGTCTTTAAATTATCACATAAGACAGAGGTGCATCTGTACACATACCAGTAAGTATCATACACAAAATGAATGGTATAGCATTAAGACAATTATGGTATAGCATTAAGACAATTACTACATACGAGACTCAAAAGTTTTAAATGATGCAGAAATTATGCAGTACAGGTAGATAGTTCATGAAATTATATACATTTTTCCTTATGTACACAGTGCAGTCATATGCACCAGTGAAGTAATGAATCTTTAAGGCAGCTGACCAACTTTCGTTTAATGAATACTATTTCAAAAAACATGGATACATGTTGACAAATGTTAGATCTATGCATTACTGGAAAACAACATAGCACATATCTGGAGCAGATTTGAATACACTGGATTTTTGTTGGCTCACCTACATTACACACAATGTCACCATATGTGATTAGACAAAAATTGCTAAAAACACCTCAAAAAGTTTTTAAAGAGGCCAGCAGAGGGTCCAGGTCCTTCCTCCCCAGAAGCAGAATGTTGCATCTCATGAGCTTTCTGAAGATCATGAAATTCCTCCCTTCCCCATTCTCTAGCCTGCCCAGGTCCCTTCAGATGACAGCACAGACACTGGGCCTCCCAGCCTCTCCTCCCAGCTTTGTATTGTCTGCCACACTGTGAAGTCCAAAGCTGGGTCTCATTGATCGCAAACAAGACAAGTGAACATCTTAAACCAGCAAAAACTGTGATAGCACAGCAATAAAAGCTTTTAAATAAGTCTCTCTCCAACTTATTGTTTAGATTGGTATTCATGTGTAGGTTCTTAACTTCAGGTTTTGTCCTAGTCCAGCAATTTTTCAGTGTCTCCTGAGTTACGGTCCCTTCAAGGTCTCTAGAAAAATCTCTTTCCATTTTATCTGAGGCTCAGCTATATGTTTCCTCCCTGCTCTTCTCAAAGTGACCAATAAGTTAGACTCACAATACAGGTGCATACTCTTCAGTCATGCTTTGGTCTCCTTCCACCCACATCTTTCACTAACAACATCCCCCAGCAGCAACATGTGCAGATGTTTTGAAGCTGATTTCTGCCCGACCCAAAGTGCTGCCTGCCTGCACCTTTCTTTGATGTCCAGCCACTAGTTTTTAAAGGGACAGAATATACAATGACCTAGAGTAACTATGAAGAAAGAAAAATAACCTATCACAGTATGTAACATCACCATTTTAAAGACATGACAACATTCAATGAGGGGCAGGGATTATAAAGGCAGGCACAGTGCCAAAGAAGATATCTGAACCTATTGTTGCTTAGACATAATTTTCCTGTGCTTCACTCTGCACTATGCTCTGCTAAACATACTGGATTTCCTTTGCAAGTACAGAGTAATAAAAAAGAAAAAAGGCAAATATGCACCCTAAAGGAGAATACTTTTTAAAAAACAGCTACGAAAATAAGTATGCTGAAAGAAATATTGCTTTCAAAATCCTGGACATTGAGCAATTTCTTACAAGCTTATCAGTCACCCATAAAAGTAAAAAGCATTGAGACAGCAAAAGGGTTTCAGATCCTCCTATGTGTAACCCAGAAATTCAGAATTTTCCTAGTTCATCATAACAATTGCCTATATACCCTAAATTAAACCTAGTGAAACTGAGTAAATTAATGCCATGTGTCAAAGGGCTACTCAAAATATCCAAAATGTATATAGGATGCAGGAAAATAGTTCTTATTAGTCATATCTATAACTTTTTGTGATCAGAAGTTTTGATTTTAGCTAATTTGATCTAGTTATTAAAAATATGTACAATCAGTTGTTTACAATTAAAATACAACATATTTTGCCAGATATCAAGCAGTGCCAACAAAGACTCTTTGTAACCCAAATAAACATATTTGGTCTTTCCCACACAACAGTTTACTGACTCCCTGACTACACAGGTACTTTTTATGAAGGAAAGTGATTGGGCTAAGGTCAAGCAGAGATGAAAAGAAGCATATTTCAATGTAGAACATCATTCCCTAAGAATCTTTTACACAGTTCCAAACTACTTACATCTCCATATTATTAAACCAATTTAGAACCAAGATTATTACCTAATCTCAGAAAAAGCATGAAAAGAATCAATGTATTCACACACAGAAAACAAACCACTGAAGTAAATTACAAATCACTCCCTATGCTCCACTGACTACTGACTGCATCTCCAGTGATGGTGATGGAAATTTAGATATACACATAAAACCCTCTACTTTTAGGCACACAACTGTGAATTCTGTAACCTAAAGCTGGGTCCTACCCACAGTTAAAGCCAGCTAAGGGGCAACTTCACAAGTAACGTCCTCTCTGGGAAAAGAGTCAAAGTTCATAGTTTGTCTGATGCTGTAAGAGTTTTCAAAAGTTTTATGTTACTCTTCAAAGTATGTATGAGACATTTCCAAATGTAGTCCAACCCTCCACTAAAAATCTCTAGAAGAACCAAATGTCAAAATGAACATGGTTGAGAATAGAGTCTTTAGTACAAAGGTGGTGATTTTTATTTTTAAATAAACTTATTCTGCATGGCAATGGTGTTTTTGCAACAAAACCCACTCATAGCCTATTCCCTTCAGATAATACTTGTAGGTACTTGTAGGAATCCATGCAAGACTCATTTAAAAGCATTTCCATGTCATCTTGAAACCATTACCATCTTAAGATAAGGGTAGTTCAATGAATATGTTGAAACTCAAACTAGATCTTTGAATATTAAAAAATAATTCTATGATTCTATGAATATTTAAAAAAATTCTAAAGAAAAAAATCATTCTTGTGAAATCAACAGCATAGCTTTGAAAGAATACAGGGCATAAGTATTACATTTGCATCCTTATTTCCTGACAGCAAAAAGAAAGCATAATAAGCATTGAACCATAGAAAAAGGTTCCTCTGAATATTTTAAAATATGTATCCTTTTCATGTTTCTGAACCACCACCACTGCCAAAGACATGGCAAAATTAAAATACAGGAATAGTCAAAAAGAGGCCAAACTAGTACACCAATTTAATAATATGTTTCTGATCATGACTGCATCATATCTCCTACAGAAAAATGCACTTAAAGATCATGACTGCCTCAGATCTCTCTCATCTACAGAAAGATGCACTCATCCATAGTAATCAGTGGCTGGTGCATATGATCAGTATTATTGTTTTTATGCCCTTCTAAAGCAGAAAGTAACCAGAGGTTTAAAAGATTTCTTACAGGATATGAGAGATTTTTAAAATTTCATCTTTCAAGGCAGTTGTCAAATTCAAAACACAAAACCAACAAGCTCAAAAACAAAGAAAGGAAAAAGAGCTTACTATTAACCCTAATTCAAAAAAGCACCACTAATCTTACACTTTCAAGGAACATCCAAGTCATTTCCATTGCAGCTATAGAAAGATGAAGAAAAGCAGACTTCCTGAATCAGAGAATATGCCTATTACTCACTTGGATGTGGGTCACTTTAAAGTTAACAGCCTGGACATTGAGAAAAATCTGTTGTTCAGCATGGATTCTTCATTAGTTTTCTTGATGCCCTTTGGGTAACCAGACAGAACTCAACAGGACATTCTACTTCTGGTCATTCCTGGATATTCTGGTCAAGCTTCACTTCTGTTGTGAAGGAAATAACAATAATACCAAAGATCCAGGACCCTTGCTTGTGCTACATCTTCTTCAGGATCATTTGGTTTTATTCTTAGACCAAATTTTAAAGACTATATGCAGCAGTTACCCACGTTAATGCATTTTCTATATGGATATAAAAATCTTCAACTGAGAATTCTGGAGCATCAAAAACAGAAATTAAAAAAAAAAAAAACCAACCAAAAAACCCCCACAAGCCAACTCTGCACCAAGCTTTCCAGTTGTCATTATTTCCAAAGCTATTAGTCAGATTACATGTCTTCTACAGACTAAGTTGCTGAGTTGAATGATTACCTATTAATTTAATAATCATTCCATGTGGAGCCCTTTGACAATTCTTTAAGTGCCATTATAAAGAAAGACAGTATCAGTAACTTATCTATGCATTTAGTTACGTCTGAAAAGAAGCTGTATTCCTGCAAAGAGGTATCTTTTGAAAGGAAAACTCAGTATTACCTGATTTACAATGTCTTAATTGAATAAAGGCTTTAGTTTTGTTTTGTATCAAGTGAATTTAGATTTCTGATCATTATTCTAATGCAGTAACATCTAACGCCAGTTTGCTTTAAAACAGTACATCTTTGTTCTGACAAACATTCTTCACTTATGGAGTTATAAGAGACTACCAATCCTAAAGACAAAATCATAAGATTTCAAGGATGCATCTGAAAGTCGTTCTGCTACTCAAATTAGCACCAAAAAGACTGAAACTGAATTTTAACAAAATTACAGGACCTATTAAAACTAAATTTAGTTCCTAAACTAACAGAGGAATATGTAAGTTGTTTCAGACTAGGTACAGTTTATATATCTTTTTTAATAAAATACTGCTAGAAACACCACTTAATATGGCACCCAGTCATCTTCAACTACACCAAGTTTCTATTGTAGCTACCAAAATAATACAACAAAGAGAACTACTACTTTGCAGATACTGAAAAGTATGGGTGAAACTACTGAATACTTTATTTAGTCACCTGTATTCAAATAGTAAGTATCAGCTAAAGTTTCAGTGCAAATTCTCTTCAGAATTTATGTGCAGAATTAGTAAGTTGGCATCAAAGCTTTCTATTTATTTAGTGCAAATTTATTTTTACAGAAATAAACAAAAATAGTAAATCACAATGCAACTGACCTGAAAGTTTTTCATCGAATTATTAAATTATAAATACTAATCTACAAAACACAGTCTGCTTGTATATTTTAAAGAATCCTTGTTTGCATACCCATGAACAAAATGTAGTCTTATACTGTTCCCTGGAGCTCGCTCACGTCTCTTAGAAGCTGCACTTTTTCTTTTTTCTTTGCATTGCTCTTTAAGTTGAGGTAGATCTTCTTTGTAAACCTTTAAGAATGAGCATACTTAAAAATCAGCATATTTCTGAGATTTCAGGCACAGCTATCACCCACAAAAATGTTATCCTGACATCACTGGAAAAACCCCTCCAATACCTGTAGCCAGCGATTGTACAGTGTAACTTGTTTTTAAATTGCAACCAAAACTCCAGTAGAGAATGCTAGGAATACATATAATAATTTTTCTCTCTGTTAATATTAATCTTAATTATAATCTTAATATTAATTATTCATTAATTAATATTTTGAATGCATCCGGTAATAACAATTCTAGAGCTTTTGGTCAGTTCCCATGCAGCTCTCAGTCTTCCCAGTTTTCAGATTTCAACAGGTTTCATAAAAGACCAACTTAAACCCTGGGAAGTATTCCAGCTGCCACTGAAGCCCAAACCTTTACCTGGCGACGATAGGTGATCTGGGTCTCTTGCTCAATTTCAGAGTCCAGCTCTGGAACATCAGACTGATCTGAGTCTGATTCATCACTATTGGAGTCAACCAGACTCTCTGCCACCAAGAAAACAGAAACAGAAAATTAAGCAACCTAAAGTACAAACCTTAATGCTTCTGCTTTGATAATCAATGAATATATTAATTATAACAATAACTGCTAATAATTGGCAGACTGACAGGACCAACTCTGCTGCTACATTAGAAATGAGTCAACTCCTAAATATGATAATTTTGGGGGGTATAGGAGCAAGTTAGCTTTCATTAAAATTATTTCATCAACATTAATGTTAGGAAAAAAGGAAAGCAGAAGAGAATGAAGTAATGAGTACAAAGCAGAACCTAAGACTTGCAGAAAACTATCAAGAGAGGGGCTCCAAAGAGAAACTTATGGTTAAGTGAGCGATTGAGGTGAAATTCTTTGGACAGATAAGTGGGGAAGAAAATTACATAGGGGAAGAAAGTGGCAAAATTTTTGGTGACTGCTGAGAAAAAGGATAGTAATTTAAAATTTTACATGTAGGGAAAGCCAGACTACATCTTGTAGCAGAGTTCCATTCCAGAAACTGAGAAGAATGTCCTGCCTGACAAATGATAATCTATTTTGAACTTTCTTCAACCTTTGATTGAATGTTGTATATTTTTGATTAAGAAACCAGACATAAAGACAGTCTAGAACACAAATGGATTTTACAGGTCTCAAAATGTAATTGCCAAGAGAATCACCACTCAGTAAGGACTGTTTATAGAATAATGCAATAAAGAGCTATCTTTGGAGCTGTAATACTTATTATTTTTACCAGTGATTTAGAGAAAAACAATATTGCTACCAAAAAAGGTAGAAGAGTACAGAGTTAGGAAAACCACTAACAGGACAATTATCAATCATGTGACAAAGCAGATGTATGTTGCACATCCTGTCAGATAGGCAGAAGTAAGGCTATATATCCAGGAACAGGGAATCCACTAAAATGTAGAAATTTTATCTTGAGAAGCAGCAGCTGGTAGAGAAATTTAGGTCACAGGAAATAATTAGTTGAAAAAGAGTTCATACCATGAAGAATAAAAGCAATTAAAGGCTTTTTGAAGGCTTTGTCTAGGAGATTAAGAGAACGATTGTTTCTTTCTGCATTTGTCACTGACAAGTTCAGCACAGAATTGGTATTCATTTACCTATTTGCTGAGTCCACACTGATATATATTCATCTGATCTTAGCAACTAAATGGTGAAACAGCCTATTTCATTGTAACTCTATATACTTATTTCCCTTCTCTCTAAATTCCTTTAGGAAATTTCAGGGGAGGCAGTCAGTTAATTGTTTGATTTTAAGAAACTCAGTCATGAGAATAATTATTGTATTAGTCACTGGTGGAAACATGATCTTCATTTTTTCCCAAATATTAAATATCTATATGCTGCTTTAAAAAAATACTAAAATTAAATAATTAGCTATAATGCTTAAATCATCATTTAAATACTTCAAAATTTTAATCAAATGAGTATAAAAGTCTATTTTTCCAGTGATATCTGGGCATCCAATTGTTGTCAATTTGGTAAAGTATGCGATGTATAGAATTCAAAAATTTGTATCTATGATCTGAACTTTTAAAATTTTCCTTTGCACAAGAAATACAGCAGTGAAGGGATTTTTCACATTCTTGCTAACCTGAACATATAGGGTATTGGCAAGTATTAGGCAACTCTATCAGGTATTTCAGGCAGTGGCAAAGTTTAAAGAACAACAACTTTGTGCAGACTGACAATTCTGAATATTTATTTTGATAGCGCACCAAAGAATTTTACTTCTCTTTTAACCTCCCCTCCTTCCACCCTTTTGTTGGTGGTTTTTTCAATAAGTTGCTTACCTTGGGGTGCTATATGAAGAGAATCCTTCAACTTCCGGTCAGGTACAAACTTCCACTGAAAGACAGAGTGATCAGCTCCCCCAATGGAAACAACCCACTGGTGATCATGGGACCATCTGACATTTGTCACGTGAGCAGAATGACCGAGATATTTTTTAAACTTTGCACCTAGAACAAGAATAAAAAAATCTCTTTCAATATTTGTGGAATAAATGTTTCAGAAGCACCTCAGGAAATCACATTAAGGAACCCTTATAACAAGTAATAGCTTAATAAATATATTCTAATTAGTAGTAATACTTTAATTAATAGCAGCAACTTTTTGCAGTATTCAAAAATTTTTATCTGTCTTTAAGATAAATTTTTAAATTTGGGTTTCAAAATAAAATATCTTAAGCAAGTCAAATTCAAGAAGAAAAGAGATATGATCGTCCTGTACGAGATCGAAATATTTTTTTAATTTTATCGTATTAATTTTATTTTATTTTTTACAAACCAAGAATTTGACAATTATTATTTCTACATTGAAAATATACAGTTATTTAAATCATGTATTTTTAAGTCTGTGAAAACACCCCCATGTATGTGCTTGTAGCACTGGTTCTCACTGTGCAATCTGAGTGCTAAGCACTTGTAGCAATTCCTATGCTCCCACGTTTAGCAGCAGTAGAACTGGTAGTAGTAGTAGTATAGCTACATCAAGTTAACATTTTCACCAACTACTACATAATTACAATACAATGATTGGGTCAGTTACTAAAACGAAGTTCCTAACAGCACTCCATTATACAGATATCTTTTTAGACAAGAAAGGCTTCATTGTTTCAGAGTTGTTTGAAGAACTCCATTCGAGACACCATTCACATTTAATGCTGGCTACAACTGCTCAGATGGGTCTTAGGATATGTCTTCAAGCAATATGTACTTAAAGAAATGGTTTGGGTGTTGCTTGTTGGTTTGTTTGTTTGTTTGTTTTTAAAGACTGATATTCCCCCATATTTTTTTCCACTCTTCTTGTAAAAGGTGATATTCAAAACCATTTCATTTCCAGATTATGTTTAAAGTGAAAAGGTTTTTATTGGTACATGAGGTAATCCAATGAATGGTGTCTAAAATGGAGTTTTTCACACAGTTCTGAAACAATGCAGCCTTTCTTGTCCAAAAGGATACACATATCTCCTCTGTTCACTCAGTCCTGAAGAGTAAACTTGAAAATAACATCTCTCACCTTAGGCCTCAGTTTAAAAAATTTAACAAGATTTGTCCTTTCTTGTTAGAAAAAAATTAGAGAAAACTACTGGAAAAGCTTTAAAATTTCAAATAACATACAGTAGCATACCCTGATTACAGGATCAATACACTGGTCACTTATTTATTACCTCTAATAATTTACAAAGTTATTTTTTTCTAGTTCCTAGCCCAAATCTCTATCACACACTCAGAGAAAGGAAGAAAACTACTTGATGACAAGGTGAAATACATAAAGATATATATCTCATAAAAGGGTAGATACTGAGTCACCTCACAGAATTCTAACAAAAAAAAAGAGAACTATTTTACAAAATAAAAGTAAAGTTCATTCAAAATGCAAATAAAATACTGTTAACATTACAGTTCTCAATACACCAGCTAATTATTGTTGTTCTCTACCTCTGAGCTCTAACTAAACTTCCATGAATAAATATTAGCCATTTATATAATTTTCAAAACCCCAGACTTCTAATTAATTTTTCTTGAATAACAAAAATTCAAAAATACTTTTATAATTGAACTTAAAGGTACTACCTTTTCTTAGACATGGGTATCGAAAGAGCTTTACTATTCCATAATCATCAGCTGTAACCATAACTTGCCCAATAAAATTTGCATCCACGGAATTTATATCATTTATATCTGAATATTTGGGCCAGATTCCATTAACTTCTAGGCCAGAAACACAGGTCCATGATGCCCACTGAATGCCTTTTAATTCCTCCTTGTTTGTTACTTCTTTTCCACCTAAGAACAAAAATAGAGTCATTTTTAAATTTTCACTTACGCAATTTTAAAGAATGTAATATTTTAAAAATCTTTTAGAAATCAAATCCAAGTGAGACACAATAAAAATGGACTTCTGACACTGTCCTGATCTAATATTCCCTATTATGACCAAAAGTATCAATAGTAAGGCTTCTCAAGACTACCTAACAGAAGATCATGGCTTTGGTACTTTACAGCTCTTATAATGTCTTGGTATCTCTTGAGGCTGTGTTATTTTTTAAATGTTTACCAAAAAACACATGTAGTCATTTTAAGATAAAGTTCAGAAAAATTCTGTTGCTGAATGATTCTAGAAACCTGGATTATTTTGAGAAAAAAAATGAAGAACTCATTTAGATTTGGCCACTGTAAATTACTGAAAACATCAATTTTCTGCTTGGATCCTTGTTACATCAATTTCCCCACCAGCTCTATTCATAATGACAGTGATCCAATCCCACGAAGTTTCACTTAAGAGCTGAAGAACGGAGTCAGACCAAAGGCTCATTTAATAAATAGTGTGTCTTCTGGAAGGGCCAGAAGCAGAGTGCAGGAGCAACACAGGAACGACGCAAGCAAATGTGAAAGCTGTGAGTTGGACTGAACACACAACTGTGAAACCTGAGCGGGACAACAAAATTCACTTCTCAGTCTTTAGTGGTAACAAAATTGAAGACAACTAGGCCGTGTTTTTTTCCTGTTTTCTTATTGTAGTTAGGATTCTGCCTAGTGGAAGCAAATAGGATGGGATGAGATGCAGGGGAGAGCTGCCGCAAGCACTGTAAGAACATAAGTTTTCAACAGAAGGATCGCCCTAGTAAGGGAGAAATCAAGTGTACTGGACTCAACAGAGTAAATAAAGAACAGCCCTAGAGAAAAGAAAGCAAAATGGCAATCAAATCAGAAATGAAGACTTAAAAAAAAAAAAAAAACAGCAAAACAAAACAAAAAATCAAATCAAACAACCAAAAAAACAAAACCAAAAACCAACAACAAACCTCCCACACTCAAGAAAAATTTTAACTACTATATACCTCTCCAAAAGCTGGAAAGGAACTCAAGTGCCCTGTTTGAAGATCCTTCAGCTCTGATAAAATAACTGCAACCTTTGACAAGGTTTACTTTATAATCTCTTTCAATTACTAATCCACATAAATAATGACTACTAAAACTGGTTATATCAATAACATGGTCCTACAGATCTTTCAGTACCAGGAAACTGAAAGTTCCTTTACTCACTTGTAGTGGAATTTCAAGTGTTATGCAATTTGAATACTATTTTGAAATATTAGGACATTCCTCTATCTCCACTGACTTTGCTCAACTTTTTTCATAAACCAAGTTTTAAAATTCCACATTCTAACATATAAAAAACTCCAGGTTGAAAGCTGCCTATATAACTTCAAATTGCTCCTTCTGTGTGTATATTTGTTACTGTCTAAGTTCTTACTATCTTCTCTTATGTATCTTCTGTCACGTTCATTACACAGAATCAAAATTAATTAGATGCTTCAGCAAAGAGAGTCACAAAAAGCTGCATGGATCTGTGACTAATGTACAGTGTAAAGCATAAATATTGCACAACAATGAAGGGAAAAGGTAAAAAGTGGTGATGATAATACATAATTACTAAAAATATGATGAGTGGGGAAAATATCATTATGTAAAGAGTGTATATAATAGACAGAAGAAAGAAGTCAAGCCTTGTGATAAATACTGCCCTTGGCATATTCTAATCAGGATTACTTAAATTTGAAGCTTTGAGATATTGTAATATGTGCATATGTCCTCTACAGAGGGAACTGTCTTGATGGAAATTATTTCAACAATAAAGGATTGTTCAGTCAAGATTTCAAGAGTGTTATCTTGAAAACACTTACAATAATGGGGCTATCAAAAAGTTTCTCAGTGTAAAAGCTCTTTTAAGTGAAATTCCTCAGTTCTGCTGCAAACATAGTTCAGGAAAATCAAATTACTCTCCTGAGCTGCAACATACTGATTTTTTCACATATTTAAAAAAACCTACAGCACAATTAAGTGGTAATTCATTTAATAACCAAGCTCCACAAGTACAAAGCTATTAAGCTATTGCAAAATTGAATTTCAATGTTGCATTTTTCTCCTTCTAAAAAAGTGAGAGCAAAAATTTACTTTTAAGAAATAAAACAAATTATAAGCCAACATATCTAGCATGAAAAGATGCATTATAAAGGACAGTAAACATATAAGGATAAAAATACTTAAGTAACTTTGCCATAAAAATGCCGTACTTATTCAAATATAGAAAATATTTATACAAAGTTACAAAAAATTTTCACTATAACCACATGCTTTGAACTAGGATTTACATTTGTTTTTTTTTACAAAACTACTATACATTATTTCTATAGTAAGTAACAAATATCATAAAGACAACTCAGAATCTTACTTGGCATTCTGTAAAAAAGTCTCTTTCCATTGCCATCATTGGTCTGTAAGTATTTACTGTCTGAAGACCAATCCATATGCGTAATGAAACTTAAAGATCCAATACATTCCCCAACTTTCTTGTATCGTTGAACAACACCATATATATCCACAGAGCTGTCATTGGAACCAACAGCTAGGAAATTCCCATCTGGAGAATATTTGAGTTCATGAATAGCTTCTTTCCTGTCTTTGATATGAACAACCTCAGTCATATCTCTGTAGTATGAAAGAAAGCATGTCATAAGCATAGAAGAGCCTTATCACAGTGTCAAGTTCCCAGTCTTAAAAAATGGACAAGATTGTGAAAGTATGAAGTGAACTTTACTATCCCATGTGTAAACACAAAACTGCTGTTTTTAGAGTTGGTTAGGGCTTCATGGCCAAAAAAAAGAGAAGGGAACAGTGACACAAGAAGGTGTTGCACTGGGCTGAGGGAGAGCAAACAAAAGGCACTGTTCAAACTGGGTCCACAAGAAAACCTCATCAGGGAGGTTACCAGATTTTTATTCACCCAGGGAAGAAAACTTCACTGACATGAGACAGAGATCTCATTTTCCTTTTAAAACTGTGGGATTTCAGCAACAAGTCAGCACTGGGTTTATATGCGTGATGTGCTGAGAGCAAAATTCCAACACAGGGAAACAATTTATGAATGAAATTTATTTCTTAGTAATTCAAGAATAATTAATGAAGTTAAAACCTAAAGTAAAACATTTCCTAGAACACTGCCACTCTCTGTAAATAGACCAATATACTTTTTCAAATGGGTTGTTATAGAACAACATGAACATATGTAGCACATTTAAAAAATCCGAGAATTAAAATTTAATGCTCAGATGTAACTTAAAACAAAAATTTAAGTGACCACATGTATGGTCACTACAGTGTCAGTATACATACAATCTATAAAAACAATTAGATAATCTGCTTGAAGGAGTTAATAATGTATCTGCTTTTAATTTGGTAGCATACCTGACTCGCAGTACAGTGAAAGAGCCATCCTTCATCCCAAGAGCGAGATGGATTCCGTCAGTACTGACTGCGGCACAGCGAATGGGTTCCTCCATGTTGCACCGGGCAATCAGAGCATGGTCTATTAAACTCCAAATTCTAAAATAAAGTAATTATTTCAAATGTGAAAAGGGGTTTGCAGCTTTGTTATAGGTAAGATGAAGTCCGCAATTTCTGAAGAATGTCAGACATGGCAGTGTCCTATTTTAAAATAATTTTCCACAAGAAAAATCTTGGACAAAAGTGTGAATTTTGTATAGAGCAAGGAATAGTTTTATATTTTAAAAGGTGAGAAAATATCTAATGAGAAAATGAGGGAATAGATTAATTTTGTTTGATTTTTTGAACATAAAAAATGATAACATGACAATATATACTTTCAGACCACTCCTGTGAAAATTCCACTGTTTCGCTAATCGTTTTAGCCAAGAACATTAAATAACAATTATAAAGACTTTGATCAGTATAAATAACTTTTTCTACTAACAAGTCATTACTAATAACTCCTTATAACTAATAATACTATATAATATGTAAGTTTTTACTACAAGATACATTATAATATCTATCATTTACAAGATATAACTGGAATTTTAGAGTATTATTTCAATTTTAATAACTGAACTACTGATTTGCTTAACCATGTTACACTTAAGATATTTTTAAGAAAGAAAAGGTGTTTTTGACAAAAAAAAAAAAAAGAACTTGTAAAAGGGATTAATTCAGTGGGTTTTCTGAGCATTAATATTCTGTTTACAATGCATGCATTAAGTCTGATGAAATTCCCAAACTAAAAGTTAATTTGCAGCATGTGGAGAAGTTAATATGGTAAGAGTAAAATATATAAGTTTTTATTACAATTTTTTCATTGTAACCTATGAATGCTTAACATAGCTCCTGGAAAGGGAACATTTACAGGATACTTGTCTCTCTGAGTGCTCAATATTAGTCTAAATGAAATCTTTTCAAATTTTGTACATGGTTTTTTGAGGGAAATATATACCTCCACTATATTCGAGCACTAATTTCATGCATCCCTAAACTGTAGGAGCACTTCAATGCCACATTTTAATACCTTTAAAATGCACACATTTCAATTAGGTTATCTACAAAATTATTGGTTCGTATAAAACTGCATGCAGTTAAACAAACAAACAAGAGTTAACCTGACTGATCGATCATCACTTCCAGTCATTGCCAGGGGTTTTGTAGGATGGACAGCCAAAGCCCACAGCTCTCCCTCACAGTGCCCCTGCATTATCAGGAAAGGCTTATTACGCTCATGCACCACAATCTCAAAAATTTCACTATCTTGTGTCCCGACAAGTATATGGTCTCCTCTCCAGCAAACACTTCTTACAGACAGACCTGTAGAAGAGATTGTTATTGAGAGACACATCCTCAGATATCATGAAGCAAAGGTAAAGTAGCACACACCAAAACATAAAAGTAAGAAAATGTCAAGAAGTATCCACGCACCTTCTCTTACTCCTCCATTTACTCCTTTTATCTATTCCATATAACACATACTTGCACTTGGAACATAAACTTTTCAAGTTTAGTATTAAGAAATTTCTAAAATAAAATGTGAGCCTTATTTCAATAAAGGAAAAATATAGTACTGACATTTGCAGATGAAATTATGCCTTTAATGTCTCTAAGTTTCAACAAAATTAGCAGAGACTATAAATTACAGTTTCTGATCAAACCATGGACCTTAGTACTAGCTAGATGAACCTACATTATTTAAGTGACAAAAGCATCAGTGGAACAAGCATTATATGTTAGAAAGTCAAAGAGCCCAATTCTTTGTAACATCTTAATAGTATATGAAAGTATTTGTGCCCACTAAACAAAAAAATAATACTAAATCAAATTGAAACAACATATAGAGAGATTAAAAGGGTTTATGATGGAATTTAACAGCATTTCTAACAACTAAATTAGCACTTAGGCTTATAGTGAATGTAAGCACTCACAGTTGTTGTTTGTAGATAAGGTCAAGAATAACAAAATGGAAGTTAAGACAGTTTACACTGAGAACCCAGTCTTAGGTGCCTGATTTTAGTAATAGGCACCTTTTAAAACAGGCTGCATTTATTACCTTCTGATAATGCAACTCAATTTTGCCAATTTGAAATGCTCATAACCAGATGGTAGCAATGCCTGACTTAATTAACTTTGCCTAAGCACTCACTCAAGAATATCTTTGAAAAGCTACTCTAGATTAATATGTGAGACACAATTATATATATCAAATAAGAGAAAGGAATATTGTAATGGTCCAGACTGATGTTCTTTGGAAAAATATTTCTAACTATGTAGAGGGAAAAGAAAAGCCTTATGTTATTAAATTTACATTGGAAAGAAACTGAATGACTCACAAACAGGGAATGGTGGGTTAGTAGGCCAGTGTGGTGCATCTGCATGGATGTGTTAATTCTGAAAAAGCAAACGTTCTCTCAAAGCAAAGATCCTGATGGTGCCTACTTAACATGCTTTGCATTACAAGATAGCCTTCCAATGCACAAATAAGACTCCCTCCACATGAAACAGAACAATGTGCTCCAGGAGTGCAATGCAATTTTCAGTCTGCTGAACCAGACTAGAGCTAACAGCCCTCAAACACCCCTCAAAATGCATATATATTGTTCTACTCTGACCCCCTACAGCATCTGTTTTGCTTTACAGATTTGATCTGTCGACTGTACTGGTGAATATAACCACGTTATCATTCAGTCCTATAATTTAGACATTATATGGCTATTCTCTCTACAGTGATTAAAAAATAAAGAAACAACCAACATCTTTGATAAAGGATGATTAAGATACTTGTTTCAGTAATTTGGAACTTCCTGTGGTGGAGGGAGACATTTTGAAATACAATGTGACTACCTGGAGAACATGTGTAGAGTCAACTAATTGCTGCAAGCCATTCACAAGGATACAGATCTTGAGTTTATGTTCACAAGAAAAATTACCAAATGGTAAGGTATAGAAGCAGCAAAAAATGCAATTAAGAAAACAAGTAAAAGGACAGGTCGTTATGGCAATCCTCAAAAGTATACAAGAAGGAAAAAAAAGCAAAGGGGAAAAATTCAAGAAACAGATTTTATTAAAGACAAGTGTTCAAAAAAATCTATTAGCTCTGTCATGGGCATTTGACAAGGGAAAAGAGTTCATGGCAAGATCCTGTTACATCAAAAGTAAACAAGACAATCTAGAGTGGATATCAAGTTTGAAAGAAAGAAATGGGGAATGAAATACAGCTTTCATTTACATGCAACAGAGCTGAGAAACAGCAGCTGAGTAAATTCAAATTTAAAACAGAGCCTCTCTACTACAGGGTGTATTTAAAATGGAATGTACTGAATCTTGTTGCAGTATTTCACAGTCTTGGTGGGAATACAAATCAATTACAGCATACAAAGACTTAACATGTTATGTATTGACCCTGAGTATCTGATTGCCATCAGACATTCTACCACATTTTCAAATTCTTGGCAAGATATTAGAAAATAACAAAGTGACTGAGGGCAAAGAAAACCAAATGCCAACAAAAGCAATATTGTAAATGACATTAGTCCTTCAGCATATGTTTGCATTCTTTTCCTAAATCATTACAGCAATAATATCTAGAACACTCTATGTAAAAATTTAGCATGACAAACTGTAACTGAAGTCGTAGGCATACGTAAGCAGTGTTCTGTGTAAGCAGTGTTCTAAGTACCGCAAAACTGTAAATAACTTCCAAATAGTTTTAATAAAAATTTGAATAACTAGCAAACACAAGTTTTGGACTCTGTTGGTTTACATTGTAGATCCTACTGTCTCTTCCAAGTTCTCTTTAAGCATTACTGTTCCTTGTTAAAAGCTGCTGTGGTCTAGAGACAATGTGCATAAAAAGTTGAATCTTCATCATATGTTTTACAGTAACTTTGAAGGACTATGTGACCTTCACATTAGTGGGCATGATTTATTCCATTTCTAGCAAATAGTTTACAGCAACATACATGAAACAGTCTTTTTGGTTTTTCAAGTCTTTTTTTGTTCAAAACACTGACAAATTTCCTACCTTATTGGTATATTGAAAGTGATAAACTTCTGTTTACCTTTATATCCCTGGTCTGTTTCCCTGAGATCAATCACAGTAATTGGTTTAAAATTTAAGTCCCACAAGCGAACACAGCCATCCCTGCCACCAGTGGCAAAACCCTCTTCACATGCATTCATGCTGAAAATTCCTGCCTAAAGAGAGAAGAAAGTTATTTTTAACAATATACATAGATTAGAGAAACCAGTATGCAACTAATAAAAGCTTTAAATATGAAAGAGTCAGAAACGGAAACAAACTCACAACAAGCAGGATTCATATTCAGTGACAAACAGTAAGACAATTATTGCAATAATGCTTTCATGCTAATAATCATCATCATAGTGATGTTGTTTTTTATTCCTAGAAAGAGCTCAGTTTCATATCCTCTTGCCTTAGGACCTGGTCCAACTCTAATAAATGTCAGCATGAAGATATCCTGTGATCTCTGCTAGGCTTGGTTTAGGGCCTTTATTGCTATTACTCAGCTTCTATAAAACAAGACAAAAAACATCTGGGGTTTTTTTATATGTTAAGCCAACAAAGACTGATTTTAAACTTAAGTTTAGGAACAAAACATAAGAAAAACAGCGATTACGCCATTGGAAAAGGCATAATAAGCTGTTATTTTAAAGGTGAACAATAGGAAACGAAACCTAGCCCGTTTTCTTCAACTCACTTGATCCATGTTTTCTTCAGGATAACAAAGAGGCAAGGATGACATATGTAATATTAAAATAAAGATATTGTAGTCACATAGACACGATATGTGATTTAACATGATACATACCTTACACACCCACTGTTGGGTTTTTTTTAATTACTAATCTCAAATTCAGAAGTAGCTCACACATTTCAGTAAGCAAAGCTACTGAAAGGGCAACTTTAACTGATAAGCCTATGAGAAGTTAAAAAAATTGCTCTATATTTATTGAAAGCATTTAATATTCAGCTATGACAAAAATAAACAAGAGAGCATTAGAAACAATGAAAGAGAAAATCTGTCTCTAAGTCCTGTCCAAAAGAAGGTAGAACAGCAAATAATATACATATATCTTCTATAATATTGTTCTGAAATTTCAGTTTAGTAAAGAAGTAAATGTAAATTTCCAATAGTTTGGTTAGGGGTCTGGATTTTACAGTAATGATACACATTAACCCTAAAGATGAAAGCAATTTGCAAAGGAGAGATTGGCTTTTGGGAGAAAACAAAGCTGTACACTCAAAGAACAAATCAGGTACAGTGTTGTGACTTATGAGAATTCCAAGGTACTCGTTACTATTCTCTCCTATCAGCATGTTTTTTCTTCTTAAATTACAACTAAGAAAAACATCATAATGGACTAGTCGTAACAAAATATGGACTACGTTTGCTTCTCTAACATCAGGTAACAAGGATATAATTTTTCAAGTTAAGGAAAAAGAAATCTCTTGGCCTTCACAAAAAAAAAGCCTATCATTACTAGAAGGTCAAATGACAATCAAAACTGAAAGACTATGGTGACAGAACTCAATTTTTTTAACATGTCATGTCCATCCTCAGGAAAGAGACTTTATGACATGCGACATTTTCAGGAGCAGTATGTGTCTAAACAGAAATGTAGTGGAATTTTTAAGTCATAAGCAGATTAGAAGGTTAACTCCTATTATCTCCAACGTCCTGAAAATCCTCTTTCTGTTTCTTTAGGAGCCTAGAGATTTTCAAAAATACAATACAAACTGTATTTGTTTCTCTCCATGTATGTCTATCTGTTTTACCGCATCAACCTTTAATATTGTGAGAACAAGTCTTATGAGGAGAAGCTGAGAGAAATGGGGGTGTTTAGCCTGGAGAAAATAAGGCTCATGGGAGACCTTATCACTCTCTACAACTACCTGAAAGGAGACTGTAGCAAAGTGGGGGATGACAGCATGAGAAGAAATGGCCTCCAGTTGCACCAGGGGAGGTTTCAACTGGATACTGGTAAAAATTTCTTCACTGAAAAGGTTGCCAGGCATTGGAACAGGCTGCCCAGGAAAGTGCTGGAGTGACCATCCCTGGAAGTGTTCAAAAAACATGTGGATGTGGCACTTGTGGATAGGGTGAACACAGTGGTGCTGGGTTAACAGTTGGACTTGATGATCTTGGGAGGTCTTTTCCAACCTTTATGATTTTAGTGTCATGGAACAAATAAAAGGCCAGAGAAATTTTGGCTCATTTTGTACCATATACTGAATTCTGCCCAAGTTTAAATCTTTTAAAGGCTCTTTTTGGAATGCAACCTTGATAATAGAATTATTTTCTTTTCTCTAATTAACTCTTTCCAAAATCCATTATTTAATTAGTCAGTATTAAAAAAATAATCAGACATTTGGTGATGTGGGAAGCTGGCTGAGTGTTCTGAAGATAAGATCAAGTGGATCCAGCATTAATCTGTTTTCCATTTCACAGAATATCCTTATCTTGAAAAGGACATACTGGTTGTCAAGGAGATTTGGCAGATGTTGTGCTTGCTCAATCTCTTGAAATGCAATAGGACGCTCTCATTTCAGTCTCTGTGCCACTGGAATAAGAGAACTAGATGAAAACTATAAAAAAGGTCCCTTATTAATGGGGACTGTAAGTATTTAATGGAAAAAGCTGAGCTTTGCTATTCTTCATGTAATTGTTAGGCTCACACTTCATGGGGAAAAGACAGATTCCTTACTGGGGTAGCTTGGCCTGTCAATTCCTCCCCTAAATCCTTGCTTTCAGAAATTGTCAAGATTATAATGCAAATCAACTTTGGAGTCTTCATGCTTCTCTTAATCCTTTAGCCTGAAATTTTTATTAACATAATGTGATTCTTGATGGTCAAAAGCCTTCTAGCAGTAATGAGAGGCAAACAATTGCACTGACTTCTTTAAATCCAATTGAACATGAGCCACAAAGACCAAGTGTGCTTCTGAATCAAAATAAAAGGTGTAGATCAAACTCTTCCATCTGAAAAGTTATGAAGCTTGATATACAGACTGCATTTTCTTTTATAAATTTTCATTACACTTCCTAATGAACTTTGAAATTCTGGAAATAACATCTCAAACTGATCAGCAGTTTTCTCAGAATGCTGAATATTTCCTGTTTTTTCCAACATAACCAGCTGGTATCACATCTGTGTTCTCTCTCAAATTCAAAAAAAAAAAGAAATGAGTGGACTGAGAGCAAATAAAGAAATAAATGCCCAGATCTACCAGAAATTATAGCTGAAAGAAGAACTTGACAAAGATGGTCTCTACTGCATGAATATTTTGCCACCGCTTGAATCCAAGAAGTTTCCGATACTTAGATAGTTTCTGGTTTTCTATTGCTGCTGAACCTATTTTGCCCCCCATGGACAAAAATCAAGTGCTAATTTATCTAAATGTAATTGTTTATATAAAATCCACCACACTAACTGTGACTACACAATTCCTAAAACACATGACTGCAGTCAGCTATAATTAGGACCAAGCTTGAAAAATCATAAGGAAACTTCAGAAAAAACTGACTACTACCGAGCAACATGGAGAACAGAGACATTATACCGATTCAAAAAGAACTCCAATGCCTCCTTTTTACTCCCAGATACAATATAGGACTTGGATGTTTGTAAAGCATGTACAGCAACACATACGTTGGGCACTTACTCTGAGACACTGTCTCTCCCAGTATATACTGCATAGTAAGGAAATGGATTGCAAACATTTAAGACACATGTCAGTAAGTTTACAGTGGAGAGACACTACCTTTTAATCCTCCTATCTAACAAATCACCCATAAAACAGTCTACAAATGCGCATAGTACTCTAACAATTTAAAACAGTTGCCTACACACCTCTCACTGGCTGACGTAAGTGGACAGTTATGTTTCAACCAACGATTACTCTAAGCAGTAGGAGAAAATACTGCATGTGTTGGTACATGATACCAGCTTAAAGCCATTCATTTAAGTTCATTATATTGTTTCCATCTATATTTAATTAGTATCCAGCCAACCGACATAGGCGTGCAATAGTTTTAACAGACTGCCTGTTATTTAACCTCAAGCTTGTTATTTAACCTCAGTTTCTGACATCAATCCGCACAACTTTAATGTGTACCTCTGAAAGACTATCTCAAAATTAATTATTCATCTGTTGAAAAAGCATCTTATGTACATTTACTATTCAAGGCAGGGTCATATCACACAAGAATCTTTAAAACATACAGCGTTGTTAAATAAGCATACAATTTTGTTTTAATATCCGAGTAACATCTATATGCATGGACTACCTTGAATTTAGAACATGTAAGATGATAAAATAAGTAGAAGATTCTATAGTCTGTTCTTTGCACTAGTACAAAAATGAGACATCTAATAAAAGATGATTTTTTTTTAATTAGTCAAGGTATATGTTAGCTTTCCAGAGTCAGATGCATTGCCTACAAATAACCTCCTGGAGTATTACCATTACCAGTGAATTTACACAGGCTTTCATGTTGCTGTTTTCTTTCTCCCTTTTAAAACTTTCCTTATTAGTATTATTATTTAGGAGGCATCAGCAAATCTAGAGTTGGAGTTTCCCATTGCTATCCATTGTTCCCTGCATATGAACTGTGTGCCTTTACTCCTAAGCCCTGCTCATTTCCATATTTTCCTACTTTTCATTCCTACTTCTATATTAAGTGAACTCTTCGATCCTTTTCCAACTAATTCTCCAGTCATGCCAACCAATTTGCTTTCAACTTTTTGTTTCTACTCAAAATTAGATAGGAAACTGCAGGAAATTCTACTTTCCTGTCTCTACAGTTTTCAGTATTGCTGTGACAGAAGACAGATAAACTCAATCAAGAATTCTTATTTTGCTTGTTAGTGCTAAAGTTGCTATCTGTTTCCTTGGTTGCTTACACGGGGAGAGAATGTTTTATTTTTCACATGGAATTATTCTCAAAATAAAAAATGTCTTTTTAGCTTGGATAATTGTAACAAAGATAGCCAACCTATGAAAAGAACATGTTTTCTTTATTAATGCAGACAACTTCCTTAATAATAATTTAATAATTGTGGAGATGGACTATATCTCCACATAACTAACATGCTTTAGAAAATGCTTTCCAGCATTTCAGATATTTACTGTTCATGCTGCAAGAGAGGAATACATGGTATTTAAGTAATTACTGAGACATGTCTTCCTTCAAAAAGCTTACAGTTTACTTCAAGCCTGTTGAGGAGTAATGATACAGGATGATAAACAGGCATTCAAGGACAACAATTCCAACACTAGCATACTGAACAGAAATTTATATCAGTTCCTTACTATGTGCACACTGTCCCTTTAGCAATATATGTGCATCACAAATGCTGTAATCTACACTTGCATTTTCTTTCAAAAGGACAGACAAGAAGGACATAATTGATAAAATTAGGTACAAAAGAACCATAAAATATCATGATAATAATTTAGTATGGCTGAAGAGGCACTCTCATTCCAAGTTGCTGCTTGTTGTGATTATAATAATCTGACAATATTATCCTTTAAGGTAACATTTTATTCTTGGTTTTTTTGGCTTTTTTTCCCCTGTGGAAATTGGTGAGATTTGTACTGACTCTAATCTCTTGTAAAAATGAATTTCAAAGACATGGACTGGTGTCCCTACTTAATTTTCAGTACTGCAAAGTACAATTCCATTGAGCCTACAGGACAGAGCCAAAAATAGAAGGCTAGATGAGACCTACTCCAAGGTCACCTGAGCTCCATCCACTGACGCTAAAGAAGATAAGGTGCACAGCACTTCAAGTTTGATCTTGTGGTCATCAAAGAACTGACAAAGCACATAAGGTAGTGAAGCAACAAGCTCTCATCATCCTACATTTACCAGTTATGCCATTTCACACTAAAACAGCTGAAAAGTACTGCATTATTCTGAGAAATAAACTGTTGCAATTCTAAGTCCTCCAAATAACAAATATGTTAATACGCAGGACAGATGTCTCCTACAGCACCAAACAGGGTGAGAGAATATTTTGGCATCAGTTTTGGATAGGAAACAAAGTGCACTTTTTCCTCTGGGAATCCAGGTCTGCACATGCTATGTCCACATCATCTTAGGAAAATATAGAATAGAACACTACCGAACAGTAAATATGAAAACTGAAACAAGAATTGAAGTTATAGAGTAAGAATCAAGGAATATTTGAAGACCAACATGTCCCTTCATGCTTCCTGATTCATAATTTATGCTTTCTTGAATATATTTAATATTTCTATAGATGCATACAGGACAGCATGTTTGTGTGTGTGTATATCTGTGTGTATATATATATATATACACATATGCATATAAAGAAGTCTCAAATACAAAAGATAGTCTGAGATGTTTTGCACACATATGTTCTTCATAACTTTATTTTTATTCATAATCAGGTACACTGTCATTGTACAACTTTCTGAATAAGCAGTGTAGTTGCTTCTAAATTATTAGCTCATTCAAAAAGCTGCAACCATCCTGAATGATGTTCCTAAATATTTGGTAAACCAAGAGCCTCCTCACTACAACTGACTGCAACCTCTCCAACACACATCATGCCTTAGTCCCCTCCTTTCTACCTGATTAAATCATAAAAAGTGAATCTTATACTTCAGTTACATACATCATGCCACCCAGTCCAACATTGCCAGTTAAAACAAAAACATTCTTAGAAGCAAGAATAATTAACTATTATTGATTTTTACCTAGAAGTTTGAAGCCGTAATATTGGAGCTCATATGCTTGTATTTTTACACTACTTTAAACTGCTAAAAAGGGAACTTCAAATATTAGCTAGAAAGTACAATGCTTTCCAAAACAAAAATTAACATTCAACCAGCAAATCATATAGCTTTATAAAGTGACCTTAGCAGTTTCATGCCTCACAGGGTAAAACAAATTGGTTGGCTTTTTTTTAAGGTGATACTTATACAAAGTTTAAGTCAAATTTTGCATTATATTATCCAATTAGTACCAGGAGAGGAAATGAGGACTCTCATAGTTTGGCATCTACAAATTAGATTGCAATGCACCAAGTGGGGTTTTTTTGCTGCCTATTTTAATGTCAAAACTATATACTTTGAAATAATATGGAAAAGATAATTAAAACTTATATAGCCAAATTATAATCACTTTATAGTTGCACTAAACATTTCAATTAAAATGTTACCAAGCACTTTTGAAAAAGGTTATTAAACTTTCATTGAGATGTCTCCACTTTCCAAAGCTGTATACTGCTCTAAAAACTGTTTGAATAAGACATACTGAGTCTCTATCGTTGAAATTGTTTAGGAACACAGACAAGATGACCTTGCATTGCCCTTTCCAGCTCTGCAGAAATCAGCTTAACATTTTATATTAATTTAAAGAGATATACTTACAGCATGTGCTCCCTGTATTGTCCGTACAAGGTTGATTCCTTTCCATACATATATATCTCCATTCAATGCACCAGAATACGTCACTTCATCCCTTGCACAGGCGAGGCACAATATAGTCTGGAGATCACCGGTTTTGCCAAAAACACCACGTTTTGGTGTCAATGAATTGCCACACAAACTCCAGAACTGTAACATAAAGTGATTTAGAAACACAGGTATTTTGCTAATATCCTATAATTTAATATGTACATCTGAAAGAGAAGTACCTTGCATGCAAAAGACATCATCATTTATAGCCTTTTCCATGCTTCAGTTCTCCAGTTGTTTAACAACTTTTTATGCTATTAACCAACTCTATCTTTCCATAAAATCAGCATAGCAGGCTAGTTGGGAAGGAATTTTGGGGTACTAAATCAAACTAAAATTCTCTCAAATAGTAATTTGTGAATTAGTTGTATTTTAAGTCATTTTTTAAAAGCGTTTCATAATGGAATTGTCTTATCTTTCTTTGACGTAAGTCCTCCGCATTGCAAATGCTGCATTTGTACTTTATGTTATTTTAGACATTTAAAGATGTCATCTAAGCATGTAGATTTCTGATAAAGCTGCTATTTGTTCTGTTTGAAAACAGCTGGTTTAATTATTGACTTATCATTTCTCATCAGAACGCCTGATCACACAAAGTAGCCATCTAAGGGGGAGATTTTTAAGAACCTTCTAATAAACCATTAGCATGTGATTACAGCAATCACACGAGGGTGAATTTCCTCCTAGGTGACCCAACATGTACTAATGACTACTAAACTAAAGACATGCAAAGTCTCTTGTCAGAGCACAGTAATTGCCAACTAAATATCATGATACACACTGTAGTTTCTGAGATCTCTGCAAAAGAGAAACACTTGCATATTCATTTCAAACTCTCCTGTCCAGACATGGAAATGTGCGCATAAAAAAATCAAGAAGCTGCTGAAGTAATACAGCACAGTACATGAAAGCATTTATTTCATCGCTGCTGACAAGTTACTCTTACGTTGTCTCAGCATGTTTTCTGTATAGATGTTTATGAAATTGTATTTCACAGCAAGTCACTCCGTTATTAATAATCAGTTCAAAATTCTGAGCAGAGACTACAATTAATACAAGATAATGTAAGCAGTTACAATGAACTGATATTGCTCAATATTGAACTGATATGCTCATACATGAACAAATTTTTGTACCAGCAATATTGTAATTCAGAAATAACCATGTGCTGATTAGACAGATCTCTGCATCTTAACTAGTTGTGTTGGGTTTGGGTGAGGTGGCTAATTTTCTTCACAGTGGCTAGTATGGGGACATGTTTTGGATTTGTGCTGAACACAGGATTAAAAATAAAGAGATGTTTTTGTTATTGCTGAGCAGGACTTACACAGAGCCAAGGCCTTTTCTGCTTTTCATACTGCCACGCTGGTGAGGAGGCTGGGGGTGCATGGGAGGCAGGGAGAAGAGACAGCCAGGACAGGTGACCCCAACTGACCAAAGGGATATTCCAGACCATATGACATCATGCTCAGTATATAAAGCCAGGAGGAAGAAGGAGGAAGGGGGGACGTTTGGAGTGATGGCGTTTGTCTTCCCAAGTAACTGTTACATGTGATGGGGCCCAACTCTCCTGGAGATGGCTGAACACCTGCCTGCCTGTGGGAAACTGTAAATTAATTCCTTGTTTTGCTTTGCTTGTGTGTGTGGCTTTTGCTTTCCCTACCAAACCATCTTTATCGCAACCCATGAGTTTTCTGGCTTTTACCCTTTCAATTCTCTCTCTGATCCCCCTGGTGGGGCAGTGAGCAAGCAGCTGTGTGGGGCTTGTCTGCTGGCTGGGGTTAAACCATGACACCAGCATTTTTTTAACCAAAGTAGAGACTACAGGACATAGATTATGTTGTAGTTTCAGGAGTAACCACACAATCGCTCCATAAATCAAACACTTAGCTCCAATGTGGAAGTAGGTGATGCATCAGTTCACTTGGAATTATCTACATAATTTAAGTAGTATCATAATTTGTATAAAATATCATGTGAGAAAAATATAATAGTACTGAAAACATGAAAGTAATTATTGATATCTGAAAGAACAAGAAGAATGCATGGTTTAAGAAAAATATTCATCAACAAAAATCTCTTGCCTGATCCAAATGTCTATAAATCTCTAGAATTCAGATTTTTGCTTAATGTTTTCTCAAAGGATACAGGATACACCAATTATTCTTAAAATGTTATTGCTATTTAAAAAGCCTTCAAAGAACTTTAAAAGTTGTTCAAATAAACTTTTGCTTATCTAAATAGATATGTTTTGACATCACAGGCCATCTTAAATATACTAAATCACTGCTGGCAAATATTAGCTCACTATTGGCATAAAAGTCCTCTTAGATCATGAAGTAAAAAAAAAGGTCATTATTAACCAAGCTAATGGAAATATGTAACTGGCATGCTAAACACTCTGTCAAATCAGACTTATGCAATTTAGCCAACACATTGAAGACTTTTTCCCATAAACCACTAATAAATATTAATCTAAAAGTTCATTGTGTAAAAAGCAACACATTTTCCCCACCGTGGGAACCTACACATAAGAGCAATACAGAACTTTCAAGCTGCCATCTACTGCTGTTATGTGGTAAAACAGAAGACACTGCCTGGGAGAGCGCAGGGACGTTTTTTAGGAGCCATATTTCATGGCAGTGAATCATTGATAAACCTGCTTGCAGAGTTAAAGTTGAAAAAGAAGCTTTTGCTGCACAGTAGTTGGTACATGGATCAAACAAAGGATGCTTGAAAAAGACATGAACTGTCCAAATTATGAATCCTGTAACAGGTACAGAGTGCTCCAAATGATAAAGGTATGAGTAACAGCCGGGAAAAGAATTAAAGAAAGATCAAGCATTTTCCTTTCTCTTCCACTCTCTCTCCGTACTCTCTCAAATGGTAAGAAAAGGTTTTTCAACTCATTTCCCCTCTGTGGTGCAACAACTCATTCACTGTTCAAGAATCAGAAACTTGAGTACCTGGACTCACCTTAAACATGTGCATCCTGTCTTATGCTACTAGGGATTTCAAACAGCATGTTTTAGACAATGTAAATTTTAAGTTATATTACAATCACGACATACAGTGCTACTAAGAACTGTTTCATTCCTACTGCTTTCCTTCTGTCAGGGCACAAACTCTTTTGAGCAGAGAGGGTCTGTTTTCAACTACATAAATCTCATAAAATGTCTAGTGTAGTCAGGTGTGATTCATGATTGCATGGATTGCACCTAAAAAGTAAACTTATTCTTACAGAGAACTTTCCGTATTATCATCATATATTCCTTTTAGATCCTATTTTTATATATTTTATAGAGTATATATTACTGGATCTTAAATATTTTATGAATTAACATTTATTTCATTACCTTGATGTGTTTTACGCCACAGCTGACGAGCTTGTTTGGCTGGTATAAATCCCAAGAAATATCAAATATCTGCATAAAAAAACCCAAGGATGTCAGCAAAGATGGCTTTTCTAGCATGGGACAGTAAACAGTAAAAACTTGTAGCAAATTAACAGAGAGTCTGAAATGCTTTAAATGGATCTATTGGAATTACTTTTTCATCCTCTCATTGAATACTGAAATTGCAATGTATAGCTCATGTGAGTTCTGGGTTTTTTTCCCCAGGATAATTAAAACACATGATAAAACAACATTAAGGTTCATTTACAGACTAGAAAAATTTAAGCAACTATTTGCATTTTGATTTCCCATATGGGTCTAGGAAGAGTATTAAATCTGCACTTCTCCTACATGCTTACAGTCTCAACAAACCAGACACAAATAAGTGCTGAGTTACGCATTTTATTTGAGAAATAAATGCATATATTTTAAATATCTTCATATATCTTAATACATATCCAAACTTTATGCAAATTCAATTTCTAAAATACAAAATGTTTTTTGTTCAGACATAGCTCTAGTAATTATACACAGACATAGTTTAACAAACTAACATTACACTGACACTCAGATCCTTTAGTTATACTTACTCTGTCTGTATGACCAGGAGCCATTGACAACAATTTTCCTTTTCTCCAGTCCCATACACAAACTGTGTTTTTTGAATCCAAACCAACTGAGACCAAACGCTAAAAAATGTCCAAAGTAAAAAAATAACTCAATATATTAATGAAAGATAGAATCATGATTTTGAATGAATGATAAAAACTTCCTAACATATTTAAGTTAGAAGCAATACCTACATTTTGATATAGAAGAAAACATAAGCTACATCTTGTGCAAAAGCTTCCATAGATGCATCTTTTCAGTTACATCATGATCATGAAAATCTTCTTAGATAACAATGCATTTATGATTTATAACGTTTAATATACATAATTATATATAGCACACATGGCAAGGAACAGTCAGGAGACATTTGTAAAAAATGAATAATCACTGAAGTTAATGAAACTATGTGTGTTTAATTGCATATAACTTGAAGAATTTAATGATTTACATTACAATTTCAAGAGATACAAAGAAAAAATATTTTCTTCAATCTTCTTGGAAACAAACAAAATATTATAAACAATTAAAAGTCTTAAAAGTCTTTTGCTTGATTCTTCAAGACATGTATGATTAACTATTTCTGAATCTTTTCTCAAAACAGAACCCAACAAGACCCCAAATATACAATTTGTCTTTATGAAGTCTTTAATACTCAGAAAGAGTTTGAAACCAGTTAAACTGTAAAACCAGGAAGGACAAAAAGTTTTTCAAAAAAATATAGAAAAATAAAAGTTTGAGATCTTCCTATGCTCTGCAGCCTGTCTTGACTTCACTGTGAAGACACCTTGAACAGATTTCTTGATACAAATCATTGACTATATTAGCCAAAACTTTTATCATATCTGTTAACCAGTTAAAATTTTATTTTTCCTATAGAAATTCTCAACAGAAAGACTAACAGGATTGAATAAAAAGAAGCTGAGTGATTTTGAGTTTGGTTTTTAAAGAAAATTGAGTATTTTTGTTCATTTTATGCATGAATTGTGATACCTCAATGTTGATAAATAAAAGCTTTGCAAATCTTTAAGACAAAGTTTTTTCACTGTTCAGCAGTTAATATCTACACACATTATAGACAAATTTATTTTCAATTTCTATGTAGATTATCAAAGTGAGTTTGTAAAAGCAAAAGCAAACCCCAAAGACAGGAAGCTATTCCCAATTTCTTTACTGTCTGAAAAAATCCAAGATTATGAAAAGAAAAATAAAAATGTTAAATACAACTTCTATCCATGCTTCTTATTTATTAATACTGCAAAGCCTAACCTTTCTATTCCATTTTTGAAAACATTGTTGGAAGGAGTATCAGTTTCAATTCCAGCTACACTTCCAAATAGTTCAATTCCAGTCCTACTACAGAATGAATGTATAAATGCAGACTAGTTTTACAATTACTGCATACCTATCATAAAAATGTGGGTGAAGCCTTTCCAGGCACCGACCTCTCAAAAAGGGAGATTAAACAATGTTCTTGGTTCTCCTAAGAACTAGAAAATCTTGCTTGTAATGAGCACACCCACTCTCAAGTAGACCTCAGAGAAGAGCAAAAAAACACCAGCAAGCTTGGAGAATAAAGTATCATAAAGTGAGTTGAACTCTCAACACCAGGGAGACTGAAGGGTAACCTTGGGTTTAGATAACACAGCTGCACCAGTGAATCATCAGGTTCCCCTGACTAACAAAGAACAATAAGGAATAAATAATGTCCTCCTGTGCCAGACCAGTGGCGGTGAGAAGGAGAACATGTGTGTGGCACAGCCCGATATGAAAGATAAAACCTGAACAACTAATAAAATAAACTTTGAAGAAGGCTTGACCTCACTTCAATCCATGCATTCCTTCCCAGTGGAGATGTCCAGCATCGTGACAATAATCCTACAGAGATCAGTAATAGGAACCATATTTTTCTTGTGATCCATATTGCAATCGCTTTTGTTGTGACTTTAGTATATTGCTGCATCACCCTAATACTAACCCCTTACCCTAAACCCTAACTCTTACCCAAATAATGCCAAGTAAGTATATTTAACATCAAACATTAAACCTCTAAAACAACCTGGTTAAAGATTGACAAATTTGGATTTTAAAGGATGGGCAAGATATAAACAAGTGTTTTGCAGATCTTTCTGAACTGGATTTGTGGTGTATAGTATTTTCATAGTGTCCTAGTTAGAACAGCTGGGACCAGTTCATCACTGTATGAGTGTAACCCAAAACTTGTATTCTATAGCCTTCCAGGTCATTTCCCAGAAACTGTTATCAACAGATCATTTATACCATCTGCCCAGAGCAACCCTGACTCCTCAGGCTATAAGCTGGGTGTTAAGAGGCCTGTGAGATAGGAGGATGCTCCTGTCCTCACACCCATTGTGGAACTCCCACCCTGAGGAAGGTACTGGGCATTCCTGCCTGAAACAGAGGATATATAATCTTGGAGTCTTGGGACTTTTTTTAACCACTCGTGGGATCCAGAGAAGGACTGTGACCACCACTCTCAACCAGACTGAGACCACCACTCTCGACTGGACTGCAACCACCACTTTTCAACCAGACTGCAACCACCACTCTAGACCGGACTGCACCAGCACTCTCACCAACGGGTTTTTTCCCTCTCCTTGTACTTTGGACTCAGGGGGGCTCAACAAACACCACTCTGTTCATGCCCCAGGGTGCTGGGTTATACATTTGGGTTTTGTGGGTTAAAACCAATTGTTTGTCTGTATAATCGTATTTATTGTATTATTTTATTAAATTGTTATTCTGACTTATAATCTCTCTTTTGAGTTGGATTCATTTCCTCTGCTGGTTTATCTTTAAACCAGCACACATAGGGAGACAATTCTGGAGATGCAGGTCTTGAAAAATCTGTATCCAGCTTTCCTTCAAGACAGTAAAATTCTAACAAATGCAACAAAAAAGGTGATCATATAGAAATGCTGAGAAAAGCAGACAGCCTAAATTCTGACCATTTATGGCTGTAGACACAAGAATCAGTACACAAGAATCCTAGAACAAATCACAGATCTACCTTCAAAACCCTCCAATACACACAGGGGATGTCTAACTGCATTCAAAAAAAATTAGGGGACTTCAATCCTAATTTAATACATCTTGACCTTAAATTATTATGGCCATTTACGTGAGGAAGTGACACGAGTTTACACAGACAAGAGAAAAGATATCGCAGTGAAGTAGAAATGATGTTCTAAGAAGAAGCTGACTCTGGGAGCTGACTTTCTAAACAGTGAGAAACCTAAATGATAAAATCTGTAGATCATTCCAACAAACTTTAAAATTCCCTACAACAATTACAGCATGTTTTAACAGAAACAAACTATCAGTAGGCTTTCTTCTGTTCGTGTTCAATAGAGCTCCATTTGATATTCTCTTAATAAGGATAGAAAGTGGTCTCTACAATACATTCCCCACTTGCTAAAAGATACTGACCTTTTTAGCAAGCAAAAGGAACTGAGAATACAGCTAAATCTGAGTATTCCATTGCAAGGCTGAGTGGGAGGGAAAATGTTTCGTAGACCAGGAAAACACAACCGCAGAAAGGATTTTCACAGTTAATACCTTTTCAGCTGCTACCTAATGTGTATTTTCCATTTCTAACACATCAATCAAGAAAGCCTCTTTACTCACAGGAGCAAGGGTCTGGTAAAAACAATCTCCATTATAGATAGCAGCTCTGAGAACCAATTCACTACTCAGAGAATGCTCTAAAGTAACAAAATTATAATCCAATAAAACATTTTTCTTGACTCTTAGATCCAGGACAAATGAGTCTGAACAACCAACCAAAATGTGGAGAGCCATCAGTGCATGCAGAGAAAGGGATACTGCCTAAAGATATTTAGAGTCCAAGATGAGTAACACAATGGTACTGCTACCACTCTGTGCACATGATGTGCCCCTGCATAGGGGGTCCACTATCTTCAACCATTTGGTCTAACCCTGAGCTGTGGCCCACAGACCACAAGAACCTCCCTACCACCTTATATTCATTTAAAACTCTTCTGAAGTTATACTTTTCTTGCCGAATGTGAATATTTGTCATTCATTAGTAATGTAATTTTATTTTCCTCAACTTGAGAATAAGCATATAAAACTTGGGACAATATACTTTCTTTTTTTAAGAAAAGCCACGACAGGATTTCTAACAGGTAAAATATTTATTCAAGTGTTTGAAAAAAGAATATTAATCACATACCTGACCATCTAAATCAAAAGCCAAGCAAGCTATACCGTGTGTGTGAACGTCTTTCAGAACAGACACAGTTTGCACAGTGTATGAATCCCACACGCAGATGTACGGTTCTTTTCCAACTTGACCTGTTGCCACCAACACACGTTCAGGGTGCAAAGCAAGGCTGCCAAAAAAAGATACAAAACGTTTTTGCATGGAACATGCATTTATATTTACCTAGTTGCACTAATATTTTCCCTTAAAAATTATTTTACAATATTTTCTCATTGATAGTAAATATTAACAAGCCATTTATTATCACAGATTCCACAGCGGCTGTAAAATTCCCTTAATACAGTACATACCACCACCTTTCTTCAATTTAAACCTTCAGGCCTTCGAAATTCAAACTAATTACAAAGTAGCCATTAATCCTCTGTTTCAAAAGTATTTATTATATTAGGTCAGATTTTCATGCACACTTACTTTCCCTTTCTTTCTCTTTCTTAACATTTAAGAACACAAGCAATGGGCAACAGAAGTTAGTGTTTAACTATCTACATATCTATCACCAATGCAGGACGGATCAATGCATCTCCAAAAGTATTTCATTCCACATAGTATTTGATGGCCTTTTTATTAGAGGACTGAATAGCCTTCTGAAGCTGTCTCTCCACTGACTGTACAGCAAGCCAAAGCATGACTAGCTTAGACTGGATGCAACAACTACACTTCAGATGACTACACTGAGGAGCAATGAAGATTATCCTAAATGCCTTAATTTTAATGTAGAACAATTGGGAATAGTTGGTTTTGAATAACTAGTTACTTTCCGCATTTCTAACATTGCAGAGAATTTTCTTACAGCTTGTATTTCAAAGCTATAAGAAGTTTTGTATTTTCAAAGTCCACTTGAGGATCATCAGAACTATTTTGCCAAATCTGGGACCAAGCTAGAAAGCACGCTAGTCAGCAAGATAGTCTTCATTTTGTTTGTGCAAGCAAGCTGCAAGGGAGGACAGGAGGTCTGAAGAGTCAGCTTTCATAATACAGAAAGGTAAGAATATATTCTAATAGAAACCCAAACAAGCTACTTGATGACATTCTACACAGACTAAGTACAGCAGTCCAAAATGATGTAGAAATACCACATGTAAATCAGGAAAACAAAAGTTCCTAAGTTGGCTTTTTAATTTGCCTAAAAAATTTCTTAGCCTAATGACTCACAGGGTAATGAACGATCTTCAGAGACTGCTGGACAGAACCACTAACAACATATAGTAAATGTATTTATCTTCTCAAAATCACTTGGAAAGGAGAAAGGTTGAGCCATTTGCAAAGGTAAGATGATCTTACACCTGAACACAGATTTCAATAAGGGAAGTTCAAAGGGTGGAGACAAGAGGAGTTTATAAGCATAGAAGAAATAGCAAGGTTAAAGCTAACCAGGAAATTACCAGAAAAATAAATATCTAACTCAAAAGTTGCATACATTTTCTATATATAAAAAGAGTCAGAAAAAAAACACATTAGAAGATGCTTAATATTTTATGAAGTCATATTACCATATATACGCTTCTATATTTTTTCTGTTTTAATATAGCAATTCAGTTGGTTGATATTACTTGACAAATTCCACATGCACAACTCTAAGAAGAACTTTTAATTTCAAAGTTAAAAAGGTAAAAAGCCTCTGAACCTTTAATTCTTTAATGGGAATTTCTGCCCTCTGCTACTCCACATTATGTTCAGGACCAGGATCAAGCAACCAACATTTCCCCCCTTTGCTTCACTCCAATTCCAGAGTTGTTTCTCTAGTTTTTCCCTTCTTCTTTATTTGGCAGAGCAACTTTGCAATTAAAAAATAAAGCAGAAAGGAGCTGGCAGGCAAAACTTATCACATTTCACTTCAGTTCTGCCACCTAGTCCTGACCAACACCTGCATATCTCCCAGAGAACGCACAGGCAGATGATGTACTCACGGGGAAAAAGGAAAAGCATCTGGAGGGACACAAAATGCTTCATCCAAAATGATCTAATTTTTACAATGGCAGATATTTCTTTACAAAGAAAGATATTAGACCACATGGACAATAAAGAAATTTGAGAAAGAAAGTGGAAAGAATAAGCAAGAAAAAAAAAAGGAAAGGAAAAAAAGAAAGAGAGATAGAAGCTAAGAGGAAAAAAGAAAAAACACAGCAGTCTCATGTCTGATTCATGACCTCTTCAATCCTGTACTTAGCTGTGCTATTAGTGCACTGTGCATTTTTAGACAAGTGAAAAGCACTCCACAGTTGCAACTTTAAAAAACACTCAGGCACCATCTTGAGCACACATGCATCCAAAAGCAACCCCACACCACACCTTAGAAAACACTTCACAGCAACCAAAAATTAGCTTATCATGTTTTTAACTAAAGACCAGAAGCAAGAAATGCAATGAATCAGAGATGGAAGGGACAACAGTAAAGGCACTGCCAAGGGCCAGGAAAACATTGTCCTAGCCCAAGTGTGCCAACTAATTTCATTTGAAGAATATTAAGTGATTATAGAGAATGCTTCCTCTCTTTCTATGTAATAAATGGAAAATAATAACTAATAGCAATATCATAGTATTAGTTCTTTCTACATCATGATGCAAAATACTGGCTTAGACAACTGAGCTCAAATTCTGCCTTGATATGGGATAATGCAGCACAAATTAAGATCCAAAGCCTGTATTTTAATCCTAACAGACAACACTTTAGAATTACCAATGTCCTTCCTCTACCACTTCAGTCTCTATTATAAATTGCTAATAACTTTTCTAGACAGTAGAAGAAAATAAATATACAATAAATACTTTAAAACAGCAAGCTTTTTTTTAAAAAATGCCAACATGGAGAAGAAGAGTTGTTTGCAGAGGCTGAAGAAATACTTACCTGAAAATACCTTTCCTCATCATTTCCTACAGACCAAGGAGTGAAGGATAGGTTAAAGTACTACTTGCAAGTATTTTATCTCACAGGCTATCAGAACAGATGGAAAAGAGAAGCATGGAAAGAGTCAAGGGACTGTGATTTCTATTATCAACAGTAAGAAAGTAACTGCCACACTTATTTATATGATTTTCATATGAGTCATGAATGATAAGACAATGCTTTTCCTTAATACTCAAGTCTTGGCTATTATTAATCCCACGGGACATGATGCAGACTTAAAATTTTGGGTCCTGATCAAAACTCAAGGATTACACTCCAGTTCTAAGCAATGTGGTGACTTTTTTCAGTTCTTTCATTGTACTATGAGTGATTAAGTAATCCTTATAAGTATAGCAAATAATGCAAAAATACAGCATCTTCGTATAACCTCTAGAGGAAAAGCATCAATAAAACTCACATATTTGGGAATTTTCATTATTAAAACAGTCCTGAACAATGCACTGTAAATAGCTTCATAGTGCTGAAAGAAAAAATATAACTAGAATGGGTGCCCAGAAATGGATAACCATAAACATCTGCTATACAAAGACTACACTAACTCATGGGCACGATGCAGTTAACAGGATCAGATAATGAGTTGGAGTTGTCTCTCGTAAGATCTTCAACACACCTCTACTGAGGTGTTAACAGCATAAAACTATTGGGATGGTATCTGAAGTACTGCTTACCATCCATCCAGTCAGTTCCTGAGGTCAGGTAGAAAAGCGTCAGTGTGGCTCGGCTCCTAAGGCAACTTTCCAATCTGTTGCTGTGAGATTGTGGACTTTAGTACACTGACTCTCTCACGACTATTTTCTTACATTTTTTTCTCCTAAGGAGAAGGAGGAGATTACTTAGTGGCATGAGAAGCTATGCACTCAGGAGGAGAGGACTTGTGTTCCCTTTACTGCCCTGGTAATGAAAGTTGGTGTGACCTATCCAAGTTACACTGCTGAAACTGTGCTTGCATCTAGCCCACACAGCTAGACTGTAAACTGGTGCCTGATTTCTTTCCTCTTCCTTGAGGGATGACTAAGCTGATGAACGAGATATTGCTGCTTGTCCGAAAAAGGAAACAGATATCCCTAATGATACAAGTTCTTCAGGACTTCTTGTTTGGCTCTGGCCTTTCTGACCTAGGCTTCTCAATAACAGATGTTAGATCTAAAGTAGTGTCTCCGAAGAGGCAGATATGTCCAAACATGTCCAAACAACATGTCCAAACAGCAAACATTATCATGAAACAAAGCAGGTATTAGGCTAATAAACTGCTAAGTCAAATTAATTTTGAAATTGGCTATAAAATTTGGTACTTCTTGAAAGAATTCAGAAGCAGAAAATTCAAAAAACCTGCCTGTCACTATTGCAACAAAGCCAAATAGTTGGACTTGTAATGAACTGAGATTTCCACTGATATGACTGAATGACGGGTCTTTTCCTAGATAGATATTCAAATTGGGTTGAAAATACAGAGTTTAAACAGTATACTGAAAAGGGATATGTTTCTCACTTTGGTGCATTCAAGTCCCTCTTTTTAATTCATACAGAAAAGGTTCTTTCTCCCTTTTAGAGCAATATGTACGAATTTCCTACCATTTTGACCAGATTCGTGCACTGTACAATACCTATGATAGATTATTATATTAAATATTAATGGTAGCCTGTGGAAAAAAAAAATATAAAAACTGTCCATGTTGTGTCTGTTTGGGATGAGACCAGAGCCATGGACAAGACCCTACAATTTGTCTGAGGTCTGTAGTGGCAGGGGATCCTGAAGGAGAATAGTCAATAATAAACTACTTTATAATAAAAGAAATTAAGCTTTTTTTTTAAATTTGGTTTGTGTTGAGCGTTAACAGGCATTGATTAATACAGACAAGCTGCAGACAAGGATACAGTATTAAAGATGATGTTTCCTTAGCAACAATATTGGATGAAAATCCAAGAATACATTCATGTGACTACTCCTGAGCTTCATAAAAGTAGGGCACCAGTAAAAATGCACAGAAGAATGCTGCAGTAAAATAACAGCATCTCAGATATCTATTAATTATTAGTTAATTTCAATTGTCAAATTGTTTCTATGTGTCAATACAGCAAAACATTTTCATTGTATGTTTACAGAATTTTACATTCAGTTGAGAATATTTTTTGTTTGCTGTCATTTATTCACATTACCCCAGAAAGAGTAACGGGGAAACTACAAACCATTTCTGTCATACTATTTAAGTTTCTAGAGCAGAAAGAGCTGTAATCAGCAAACATCTCTCATCAAAGTTTAAACAGATCAAGTCAGAGCACACTTACTTTCCATAGACAAAACAAAGCAGTATTCATCATAGAGCATCACTACTGGGTCTTCCATACAGCTATTGTAACAGCACCAATAATGTCAAATATAGCTTTCTGAAGATTCCTTAAATTGCAAAAGCATCCAACTTCAAAGTAAGAGAGTCTGCACTGGAGACAGGGAGGGTGAATTGAAACTGTACATTGATTATTCCCAGCTGCAGTTTATCTCATTACCATTCTATATTTTCCCCTCTTGGATCTGAATTTTTTTTGTTAATGAGAAACATTTATAAAAAACCTAGAGAATCCTAAAGATTGCTTTGGGCTCCTATCTGCTCCTAAACCCAAGGTGGAGGGAGAGAGGGAAGCCCAGATGAGCTTCAAAGAGTGAAACAGTGAGTACAGCAACACTGATGTGAAGTTCCCAACTCATCCAATATGAGAACTGAGGAAAGAGATTATGGGAACTGTACACTCCTTTATACAGATGCTCATTTTACCTTAGTCATGTCCTCCACTGCTCAGGAAGGGATTGGCTTCAGTTTTCTAGTAAGAGTAACCATTCATAAAAAAATGATTAAAAATAAAGATATTCCTCTTCTTTTCAAATATGAATGATTTTGCCAGTGCCAACAGGAGACCTCGTGGTTTAACTGAGTGGGGTTGGTGGTTTTTTACAAATTCTACATGATCTTGACACTTTAATCACCAGGTTTTTACAGTCTGAGGAAAAAATTTCTTTTCTAATATGCCCCTTGAAAAAGAAGACAGCAAAATTACTTGCATGTTCTTAGTTAAAAAATCTTCTCACATAAAAATTAGAAATATCATACACTCCAGAATGGTTTGGAGACAAATAATGTCCTGTTATCCTTTATTAACTATTCATATGAAAGAAACAATTCTGATTATAATAACTGGTGGTACAATAATGTGACATACTAAAGCCTGAAGGTAAGTTACCAAGGAATGGAATCTCATCTCAAAAAATATCCAACTTCCTTTTTTCCTCATAAGACAATGCATGGACTTAAGTTTATATCTTATAAAGGTTTAAATAATTAAACTGACAAAAATAACTCCCCTAGTACTAGCAACAAGATAAAAAAAAGGAGGCCAAAAAAAAAGGAAAAAAACCCCAGAAGCACAAGATCTGTGAAGAGAAGAGGCAGTGCAATCAGTTGTCAGTAACTTAGGAGGGAGGCAGTCCAGCTATTCAGCTCCTTTGGGTCACTAGATCTGATGACCTGAAAGAGATCCCTTAACAAATCAGCAAGCAGTATTAAACCATTTGGTTAGGATTTGTCAGTCACAAAGTTAGAAAGCAGTCCTTCACTCTGGAATACATATGGTGAAAAGCATACAAACCTACAAACCTATCACAGACTGACAAACCAAGGCAGTCTAAAATCAAGGTGGAAACACTGATTTCCCATTCTGAACAGTTTACAAGCTAAGAAACTACTTCAGTAAAGATTATCATGCTGTAGCCACTTAATTACGGGAAAATTGAGACAATTATGGCTATAAAATCAGAACAGAATTAATTTCAAATAAATTTTGTAACAAAATTCAGGCTAGAAAGGGAAACTGAATGACAAAAATTCTTCCCACAGTTAAAATTACTTAGCCAAGACCATTTCAAAAATTTCTTTTGAGAAAAAGGTTATTTTGGATGCTTCTGACCTCAGAAGTTAATGAATTAAATTTGCTTGAGGTACAAAATTTCTTCATTATCACTAAAACCCTTCAAACAACTCTTCACTCAGTCATTGCATCTCCACAGGAGATTTACAACAGTTTTTCACTACTAATTTTCCATCTACTACTTTTGAAATTTATACTAGATCTTCTAGTATTATATAGGGGAAAAAAAAATCACAGAATGTAAAATTTTCTTTCATATTTCTGACCAAGTATATTAAACAGCTATTCAGTCTTCTCTCCTATGGGATATATTAATGAAAAACTTCTCTGTGCAAGAACTTATCATCTGAATATTCAAGAGTGAAGTCACAGAGTAATCAGTGACAATTTTTGAAAGGTTCTTTTATACAGAAAGGTTATCCTGATAAAATTAGCAGTTGGCTTAAAATAAGGAATAGTGGGAAGAAGGCAGTAGCAGAGCTGTGAGTGAAAAAAGCTGAGATAAGCACAACATTCTGTACTTCAATGGACTGCATTTCATTGTCAACCAAAGAAGGTCTAGAGCAGAAGAGAACACTATCTCACCAGCCCTGGAGACTGCAGATGCACTAGATTTCTTTGCAAGTTCTTGAGAAGTTCAGGCCTACAGATGTTCTACAGGACTTAGACAGAGGTGTTTTCCTACAGAAAAAGAAAGCCAAGGACTCTATAACACTTTGTAATTTACCATCCCACCATCTAACTTCCTACTCAGAAAGGTGAGAAGAGCCAGGATACCACTTAAAGCTGGGACATCATCTGAACCCTTGTTTAGAAAAAAAACTAAAAATGGGATTGAGGCTACAAAAGTATTTACACAAAAGACCATCTGCTAAAACAAGTAAAACCCCCATATGTACCAGACCCATAAACAAAACAGGAAAGAAGCATATGAAAATGCAATACTAAAAGGACTCAGAAGTCAATGTGTATTTGGTAGGCAATGAAAGCTGTTGACTCTGTGGGCTCACAAACTTAATTATTAAAACCTACTTAAATAGAG